CCCCACCAGAATATTAATTCTTTATTAATTCATGATACAGCTGCTAATTAGTACCTCCACAAATGGGCATTACACCTTGGCAAAACACTCGGAGGTGTTTTGGGGACTGGGGTGTGCAGAGGGAGGGACAGAGGGTTGTGTTAATCCTCTCCCCCCAGCCCCGCCACAGCGAAGAATTTCAACTTTCAGACAAACAACTTCATTTACAAGTGTGTCTCTAATTAGCTGCAGAATTAGTAAAGCAGAGTTTTCCCCCCATAGATCGGCCAAACCCCCGGGGGAGGCTCTGGAATGGAGAGAATCGCATTTCCAATTATTTTGTTGAATTGCTAATTTAGTTATTGTGCCTGGCGTAATTGTGATGGGTATTGGGTGTGCAATTCAATTTGTTTTAAATATTTGTGGGAAGGCTGATCAGTAATGGAGCTGACCTATTTCATGGCCCAAATTGAGAGAAGAGACTAAAACAAAAAACAGCTACAAAGCCCCAGTTTGTCTCAGTTTTTATTTTGATGTCTCTCATCCCTCTTAAGACTGTTGATGCAACAAAAGGTTTACATTAAAAGATGATGGCACTTTGATCTTGGGCTTTGGAGAGCTTACAGCTTTGGTACGTCTTTTCTTGGCATTTTAATATGGAGATATTTTAGGCTAAAGAGTTTTAAACGTGATGCTGGAGTTCAGTAGGGTCTGCCCCCTCACCACCCCCCAAATTTTAACTCTCAGGATTCTGGTTTGAGAAACATGAAGAATCAAGTGCAGGAGCTGTGGTGGCTCGTGTGGGTAAATTTAAATCTCACCTTTCACGTGGAGACCTCCAAAGGGTGGTTGTGGATCTGCTCCCAGGGATATCCTTTAGCCAAAGTCCCTTCCCTGCAGGCTCCACTGACCAGGGCACAACGTGAGGCTGGAAAGGGTCTCCAAGATCATCCAGTCCAACCATCCCTGCCCATACACTGCCCTGGGAAGAGGGTCCCACAGGTCTCCCACCTCAGCAGCAGTCACTGAGGTCTGGGGGTTTTTCCTGTTTGTCCCACTCACTGTGATGTTAAAGATGACAAAATACATCATGGAGAATGGGGCTGGGGAGTGGCCACCATCAGGAGACCCCTGGGGGAATGGGGACCTGGGATGGGGCAGAGCTGGCCTGGAGGGGTTCCACAGAACCCTCCCTGTCCTGGCCTCAAGGAGAGCTCAGCTCCCCCAGCACGGGGGTGACAGATTCCACTCGCAGCAACAGAGCTGTAATTCATTCTTTTTATTAAAAGAAATTGAGGTAAGTGAAATACTTCAGCACCAGCGAGAACCGTTCGTACCCAGGGGGCTTCCCCCACCTGGTGACCCCCCCACACACCTGGGGCCATCACAGGCGCTGCTGCCACAGGGCCCCAGCAGGGCCAGACCCCCCAGGCCAGGGCCAGACCCCGATGTCACCCCACAGGTTTTTCTGGAGCTGTTTTAGCCCCATGTGAGTGGGGCCTGGGGCGGTGCTGGAGCACTGCAATGGGGGAGCTGCTCTGCACAGGGCTGTGGGCACAGGGACACCGCCCACTGCACCTGCACATGTCCTGCAAAGGGACTCTGGTGACACCACGGGGGAGCCCTGGGGGCAGGGGGGGAGCCCACAGGTCCCGGTCCTGCCTGGCTGACACATTCTCTGTCTGTGTGTCCTGCTGCAGCCCACCCTGGCGTAAGCAAAAGCATCTTTGGGGCTTGTTCAGGGGGCTCTAGTGGGAAAAAAAATATCTTCAATCAAATTAGGGTTCTTAACTAGTAAGAAAAAGCAAGTCCTGCAGGTGGCCGAGCTCTGCTGGCCACGGGCAGGGGGGCAGCGACCCCGGGCTGGCACCTCCAGTCACTGGCACCACAGGCAGAAGGGCTGCATTGCACTTCGGGAGGAAACAAGGAGAGGTGAGAGGCACTGGCAGCATCATTGATTCATTCTCTGATAAAAACAGCCCTTCGGATGTACCACACTTCTGACATCCAGCCCTTCCTGCTGTACCAAAGGAGGGGCTGTAAAATCTGAAATTCTTCCAGGACCATCATTGGCGAGCCCGGGACTGGCCAGACCCAGCTCCGTAGCAGGAGCTGTGTGTGAGGGGTGGGCTGTGCTTCCCTCCAGCACTGCAGCTTCTCTGAGCTTTTGTTACATAAAAAACCTGTACAAAGAAGTTGTGGATCTGGGCAGCTGTCAACCCTTCCTGCACTTGCCTGACACCCAATTAATCCTGACCATTGGAATGAGATACCAAACCCAACATTTTTTCCCATTCCCAGAGCTCTGGGGCAGGGCAGGATGCTGGAGAAAAGCTCTCCTCAGGTCCTCAGAGATTTCCTTCTGCAGTTCCAAGCCCACTGGGGGATTTGGCTCTGTCCTTTCTCCCCCCTCACCTCAGCTGCCAGGATCTGGCTCCTGCTGCCTGCAGGAAGGGGATGAGCACTTAGAGCAGGGATACACAGCGGGGCTGCCCCGTCCGCTCTCCCTGAAAACATCGGGAAGGGAGAGCAGAAACACTGAGCAGCTGCACTTTGGTCTCTTGTACCTCCTCCCAGAAGGGCCTTTCACACAATTCACAGCCTGTTCTAAAGGAATTGGGCACAAAGGCAAGGCCAGGGGGGTTCAGCCCCCAAAATCCTGCCCCCCAAAAGCCTTCACAGCCTGGGGGAGCCTGGGAGCCTCCTGGGGGCACGGGGCCAGCCCTGGCCACAGCAGCCAAAGGCTGGTTTTACTCCACCTACGAGACAAGACAGACGTGGGACACACAAATCAAATCACCACTGACAGAGGGTGACACACAAATCACCACTGACAGAGCCAGGGGCTGTGGGGGTCCCCGGAGGGGGGACAGGGAGACATTGGCACTTGTCAGCACAGAGCCGCTGCTGCTGCCGGGCACGGGGAGGAGAGGAGAGGAGGGCAGGGTGTCCCTGCAGGGCCAGGGGTGTCCCTGGAAGGTCAGGGATGTCCCTGCAGGGCCCTGCCACGCCAAGGCCTCGCGGTACCGGAGCACCCAGCCCCGCTCTGGTCAATAAATAAGGTACAGGAGGACAGCGGGGATTCAGTTCCGCAGGCGCTTGTGTTTATACATTTGCCTCGTGTCCCTGGCCAAAGGACACGCTTCCTCTGGTCAGCCTGATCTGAAAAAATAAAACTGTCACTGCAGCAGCGTTCCCTGAGGCTCCCCGTGGTGCCGAGCAGACAAAGGGCAGTTCCCAGCTCCGGGTCCCTCCTGGCGGCGCCGGGCAGGGGCAGCCTGGGCTGGAGGCTCTTACGTGGAGGAAGGCGAGTCCATTGTGGAGAGGATCCGCACCACCTCGGCTCGCTGGGTGGGGGAGATGTGCTGGGTCATGTGCACGATGGAATCCATGGCAACCTCGGGATTGGCCTGGACCAGGCTGCAAAGAGGACACAGCGGAGTGAGGCAGCTCCAGAGCTGCCAGCAGGAATTCCAGGGGGCTGGAATGTGGGGCTGGGAGGGGACACGGCCCCGGGTGGCCAGCAAGGGGCAGGAGCCCTGGAGCCATCCCTGCTCCCACCCACGGCCCCTCCCTGCACCCACCTCCGGATCTGCTTGAGCACGTAATCCCTGGAGATGTATTTGATGTTCTCCTCCACCACCGAGCGAACGCCCTCCTCCTCCGTCAGCTGCTTCTCCAGCCACTCCACCAGGTCCTTGTTGCTGTCCCACAGGTAGGCCTGCCAAAAATTCCCACACTCACCCCACAGCTCCTGGACTGGCAGCTGGGGTGACACATCTGGGGATCCCCACAAACACACCTAACAGGCAGCACAAGTTCAAAGATTATTTCTTTCTTTTGCATCCTGCCATAAATGCGATGGAAGGGGACCAAGGAGGTGCTTGGTCAGCGTAGCAGAGAACAAGCTGCAGCAATCCCAGGAGCTGTCCCAGATAAATCCCAGTTTCCCTGGTTATCAGCTCCCCAAATTCTGGTGGAACACGGCTGACCTGAACCGTGCTGCTCCAGGGATTCTCCCAGGGCTACATCACCCATGCGTGCCCATCTCCTGCAGCCTGTCCCTGTGCTGGTGTCCCCAGCAACCCTGGGACCCCTGACCCAAGCAGCTCCTCGGGCAGCTCCTGGAACCCTGAGCCACAACCCCCTTTTTGCCTTTCACAAGATCATTTCACCTGATATTTGCTAGATAGTTGGCTGTGTAATAACTCAGGAGTGGGTGAGCCCCTAACAGCCTTCTCTCCTCTCCTCTCATTTTCTTTACAAATCATTTAAGAATCGTTTTGTTAATGGTTTCCGGAAAAGCAAGTACTGCCATTAGCACTCATTCATATTTATGTCATTTTATTTGGGTAATTAAACACAAAGCTCCTCATTTAAAGGTGCACTATCCTTCTCTGTTATCACTAACCAAGTCAAAGGCAGAATGACAATGAGCTGGGGGCGGTGACTCTGCGGTGGCACCTCCCTGGCACCCCCTGCTGCAGCCAGCCCCTGCCCCAGCCCCGGGACACAGAGCCAGGGAGCCGCTGGAAAAACCTCTGGGATCAGCGAGTCCAAACGTTCCCCCAGCACTGCCAGGGCCAGCACTGACCATGTCCCCAAGTGCCACATCCACACAGCTTTTAAATCCTGCCAGGGATGGGGACTCAGCACTGCCCTGGGCAGCTGTGCCAGGGCTGGGCAGCCCTTTCTTTCCATGGAGAAATTTCCTTTCCATGGAGGAGTTTCCCTTTCCATGGGGGAATTTTCCCAATATCCAGCCTGAGCCTTGCCTGGCTCTGAGGCCGCTCCCTCTCCTGCTGTCCCTGGGAGCAGAGCCCCACACCCCTGGCTGTCCCCTGCTCTCCCCTGGCTGTCCCCTGCTCTCCCCTAGCTGTCCCCTGCTGTCCCCTGGCTCTCCCCTGCTGTCAGGGAGTGCAGAGGGGACACCTTCCCCTGTCCCAGGCTGCCCCAAGTCCATTCCAGCCTGGCCTTGGAGCCTCCCAGGATCTGGGGCAGCTACAGCTCCTCTGGGAGCCTCTGCCAGGGCCTCCCCACCCTCCCAGGGAGGAATTTTTGTTTCAGAGCCCATCCCAGCCCCTGACACGTTTCAGAAAGCCCAGGATTATTTTATTTCCTTCCACACGACGTCTCTGATTGTCTCAGCCCGGTGATGTCACTTCAAGATTTTGCTTATTTCATTGTTTTTCTCCTTTTTCTGATTTGAAACTCTCCGGGTTCCGCTCCCTGCCCGTGCCCCAACGCTCCCTGCATACAAAGGAAGGTTCCAGGGAAGGGGGGAAAAGCCAGCCCAGGAAGCTGCGATGCAGCCCCAGACCTGTGTAAAGCTCCATTTACCCAAGAATCCCAAAGCTTTTAGTTTAGGAGAATATTTAATACTCTTATTAATCATTTTTAATCCGTTTGCTTTTAATTAAGAAACAGCATGATGCTTCCCTATCAACATATGCCAGGGAGCAGATTAATTGTGGCTTAAGATAACTCTCCTTGATTGGTGTAATGTATTAGCTAACGAGCTGCCTGCTTTTGGAGAGCTCAGGCTCTACCTTGGAAAGGCTGCTGCCCTCCAGAGAACATCCCCCCCTTCCCTGGAACCCCTGGGTGTTGGGGACTTTCAAAACAGAATGAAAAAAAAATAGAAATAAAAAATAAAACAATGAAATAAAATAGAATTTTTTAAAAAAGAAAGTAAAATAAATAAAATAAAGTTAAGTAAAATAAAATAAATTAAAATAAAGTAGCATAAAGTAAAATAAAATTAATAAAATAAAATTAAATAAAGTAGCACAGTGACAAAGTACAATGAAATAAATAAATAAGGTAAAGTAAATAAAATTAGATGCAATAAAAATAGAATAAAATAGAATAGAATAAAATAGAATAAAATTAAAATAGAATAGAATAAAATTAAAACAGAATAAAATAAAATAATAAAACAAAAAATTAAATTGAAAAATGAAAAAAATAAAAAATAGAATAAAAAAATTTTTAAAATAAATTTTAAAATATAAAATTTAAGAAATTTAAAAAATAAAATAAAATTAAAATAAAATTAAAATTAAAAATAAATTAAAAATAAATTAAATATAAAATAAATATAAAATAAATATAAAATAAATATAAAATAAATATAAAATAAATATAAAATAAAATAAAATAAAATAAATAAAATAAAATAAAATAAAATAATAAAATAAAATGCTGAGATTGGAGGCTTGTGACAAAACCAACCCAAGAGCAGCTCCAGAGCTTGCCCTTCCTTCAGAGCCTGCAGGTTGAGCACAGCTGTAGCAGGAACGCCCAGGGTCTGTGCTGTCCATCCCCATGCCCCCGTTCCCGAGGGAAGGAAGGGCTGGCAGCCCTGGGAGGGGCTCAGGGTGGCCCTGGTGGCTCCGGGGACAGCAGGACAGGGCTGCCCCAGGGCCTGGGGGGACAAAGCCGGGCTGGGGGCTCCGCACTCACCTTCACCGTGCCCTCCACCTCCACGAACCAGCGGCGCAGCATGGCCTGGATCTGCCCGTCCGTCAGCTCGGGGTTGGCCTCGTGGATCTTCCTCTTCACCACCTCCTCCAGCAGCAGCCGCCGCAGCCGCCAGTAGAAGAAGGTCCGGGAGGTTTTCCAGTCCAGGACGTCCTGCCCGGGCCGAGAGGGGGAAAGGAGTGAGGGAAACCCGGAGAAACAGACGCCTCCTTCCCAAAGGGAAACCCAACCCTTCTGTCCCCTGGCAAAGGAAAGACCCCACAAGGGATTCCCACCCTGGCACAGCACCGGCTCTCCAGGAGCTCCGCAGGACCGGGAAGGGTCTGGCCCCGAGGCCACCCCGGGACACTCACGGTTATGGCCCCCTTCTCCTGCATCCTGCCGGGGGTGTCGTGCAGGTCAGCGAACTGCATGGCCACCTGCTGGTACATGGGGGCCAGGAACTCCTCCCGCTCCTTCAGCTTCGTCTCCAGCTCCTTCCTGTCTGCTGGGCTCAGCTCAGGGGTGCCTGAAACCACAAACAGCTCACAGTGCCTGAAACCACACACAGCTCAGGGGTACCTGAAACCACACACAGCTCAGAGCTGGGGATCCTCAGAGTGCCTGAAACCACAAACAGCTCAAGTGCCTGAAACCACACACAGCTCAGAGCTGGGGATCCTCACAGTGCCTGAAACCACACACAGCTCAGAGCTGGGGATCCTCACAGTGCCTGAAACCACACACAGCTCAGAGCCAGGCTCAGCTCTGGCTGCAGCTCCAGGCCTTGGAAAAGCCAAAGGACAAACCCCAGAGCATCAGATCCCAGCAGTGCCCAGCGAATCTCCGTGTTCCAGCCTGGATTTTGTGCCACAGAGACTCAGGCAGGAGCTCTGAGGGTGTTTTCACCATGGAAACTCTGTTCCATTTAAATGCCAACGATCTAAGCCATCAATTAAGTGACATTTACGGGACTCACTCCTAAAAGAGAATAATGTCCCAGCACGCCTGAAACACAGAGCAGGGCACAGCACCTTCACCACTGCAGGTTCTCCTCTGGGCTGCTGCCTGCTCAGGGGCTCTGCAATCACAGCAGGAACCCCAAGCCACAACAGGAACCCCAGCTTAAACCACTGGGCAGAAACTTCACAGAAACCCCAAGAGGGAGCAATTCCACCCCGTGCAGAATCCAAGTGTATCCAAATTCTCTGTCACTGGGCCCAAACGGGCTCACAGAGGGTGGTCAGACAAATTCATGTAAGGAAATTCCACCACAGGCTCCTGAGCATGAAGATGAGACCTTAATCTGTTCTTGGGAAGCCTGGAAACCAGAGCTGGAAGCTGAGACAGCATCCTGGGGGCAGTATCTGCTGCACCTGCAGCTCTTTCCATGGCTCATTCCCACAGACACGATAATCCAAGGCTGCTGCTCCAAAGGGAAGAGCTCCCCGGTGGCCTGAGCACTCCAGTGCCTGCTCACACACCCCATTTTTGTATTTTTCCAAGGCACAGGCTCTCCACACAAAGATCCTTCCCAGGGAAGGAATATTTTTTTCTGTGCCTACCAATATAAATGTTACCTAACCCTTCAGATGCGAGTAAGAAGGTTTTAATTAAGAGAAGCTCCCCTTATAACCTTCAGAATAAAAAATTATCTATATTTATCCACGTTGAACTCCCAGGCTCCCTGGTTTTAATGGCAACACAAGCACTTAAGGCAGCCCCGCTGGTGAATTCCGGCCCCTGCCACCGAGTCCACCCAGCCAGGCCCAGTAATGATTTAGGTGAGATTAACAAATATGTCAATGTCTATTTTCTGCTTAATTTAAAAGCAGCGTCTATAAAGATTTTTGACTTCTGAACCCTGTTCTCCTGGAAGAAAGAAGGTAACAATGAGGAGGGGGGATAAAGAGTGATTATCCCATCATCGATCGTTTGTCAGGAGCATTTCTTATTCACTGGACTATTGTAAAAAGCTAAGCTCTCGATCAATCCCGTAAGCCCCCTGTACAATTAAATATCTTGGAATGGTTTTCTTTCTTTCCTAGTCAGATCTTGAGGCCTCAGGGTTTTTCAGAAAGCCTGGGCTTTATTTATTTATTTTGGAAAAAAATAAAAAATAAAAAAATAAAAAAAAACCCCACAGAAGAAAAGAAGTCTCCTTCCACAAATCTTATCCTGGCAAGGAGAGGGGAGTTAAAATATGGGATTCCTTTGCTCTAGAGGTACTTGACAGTTAATGAAACTGTTAAAGTTTAAATCATAGGAACATTATAGACCTCTAGGTATGGATTGGCTGCTAATCAATAGGGAAACAAAAGGAGCAGCGCTCCGAGACAGCCCCAGTGCATGAGGAGAGCGCCTGGCACGCAGGTGGGGCAGCACCAGGAGCGTGTGAGACCTTCCCACCCCGGCAGGGAGCATGGGACAGGCTCCTGAAGTGCCATAAAATGTCCCCTCTCTCTTGGATGGCAGCTTCCTCCACAGCCTCCACGTCTCTGTGGCTCCAGAGAGATCCTGCCAGGGTGGGAAGGGGCTGGGAAACATCTCAGTTCTGTTCCCAACACCTCCAGAGCCACCCCTGGCAGGGAACACCCCAACACCTCCTGGTTCTACATCCTTTTCTCTTGTTTTAGAGAGCAAAACTGCCCTAGCCAAGTGGAAAGGATGCTCTGGGAATCAGCAGCTTTGGGGTCCCACCTCATTTCCACACCTGCAACAACAGCTCCCACCTGAATCTCAACTCCTCCTCTTCTGCCTTGAGCAAGACACTTGCCAGACATATTTTATTCTCTCCTGTGAGGGTGGGCAGGCCCTGGCACAGGGTACCCAGAGCAGCTGTGGCTGCCCCTGGATCCCTGGAAGTGCCCAAGGCCAGGCTGGATGGGGCTTGGAGCAGCCTGGAACCCTGGTGGAGTTTTAATCCCAACCATCCTGGCATTCCATGAAATCCAGCAAAGGCAGCAAAAATGCCAAAGGTGTCCAGGCTGCCCAGGCCTCCCCCAGGGAGGGAGCTGCTCCAGAGGGGAGAGGGAAGGTCACAGGGAGCCACTCACGTCCCTGGAGAGCCAGGCATTTTTGGATTGTCTCTTGTTTCTTTAAATGAGATGGGCTGTAATTGCTTCACTAAATATTCAGCAGGATTTATGTCAGAAAGGTGCAGCATGAACAGCCAGTGAAGGTCACACATGCTCATGGCACAGGCTGCAAATATCCTTGTACAGAATCCCTGTGATTCCCACCCTGGCCCTTCCCACTCTTTGCCCCTGAGGTCTCATTTCCAAATAGGTGAAGTGTGGCAGGGACATAATTCCAAAAAATTCCTGCTCCCAGTCCTCCTGGGAGGATTTCCCAGGTGCCAAGTGCATGGAGGAGCAGAGGGAACGCAGGACTTGCTCCTGAAGCCTTGTGATTGTGAATTAACACCAATTTAAATGCAGCAGCACCTGGAAGCAGCTGCTGAAACCAGCATCACTCACAAAACAAAGTTACAGCCTGTGTTTATCCAACACCCCATGAGGGATGGAATCAAAAAAGCAGTGTTTCTCCCATATTTTCCTGAAAAACTGGAGTGGGGGTCAGTTTTAGTCCTGCACCCCAGAGAGTTTATTTTCAGAAGGAACTGCTGTGCTGAGGTGGAGCTGAGCAATGAATACTTGAGCGTTCACTTGTTATCTGGAATTTAAAGACAATTTTGGATGCTCTTTAGCCAAGTAAGGGGTGAACCAAGCCCCAGCAGCACAGACTGACTGCTCCATGAAATTAAATAAATGAAATAAGTAAAATTAGAAGCAATTCCAGCACACAGGATCAGCAAGGAGGACATTCCCACTATCACAACACGCATCAGGTGATGACTGGATGCTGCCTTTTTCCTACAAGAAACATGGAAATGCAATAGCCAGTCTTGCTGTACCTGGAGCCATTCTGCCATTCCTTTCACTCATTCCACCTCATTTTTGCACCCATTTCCCTGCACCTCTGACACAGAATCTGTATGATGAGGCTTATTTTCACTCCACTCCAACATGTTTTAATCTAATTGTAATAAATAAATAAAAGTCAATCTCTGTATTTTAAACAAGGCTTGCAGGCTGCACCGTTCCTACATTTCTGGGTGCTCCCTGTTGTCCCTGCACACCTTTTCCATGTGGGAATGTGGGAATCCTGCTCTGGGGCAGGATAAGGGCCACCCTCTCTCCCCCTGCCCTTTGCTGGAACAGCCCAACTCTGAGTGACACTTTAATAAACCACAGGGCTAATCAACATTTCAGCAATCGTGCTGGAGAATTGATAATGAACAGATTTATGTCAAATGATTCAATATCTGCCAGCCTCCCCTGCTCTCCCACTCCCCAACTGCCAAGTCCCAGCCCGGCGTGGGCTGGTGGGAGAGCATCTCCCTCGCGCCGCTCTCGGAGCTCCGGGGAGGGATGACAGCCACTCAGGGGTTAAAGAGAGGCAGTGAACCCCCAGCTAATGAGTAAGAATTCAGCAGGCAGTGTAAGATAAATGGAGCTTTCTCTGCTTCTGCTGGAGTCAGCATGAACTGCGGCCCTGCGGCTTGTTTGTGGCAAATGGAGTGCGCGAAATATCAAAGGGCAGTGATCCAGAAGAAGACCGACTTTGACAAATTTTAAATTGGCCAGAAAGAAAACCAGCAAAAAAAAAAAAAAAAAAAAAAAAAAAAAAAAAAAAAAAAAAAAGAGAAAAAAAATAAAAATAAAAAAAATTATGCAATTCAGTGTGTCCTGCAATTGTGGCTTTCCTGCTCTGCTATGGAATTAGTGGCACAACAACAGCAGTGATCAGCTGATGCTGGGAGCAATTACGATCCATCTCAGGGAGATGCTTATCAGTGACTGAAGCTTTTAGAGCTCTCCCTATGTACAGTTGGAAGTGACTTGCTCTTGTGTTGCAGTCATTTTAATTAAAGTGTATGGAGTTTGCTGGGAGTAATTACCTTGTAGAGGAAGAGGGGGGAAAAAGCCCCAGCCAGGCTCCTGCCTGCTCACACGGCGCTGGGTTTTTGAGGATGTGGCCAGGAAACTCTATCCCATCTTTCCCCTTGTGGTTTTTTTTCCAGTGTCCCACAGGATTCAAGGGTGGCCTGCAGGTGTGCTGCCCCCACAGAGGTGAGTGAAGGTGATGCTCTGCTCGCCCTCCCGCCAGGATTTCCCCACTCCAGCCTTTGTCCGCAGCACTGGCGGTGGCTCCGCTCCTGGGGATGGATCCATCCCCCTGCCTGGAGCAGGGCTTGGTTTGCTGCTGGCACAGCCAGGGGTGGGAGGGGGTGAAGGTGAACCCTGCAGGGCCATCCATCTGCAGGGCCCAGCTGAGTGCTCAGCACATTCCCTGCCCTGAGCACACATCTGATTTCTCCTTCCCTGGAGACTCCTGCTCTCCCTGTCCCACAGACACCCATGGGAGGGGGAGCTGGGGGTCCTGCCTGCCTGGGCAACTCCACTGAACACCTCTAGAGAGCTTTTTTGCCCCCATGACTTGGGGTAGTCACTGTCCCCTTGCTCCTGAAGGAACACTGTCAAGTCTGACAGAGGCCAAAAGTGAGGTTTTCTGAAAATAAGACTTTAAAACTGGGATTTAAGTCATAGAATAATAGAATGGTTTGAGTTGAAAAGGACTTTAAAGATCATTTCATTCCACTCCCTGCCATGGGCAGAGACACCTTCCACTATCCCAGAGCACCCCCTCACCCTTCACCCCACAATATTCTCTTCCCAAGGCCTATCAGGAGGGTTGTTTTGTATATAAATTGTTGCCCTGCCATAAATTAAAAAAAAAAAAAAAAAGCCAAATACTAAAATGTAACTGCAGCAATAGCCAGGATTTATCAGTCATTTGCAGAACATTTTTCCTCCTGAAGGATCCCAAAAGGCTTTATAAATTCAAGCCATACCCACATGGCACGCTTCTCCCTCCACTGAAATGTAGTCAATTTTGGAGGTAAAAGGAGGCTCTGTGAGATTATACTCTTATAGTAAGAGCCAGTAAAGAACTATTTAAAGAGCCTATTCCCCTGAGAGAGAACATATCTGATATTAAGTGCATTTTGCTGAACACTCTGTATTTTGGGATGTTGAGTGTACAGCAGGCACTGGGATCACTCGGAGTGGAAATAACACCAGCCTGGCACAGCCCCCCTGTTTACAGAGACATGGACAACATTCCTTATTCACTTGAAACTGAAGAGCACACGGATATCATTACTGCAAACTACCTCAGACACTCAGTGACAGTCCAGCAGCCCAAAATGTCTTTGATCAAACCCTTTGTTACGTGAAATGATGCCCATTAAAGGTTTGGCCCACAAACCTTTAGTGAGCTGAGCAATTGCTGAGCTGGAAATTAGAGCCAGGCATCTGCAATGAGGGTCTGTTGTGAGATCCAGTCAATAAAATATAATAAAAAAGAGAAATCAGCTCAGAAAACACCATATTGCACACCCTGGGTGTGCTGAGCACGCACGAGTATCATCTCACACGTACACACGTGCAGTGGTCTCATCTGGTTTTCCTGCCAAGTCAGACAACAGTAAATATAAAACAGTAAATAAAAATGACAGTGACTCTGGGCAAACACCTCAGTGCCCCTCGGAGGGGAGGCCCAGGCCCCACGTACCGAGGCGCTCGGCCAGGCTGATGTACACCGGGTCCACCCTGCGCATCGTCTTCACCAGGTCCTTCCTGCGGAACCGGATCTCCACCGTCCCCTCCGGCTCCAGGATGCCTCCTCTGGAAAAGGAAACAGAGAGGCACCTCTTGCACCTGACTTTCAGGTCATCAGACAAAAAGTTGAATGGTTCAGGGTTAGCTGGAGAGCGTGAGAACAGAGAATGGGGAGGGCAACACAACAAAGGAGAACTTTTAGCTCCGGTTTGTCCAGGCTGGAAACGCAGACGAGATTCCACCTGGGAGCAACCAGCCCCAGGGACACAAAGTGTCCCAGGCCACAGGGAGCACCCCAGGCAGTCCCAGCTGGTGGCTCCTGGCACAGGGCTCCGTACCTGCTCTCTCTGTCCGCGTACATCTCCATGTGCCGGGGGTTGATGGTGGGGTCGATGACCACCCAGGAGCCGCCGCGCAGCTCGCCCTGCGGCGGGATGTAGATCAGCACGGGCTGCCGGTACTCCCGCAGACCATCCACGATGTAGGCCCCAAACTTCAGCACCTGGTCATACATGTCTGGGCAAGGACACAGAGATGGTCAGAGTGGCTGGAGAAGGACACAGAGATGGTCAGAGTGGCTGGGGAAGGACACAGAGATGGGCAGGGTGGCTGGGGAAGGACACAGAGATGATCAGAGTGGCTGGGCAAGGACACAGAGATGGGCAGGGTGGCTGGGGAAGGACAGTCACATGCCACATGGATGGACAAGGACACACAGCTGGTCAGATGTGGCAGGGACAAGGACACACAGCCTGGAGTCACAGCTCATCAGTGCCCCAACTTCACACACTTCCAAAGGCGGGGCAACCACAGCTTCTCTGGGAACCTGTGCCAGGGCCTCAGCACCCTCACAGGGAGGGATTTCTACCTGATGTCCTGTCTAAATCTACCCTCCTGCAGGTTAATTTCATTCCCCCTGTCCTGTCACTCCAGGCCCTTGGGAAAAGTCTCTCTCCAGCCTGCAGGATGCTCCCACATCAGTCCAGATGTGGGACCTCCTCTCTGGAAATCCACTCTGGAGACTTTCCACGAAAGCACATCCATGCCAAAGCTGCAGGCCCTCAGTTCACACCAGGTGCCCTGGGGATGGTCCATCCCTGACTTCCCAGCCCACAGGCATTCCCACAGCTTGGGAAATCAGGCTGGGTACATCTATACTGCCCAATCTCAGACTTAGTGCGCTGGACCTGTCCCACAACTCATGTAATGTGAATAAAATGCACCTAAGGGCAGCAGAGCTTTTCCAGATCTTCATAAAAATGTGTGTGAGGAGGGATGGGGAAGAGCACTCCGCTTTTCCTCCATTAAAATTTGTTTAAGGCACTTTGCTCAAAATTAATAAGAACAACTCCACTGTGTAAAGACAGTACATTGAAAATATCAGCCCCAAAGGTGATTTAAATAAAAGAGGAAAAGGGAAGGCAGAAGAATTTCTATGAGATGATATAGTTTCTAATGGATACAGTTTGTAATGGAAACGGGCACTCTTGAATATATATATTTTGTTACATATAATTATATCTAGAAGTATTAAATCAAAATACAAGAAATGAAAAATAGTTATTAGGCTCATCTAGCCCACCTCTTTGTTCACACAGGACCGTTTCTTCCACAGTGCTTTTGAAGGCTCCCATTTAGAAACCCCAAACAATCAATCTACTGCTTCTTTAGGGGCATTTCCACAGCCAAATAGATGAGATTTCCCTCAGAACTCAGCCAAACTTCCCCTCCCTCCACATTAATTTCATGTCACTACCCCCTGTACCACCCTACACCATGCCTGCACTCCTTCAGGCTCCCTACAAACAGCAGCAGGATTCTCAGTGGGGTTTATCCTCAGAGAGGAGGCATCCATCCATGCCTCACCTCTCTTCCAGCCCCCTCCATCATTCGAGTTTTTAGCTTGGACCCTCCCAGTTTGCCTCATTTTTTCTGGCCATTAAAATACCAGTGCAGAGAAAATTAAGGAGCTGCATTTATGTACCTCACACCTGCTGCAACAGGAACAGTCTGAAAACACTGAGACACTTTTATTCATCTAAAATCCTTCTACCCCTGGAGAAAAGCCTCAATTCTGGGGAAGAGAGAGACTCCAGCCAAGGTCTCTTTGTCATTTAACACTCATTTTAGTGGTAAGCATTAACATGAACATAATTAAGCAATTGACTCTTGGGGAAACACACTCTTTTATATTTTAAATATAAAATATACAAACATACATAAATATATATTAGTACCACTAATAGGTACCACTGATAGGATCTCTCCATTTCATTTCCAAGGTCATTGCCCAAACACCCAAGAAAAGGAATTTCATGTTATTTAAAAGGTATCAAATGCTGACAAAAGGAAGAACAATTTATTCCCTCTAATTGGGAATAAACATAAATCCTAGCAGAGACAGTGAGGACTGAGAACCAAACAAAACTCCAACCTTCCCCTTTGTCCTGAGCAAAGAAAAAGACTCAAAAGGGGTGACAAATTTATTACTAATTATACAATTATTTTATTATGTAGTCCTAGTAATAAACCACTTGAAGTACTTTCAGCTAATTCTAGTGTTAAGAAAATAATTGCTTGATTCAAATTATTTTAACTGAATTAATTCTTTACTAGACATTTTTTACTAGTGCTACATAATAAAATAATTGTGTAATTAGCAATACATTTTTCACTCCTGCCACGGGTATATATTTTACTCAGGTGAAGTGCAGAGAAGAGCAGCACTAATTGTTTGAGCAGGGCAGAGGGAGGAGGAGCAGAGAAATTGGGGGAACTTGATGCTTTCTCACAGCTCCAAAGCTCCCTCAGGTTCCTCAGGTGTCACCAGGAAAGGATTTTATTCCCAGGTGGTCAGGGAAGCATTTCTGTGCCTATGGGATCTTTTGGGACCAGCCTTCCAGGAGGATGAACCTCACCCCTCCATGGTCCCTCTGGGGACTTCAGTGTCCTGGGATGTCCCAGCAGCCTTGGGATCCTGATTAAATAGCTGATTAAACCCTAATATTTGTTATTAAATAAAACCAAGTGCTTTGCACTCTCAACACTTCAGCAGGGCTGGTGGAGCTGCTGCTGTTCCTGGGGCTGGAGTCACCCCTGGTGCTCCCAGAGCTGTCAAATCTGCAGAGGAGCATTCTCCTCTCTGAATGCCACTACCAAAGGGTCCTCACGGTGTTCCAGGCCAAATTTCGTGGGTTAAGTTAAACCTCAGCCTAACCTGAGCAACCTGGCCTGGTGAGAGGTGCTGCTGTCCATGGCAGTGAGGAGATCTGGGGCTCCCAGCAGCAGCCACTCTCAAGGAGGAGAGGCTGCAGGATGTCCCCAGGAGAGCTGGGGCTGCAGGAGGGTGGGCAGTGCCCACCGAGCTCTGGCCCCTTCCCTGCTGCTGCCCCCAGGCCAGAGCCACCCCCAGGGACACACAGCCCGCTGCAGGTGTCCCCATCCCCTGTGTGCATCAATCCTGGCAGCCAGAGCCCTCCCAGAGCCAGAGATCTGCTGGAGCTGGAGCAGAGCCTGGCTGCGACATCACCTGGGACCTGGACAGTTCTGGCCAAGACACACAAGCCAGCACCCAGCTCCAAACCAGCCTCTCCACACCACTCAATTCTTATCATTATTATTCTTTTTTTATTGTTATTTATCACCTGTCCTGGGCAAAAAGGAGAAGTGAAAGAGGAGCCCCCTTTGGCGAGCGGGGGTTTCACATTGGGGGGATTTGCATGTGATCAAACCCTCCCTGCCGAGCCCAGGACCCTGCTGCTAATTTCCAGGGAATTTCACGCTTGATGTCTCCCCGTCGTGGGTCACCGCCGGTTCGCCCAAATAAACCTCTGCCAAATGGCTCCTCCATCGGAATATTCCAGCCAGTTTTTCATAATTTAATTTTGCATTATGCTCAGGAGCCTTCTGGCCACGGAGAGAGCTCGTTGGGGAAGCCACCACCACCACGAGCTGCCTTTATTTAGGGTGTTATTTATTTATTTTACAGCAGAAATCAGACCTCCCAGGCTGACTAGGAAAGAGGGGGTTTAATTTTTTCCCTTTTTTTTTTTTTCCCCCTCCCCCTTCACTAATGTCAATTTTCAGCATAGCAAGAGCTGTCTCTAATCTTTTCCTACTCATTACACACAATTTTGGAGTCATTTTACCCACAGTGCAGTCGGCTCCTGGCAGTGTGTTTGTGTGCACTGAGGGGTGGCATAATTGTTTATTTTCCCTCCCTGCATAATCCCCAGCCAGCACTGAAACCAAAACTGCAAACAACTCCCCAAGGGACACCGAGAGTGTCAGGAGACACCAGCAGCAAGCAGGAGGCTGGAAAATGCAAGGAGCAAGGTGCAAAAATGGCTCTGTCCTTCCCTCCTCCTCCTCCTGCCAGCTGGCTGGAATAACCTGCGATATGCAGTATAAATATTAACATCCTCGTGCTGCCTGTTCCACCCAACTCCAAAGCTAAAACTCCTCAGCTTCTGAGGAACCCAGCAAGGCCAGATCCAGCATTTTAAAGTAAAATGATATTTAAGGACTAAATGAGGTAAATAAATACCTCAACAACTTCCCAGTGAGTTGTGTGGCTGGGGAAACAACTCTTGTAGGGAGTGCAGTAGCAGCACACGGAGCAGAACCCACCCTCAAAGGCCATGGGTATTTTCCAGAGGGAAAAAATTTGCCCTTTCCATCTGCAAACTCAAAGGCTTTTCCTTGTGCCCAGCTGAGGAGCCAGCAGAGCCCAGCAGCCTCTGCCACCCTGAGAATTTCCACCAGCTCAGAGCTCCTGCTACTTCTCTCACCCAGGTAAGAGGCCCTGATCTCATCTTTTACTTCAAATTTGATAGTATCAATCTCATGTCCTTGGCACTTCACAACATTTCAAGCAGCACTCTGTGGTGCTCTGAGCAGCCAAGACAGAGCCAAAACCACCCCCAGGACAGCTCCAAAGTGATGCTTTACCTTTCATTCCCCCAGAGAAGCCTCTCCAGTTTGCAAAGACCATCAGGGGCAGCCCTTCCCTGTTGAAGTCCTTGATTGCCTCGGCTGTTTTGAAGGCAGAGTCAGGGAACCACACCTGCCCAGCCTGCTGGATTATCTGGTGGGAAGAAAAATCCACTGTCAGGCCTTGAAGCACATTAATGTAAAACACAGGAGGATCATCAGGAGCTGAGATGTGGGATAAACAGTGAGGAACATGGCACATGAAATGGGTGGGACTTGCTTGGCCACGGCAAAATTGGGACAATCCTTTTGTCACCAGCTTCAACAGCAGCACTGCCTTTAATTCAGCCAAGAAAATATGTAATAAGTATGGACACAGCCTGACTGTGATGCTGTAAGGAGGGGAAGGAGAGGAGAAAGAAAAGGACATGGAGAAAAGAAAACCCTGGAGAGATGAAGCAGGGCCAGGGCTGTGAAATCAGGCAGAGGAACAGCAAAATGTCAGAGCGGGGTGGCCCTGGAACACTCCAGTCACAGCAAGAGAGCAGGGAAGTGATTTTTGCTTGTCACATCCCCTGGGCCCTAATCCCTGCCCCTCCCCTGAGCCCTGAGGGAAGCAGAGCTGCTGGGGATGTGTCTCCTGCAGGAAGGGTCACACAACAGCCCAGGCACTGCTCCCAGCACTGCCAGGCACTCCCAGCTCTCAGCATGGGCTGCACATCCAGGGAAAGGAAGGAAGGAATCCCACCTGGACAGGGGCTCCCTCCACAGGGACATCTGCAGAGGACAAACGGACAGGAGCACATGGCCCACCCACCTTGGCCTCTGAGTCCAGGTTTGCAGGATCAGCAGGAATGCTGAGCTCCACCGTCCTCGTTTCTACAGCAACCACTCCTACAGGTATTCCTCCCAGCCTGCAAACAGGTGAGACACATCAAATTCCCATCCTGCTCCTGCACATCCCAACACAGACACATCAAATTCCCATCCTGCTCCTACAGGTCCCAACACCCAGGACAGACAAACAGGAGCAGCGTTGTGGACTTTTGCAGAGTCAAGGCACGAGGCTGGAGAGCTCCAGAGAAGTCACAGTTCTCAAAGCAAAATCTATTCCAAAAATGAGCACGTTCCCCTCTAAAAATTAAACAGAATAAATCAAACCCAGATTTTGAGCAGTAAATCCATGTGTCCATCACCCAGATTTTGGTACTGATGGTCTTGAGAAATTGGAGAGTCCCAGAATGGGTTGGGAGGGACTTTAAACACTCCCTGTGTTTTGTCCAGATCTGCTGCAGGGTGACTGCCAGGTGGGTGCAGGGACACAGGGATGGGCAGGGACACCAGGGACACAGGGATGGGCAGGGACACAGGGAGGGTGCCCAGCTCTGCCTGCCAGGGCAGCCAGGCGCTCCTGCACACAAAAGCCACCGACACCACACTGCCAGGACAGTCCCAGCAGAGCCCCTGTTCCCTCCCCAGCCACCCCGAGCTGATGAGACACAAACAGGCAGGGAAGAGGCAGGGCCCATGTGCACTGAGGGGCTGGAAATATTCCCATTCCCTATGATTAAGGGTCTGCTGGAACCCCGTAATTGCAGAAGCCGTCTTAAATCGGTAACTTATAACTTCTATATTAGGGCCCATGTGACCTAATAAAGAACATCTTTATCCAAGTATTACAGTTATTTATTGAACTTGAAAACAGCTCAAAACAACTTCTGTTTTCCATAATACTTCATATAAATTTTATCAGGCTAGCACATGAAGATGCTACATCTTGTTTTATAGTGTGTCCCTGGACAAGTTGCCATAGAATAATAAAAGACAATTTACAGCCAACAGCACACATATTCCAAACATACATACAAGAGATGAGTTTTGGCAGCACTTACAGTAACAATCCCAGAAGAATACATTCATATTTGTTTTTTTCAAAGTGCCACTGCTTTTGAAAGGAGTCTGTTTCATTTGTGTTATATATCCCTGCTATGTGAGAGTCCAAAGCCACTTGGAATTTGCCAGAAGAAAGGAACTGCAAGTGAAGTGAGCATGGACAGAGAGCTTCTGCCTTTGCCAAATCATTGATTTCCATCCTTGGCACGCTGCTTAGCCTGGAAGCCTTTAAATTATAGAATTATAGAGCCAAGGAGTGGGTTGGAAGGGACCTTAAAGGTCATCTCATCCCTTTCTTTCCAACTCTTTCTATTAAATAGATATACATACACATAGACAGAGAAAGAAATAATCACAGGAATGTTGTGTTCTAGAGAAATGCAAAGCATAGCCCAAACTCAATTTCTACAATTGTCCAGAACATCTCAGAACTTACCTTGCTCTCCCCACCACGACTGTCTGTGCCCAGGGCTGCATGATCTCCATGAACGAGCCATGGTCGAAGAACCCGCTCAGCCACTGCCCTTTCTGATCTAAAGGGAAGGGAAAAAAGGGAAATATCAAAGGAGGAAGGAGAGAGGGCAAAAAGAAAACAGAATATCAAAGCAGCAACTCAAACTTGCTTAAAAATGCCAACTGGAGAACATGGCACTGTCTTTTTATTTATTTAATTTTAAATAGATGACAATACAAGGGAGCATTAGACAGTTGAGCATTTGTCTGCCTTCAGCCATCATGTCTTATTTCATTTCCTAGTCTGCATAAAGACAGCAATTTATCAGCAAAAGCATCATTTATTGTTAAACGATGGGGTTCAGACAGCAGAGGGACTTCCCATGCTTTTAAATAAATAACTCTGCTTTTTTCAAGACTACAAACATTTGTCAAAAGGCAGTAAAGTCATTAAAGATGGTTTTTAACACATCTATTTCTATTTTAAAACTTATCTCATATTCTTCTCTTGATCCTGCCTAATCTTTCCTTGAAAGAAGGAATGTTGAAGAAACCCAGGAACTAAATACGAAAATTTCAATGATATTTTAGAGCCAGTAACAGAAATCACAACTCTCTGGGGACACCTGCTTTGCACTGCGGTTTTGGGAAGTTCTGCATAAAAATAACCCACAAAAAAATCCCTCCAAACCCCTAAATCCCTCCCAGCTTCCCCCCTTGGCACAGAGCTCCTGGGGAACTCTTTCCTCTGAACAAGCACCTCTGCTTCTACAAACCCAAGTCCAAAACCAATTAAAAAGTGGAGATCCAAGCACGCTAACCTCTGCTGACTTAAACAGGATGGAGAGTGTTTTATCAAGCCCAAACTTGTAATTACTGTGTTCTACATTCCTTGCCTCTGTGGCCCCACTGTAAAATGTGACCATCCATTTCAAAATTATCTCTTTATCGCGAGCCCGAAGCTGATCGTTTAGATTCTGGCCTCGTGTCGGGCGTCAGTTTGAAGAATATCACGGCAATATCTCCTCTAATAAATGGCTTTAACTTTTCACCTAGGAGATATCTGCTTTAACTTATCACAGGGAATCATCTGCTTTCCTTAACGCTTCCACTAAATTAAAATCTGAAGTCACTCGATTTGGAAGCCGGCGTTTGCGGCGCCCAGACAGCTGGATGAATTGCTTGAGAGATGATGAAAAAATATTATCCAAAACCAGAAAACTTAGTTTATCACAAATCTCATTTTAGCCCCCCAAACTCATTAATAACAGCAGGAGTAATGGTCACCCAGTTTGCAGCTTGTACAAGGCTGCACAACCACAGTGGTGCCAACACAGCTCCCCAAGATCTGCAGGAATGTTGTGATTCCTTTAACTTACAGACCCTCTGTGGAAGAACTTTCCCTTAAATCATAAAAAAAAAAATCCATAAAAGTAACTATTCTAAGTAAATATTTCATCTATTAAAGAATGGTGTCCTTGAGCACTCGGGATTTATAGGCTACTTTTAGATAGTATTTATAAATAATATTCCAGATGAACATTACTATAAATTATATATATAATATATTATGTAGAATGTATATATAATATAAAATAAATATATCACATATCATAGATAATAGATATATTTATTAATATTTTTATTATTTTATATTATATATAATTATATATTATATATTTATATTTTATTATCTTATATTATATATGTTATATGTATTCTAAATTGTAAATTCTATTATAAACTAAATATTTGTATATTATATCTGTATTGCTTAGAACTAATTATTTTGCAGACTCTGAAATATATTTGGGTTGTAAAGCTGGCAAAGAGCCTTGAAACAAGAGGAGCTGCTGCATCTCCTGGCCATACTTGGGTTGGGGCGTCCAGCCAGCATCCAGCGAGGGTCGTAGGGGGTCTTGGTGGGAACAAAGTCGATGGTTCTGTCTATGGGATCCTTGGCTTTCAGGATGGGCACAGGGCTGTGTATGTTCTAAGGGAAAAAGGAAAATATTGAAGGAAGTGAAGTGAGAGCCCCCTTTCCCAAAACCCTGCAAACAAAGCCAGCAGTGGCACCTCTGCAGGCCCAGGAATTACCTTTGGCATGTAGGAAAGCCACTGCAGGATGGTGTAGACTCCTTCAAAGTCGTCACAGACAGTGTCATGTGTCACCCCGTTGTTGTGCATGATCTGGATCCCTCCCAGCTGGTTGTTGGAGGTGTAAACTTCCCGTCCAAGCACCTGGGGAAAGAAAAATGGGAAAGCCATCAGCACTGGGATGTGACCAGGAGGTGCTGGCTGAGGAGGCGCTCACAAACCCATCCCTGCAGCACCTCAGGATCACGTGGGAATGAGAAGGATGGAGCCAACTTCTCACAGCACAGCCTCCCGAGCCCTGTGTGCAGGTAAGAGCTGCTGAACAGCGATCCCTAGAGAACAGAGGGCAGGGAGAGCTGGGATACTGGGAAGGAATTGCTCCCTGGGAGGGTGGGGTGCCCAGAGAAGCTGCGGGTGCCCATGGAAGTGTCCAAGGCAAGGCTGGATGGGGCTTGGAGCTGCCTGAGACAGTGGAATGGGGCTTGGAGCTGCCTGAGACAGTGGAAGGTGTCCCTGCCCATGGCACTGGATCTTTAAGGCTCTCCCAGCCTGAACCATTCTGTATTCTACAATCCCCAAGGGAAATGATATCAGTGGAGAAACTGAGGCAGTTTTCCCACTTGCCTTCCCCAAGCAGCAGAGTGACCAAAGCCCATGAGTGCTGAGCCCAGCTCAGCTCACTAATCCCAAATTGCTCCAAGGAAACTGTAGAGTGGACATATTTAAATGCATAACTGAGGGGTAAAAAAAAAAACCAGACAAAGGCTCAGCAGCTCCTTGGAGAGGCTGGACAGCAGCAGGCTGGGGCTCCTCATTCTCCTGCACAGCTCCATCTCTAATCTGAGCCTGGGCAGCGCAGCTCTTTTCTCATTCTCCTGCTGTCTCTTCCCATTTGCCCTCTCCCTGACTGATACACTGATCTCTCGGTCACTTGGCTTTCTGCTCCACTGACTCCATATTACTAATAACACCTCTGCCACGGCCAGTTTACCTCATGAAGGCAGGAGCACATCATTACAAAATAAACTCATAACTTTGACATTCCAGCAAATACACGCCGTTTGTTATTTTTATGGGTTGAGTCTTTCTAACAGACAGAGGACATTACACACCTGCTTCATTTGGATCTTAAAAACCCCCTCAAACGTACACAACCAGCCTGGCCTCCCCCAGACACCCAGCACAGCTCATTCTGGGGACAGAGGAGCTGGCAGATGCCAGTCAAGGTTTATGTACAGAAGAAAACCATGCACAGATGTCACAAAACTCATCCCCAAATATAGAATTCAGCGTGTGTTTTAGCACAGGGGTGTTCCTGAGTCTCCCTCCTGAGCTCAAACACCTTCCTCCTCCTCCTCTAACAAAATCAGTGCCAAGCAAAGCCACGGCAGAGAAGACAGCAGCACAGATTTAGGTTCAAGGATAAGAAAAACCCAGATGCCAGGCACAAGCCTAGCTAAACGCTTCCCACAGAGGAAAATAAAAATAAAGAGGATTTAAACTCCCCCTCTCTGAACTAATGCAAACGCATGTACATGCAAAATGGGCCTGTGCTCCTGCTTATCTGAAGACTCTGCAGACAGCTCAGGTCTAGCAGCGCTGACAGGCAATGAAACAGCCTAATATACCACTGCTCTCACCCTTAAATCCCTTTTTGGAGATCAAGATAAACACACAGCTCCTTCTCCCGAGTGCTCCAGCCCTTCCAGCAGAGCCTGGAGCGGGTGGGAGATCCCAGAGCAGGATGGAGCCAGGGGCAGAGGGTGCCCAGCTGCAGGGAAAAGCTGCTCTGAGGAGAGTTTGAGCTGGGATTTGGATGAGCTGGATGTGCAGGTGAGAGGGGACAGGTGAGCTCTGAACAGCCTGAGCTGCTCCATCCCCAGATTGGCACTGGGCACTCGGGGGGTTGGGAGATCAGGGAATCTTGGAATGGTCTGGGTGGGAAGGGACCTCAAACTCTTTCCATGAGGGAATTCTTCCTCACATTCAAACCAGAACCTCCCCTGGCAGAGCTTGAAGCCATTTCCTCCTGTCCTGTCATTTGTTACCTTGGAGAAGACTTCCAAAACATCCCAAAACACTTGGGCAGTGCTGCCAACACCGAGTTCATCTCATCTTCAAAAAACCCATTAGGAAACCATATTTCTTGTTATTTCAGAGCATCTTCTGGCAAACACAAGCAGAGCCAGGATTCTAACAGCCTCTACAGGATGGTCCTCAACAGGTTCATGTGCATATTAATAATTTTCTAGCACTCCAGCCCATGCTGAGCAGCTGCTTTCTCCTCACAGAACCTGAGCTGCTGAAGAGATGGGACTTTCCCTGCAAAGCTGGGCTGGCTGAGGGCTGGGTTGGCTCATCTGTTTCACCCAGGATGAAAGATCTGAAAACATGACAGCTTGGAGGGCCTGAATGGGAATCATTATGTAACATAAGTGCTGTTATTATTCCAAGCATATCATGTGTTTATATCAAATATAACTGCCAGATTTTTATCCAAATAATTTCAATAATTGCAATTCCCATCCCACAATTTATATTGTCTGCCAGAAACATGAAGCAGAAGAGGCATATGCACGTCTTATAAATAGCCTATTTTTCATAAACAGGCAGAAATGATGGGAATGAATGTCTCATCAGAAAAAATGTAGGAACACAATGCAGGAACTTCCAACCTGCCTGCTATTATGTGCAGTCAAGCCTCGACAGAGCTCAGTGCTCATTTCCAGCTCTTCCCCCACACGGATCATGTATTAGAGAGGAAAAGCAGCGAGAGGGAAGAGAGCCCAGCTGAGCACAGAGCCCTTCCTGAATGCACAGCCCCTGTGCCTGGCAGTGGGAGCACAGACAGCTCCTCTCTGCCCTTCCTGCATTCCTAATCCCTGAATCCGTGCAGTTCCTGCACTTCTAATTTACGAGCGTTCGGTGGGGGACCCTTCTGACTTGGGAACAGATTGGCTCGGTCTAATGCTTGGAGATTATTAAAGGCAGAGCTATACTCCACTATCAAGTCTACAGATCTTTTATTTAGAAGATATGGTGCTCTAAATGCACAAAGAGCTCCCTGTCACCTTCACATTAAAGCCCCTAGTGCCTGGTAAATGGAATTATATAGCTGTCATCTCCTTTCCCCAAAGTTTTAAGAGTACAATGGGCTCATTTTTTCCCACTCCATCCCAGCTTCAGAACTAAGAGACCTACTTTGTATTGATTTAGAGTCTCGGAAATAAATAAACCTGCTTCTCCAATGTGATTCACAAGAAATTCATGATACACTATTGCATGATATATTTCAAGCTGCAGCTCCGGCTCTTTTTTCCCTTTGGTGAGTGATGGGGGAGGTGGGAGCTGGGGGGAGGTGGGGAGCTGACAGCCTGATGGTTATTGGGGATGGCTCCTGACTGCAAATCCACAGGCAGGTCCTGCTGGTGGAGTCTTTCCCTGCTTGCATTTGGTGAGATCAGAGGGGGAAGGGGCAGAAGAGCGATTGCACTTCACCTGGCAGGGAGCAGGGCAAGTGCAGCCAGGTGCACACAGGGAATTGCAGCTCCTGCCTGGGGATCCCACCACTCCTCACAGAGACACAGGGAGCAGGGCTCCACAGCTGGGCACACACACAAGAGATTCTGCCTCTTTGCAGCATCTCACGTTTTTGGTGGGAACATTTTTCCACCTTGTGGTTATCGAGGAGGATTTAGGAAAATTTCTAGGTTGCAGCAAACAAAAAAAACAAGTTTTGCAATCTTGAGAGCTGAAGTACAAACTTGAGATCAGACAGGCTCCAAATGACCTCTAAAATATTTGCTGTGCATATTAAAAATAAAAATTAATTTGGGAAGAAAAGTCAGCTGGGAAATAAAATCCAAACAACTTTTCATTCAACCCAAAAAATTCCAAAGAAGCTCATCCAAGCTGATACTTTTTTCTGAAGAGCTCCAGTTTCGGTGAAGTGGCATTTCCAAATGAAAAATGTCTTGTCAAAACCCTCGTGCCCCTCTCTCCTCTCCCTGCGTGTGTTTTGCTCAAGGTCACTCCCTCAGTCAGTGGTAAATCAAAAGGACTCAATACACTTCGTAAACTAAAATTACAGCCCCTATTCTACATGGTGCCAACACCCATAAATCCCACCTGTCTCAGCCAGGGGTTCCCTAATCTAGATATGAACCCTATAAACAATGTTAAGGGTTGTCTCCAACTTGAAGATCTTGGCCATTTCTTTGTCACCTGCTGGACCCCAGAGAACCCCATTACTCAGAGACCCTGGGGGCACAGGCTGCAGTGCAGGGACCTCTTCACCAGGACAGTGAAACTCTGTTCACCTTCCAGTGTGAGTTTAGGCTTAGCCATAAGAAATGTTGCAGTTCTCCAGTGCTGCTCCTGTTCCCATCACGTCTCCAGAATCACAAGGAAATTTCTACAGGAAAGGCCCCAGGCTGCTCACCCTGGTGTCCTCCTGGGGACATCCCAAGAGGGATGGTCAGGACCAATAATTCTGGGATGGGTTGGAAAGTTCAGCTCCTGTGGGACATTAGGGAGCACAGTTAATGCTCCAGTGAGAACCCACCCTGCAGGATCCCCAGGAGCTGGGACACAATCCTGGGGAAGAGGTTTGGACTGGCAGAATATGGGCCACGATGGCAAACTCATGTTTAGCAGAATTAAACATACACAGAGCCCCCAACTGCACAGATAAACTGAGCAAGATCTGTATTAAAAATGATAAAAGGAGGGAGAATAAAAAAAGTCAACAGAAATCTATTAGACTTTCTTCCCTAAGCAAACATCAAGGGACTGATAATGGCATGCCTGGAACGTAAATTGTCTCTAATGGGAACAATACACAAATATCACCACTTAAAGAAAGGCAATTAAAAGGAAAATGCAGCAGTGGAGGGTGGTGGTTGTTTATCTGCACCAAGGCCAGGCATCCATCCTGCAGGTATCCACAGAGCAGGGACCCCTGTGTCACCTGCAGTGCCACCATCCACACCCCCTGCAGCACCTACAGCCCCTGACTGGCAGGGGAGGAAGGGAATGAGCCTGGCTTAGCTGGGCCTGAGCATGGCCAGGGACACCTCCACAGCACCACGGTCCTGGGCAGCTCTGGGAGAGCCCAAGCTGCACCCTGAGACCTGTTCTCACCTCCTTCACTGCCACAACCACCCAGGGCAGAGCAGAGGGGCCTGTGCTGCCTCCCAGGACTGGGATAACCTTGGGCAGCTCCAGCCTCCACACAAGAAGCCAACACTTGATGCTGGTGAGTGCTGATTTCTGGTTGACACTTCCCACCCCTCCTTGCTTAGCACTCTCCAACACCCTGCACCCATACAGATCTTCCCAGCAGTCCTGCTGTGCCACTACAGAGAGATTCATATCATGCATTAATAATTATAATGCTTCTTTGAATGACAGGGCTGGCACTTGCTGTTCTAACTCACATGATTGCTCTCACATGATTGCTTTGATCTAATCCCAAGACTGGAGTCATCTTGAGCAGATACTGAGCTCTCCCTGCCTTGAATCTCAAAAAAAAACCAATAAAAAAAGAAGAGCTTTCCACAGTACAAACCCCAAACAGCATCAGGCTAACAGGGCTTTTATTTATTTTTGCAGATTGTGAAATTGAAGGGTAAATATTACTGTTGGCAATCACTCCCCAGCCTGTGTGAGCCTCCTGTTCCTCCCTGAGCTCCTCCAGGGAGCCTCTGAGCTGTCCAGACCTCTCTCACATGGGCACAGCCCCCTGAGCAGCCCTGACCTATTGTCTCATCCTGTTATATGAATCCCAGAGCATCCAAGAAGTTCTGCAGCACAATTCAGGACTGAATCAAAAAATACAAAGATATTCTCTTCTGACCTCATGCAACCAACAACACCAAACAACACTTTTTTTTTGACCCATTCTTGTCAAAAATGAAGCTCAAAGTTCTGAACTATGCCTTGAATGTTCCATGTTTTAGTTTCTGACCCCTCATCTTCCCTGCAGCTGAGATTGGTCCAGCTCATCCTTGGCACTCTTGGATGCTCTGAGCAAACCATGGGGAGCACGGGGCCTGATGATTCAGGCAAGTCAAGACCAGAGAGTTTGAGGGAAAATAAAGCTAAAACAGGAGGGAAACAAACCAGTGCTGCTCAGAATTCTGTCACCTCCAGAAGGGATGGCAGCTTTGGGGCAGCCCTTCCTCACCAGCAGAAAATAAACTGTCTGAGAGCCTGGTTGAACACCTACATAACAAACGGCTGGGAATGCTGTTTGCAGCAGTTCCTGGAAGTCTCAACTGAACCTGGCTTCCCTTAGGAAAAGCCTAGAACACATATCTGCAGGGAAAATGTGACTGAAAGCCTCTATTTGTTTCCATTAACACAACAGTCTCCAGGACGGGATTTCTTTTAAACACAAAAGACAAGGAGGAGCAAACTGATTAAAAATAGGTCAGCAGCAGGCTGTGGAACATCCCTGGGAGGAGTGCAGTGGAACAGAGCCCTGGAAGCTTGAAGCACATTAGCAGTGCAGGAATGGGGAATGCCAGGCTCTTTGGTCTCACTTCCATTCAAAAGAGAACCCATGGAAATGAAGGTGTCGGTGCAGGGCACGGCACATCTGAAATCACCCCGTGCTCAGGTTATGACGAGGGAAGGGAGTGAGGGAGGAGGAGGAAGGTTTGGGGGTAGAAAAAGGGGGAGGCAGGGGAAGTTAAAAAAAAAAAAAAATTTAAAAAAATCTCTGCCTCAGCAAAAGTTTTCATTAAAATTTTAGACAAATGATCTCTGTGTCCTTCTCCCATGCTGCCTGGGGCTCCATGCTATTTCTATGCAAATAACAACCTCGTGGTTTATATCTTATTATTTCCACCGGAGCTGCGGCGACATGACCCGAGACGTGTGTGAGGTAGAGACAGCGACAGAGAGAGAGGGAGAGAAAGAGAGGGAAGGGAGGGAGGGAGATGGAGTGGCTGCTCGCTGAAGTGTGAAAAAATATTGTCAGGAGTGAGCAGCAAGAACAAAAAAAAAAAAAAAAAAAAAAAAAAAAGAAAAAAAATTGCAGGGATAACGTGTTTATTTCAGCCCCTCTCCCCATGTGAACCAGCATCTTTTAAAATTCATTGGGCATCAGGCGATCATGCACAATCCATCTGCTTTCACTTTATCATTTGCATTTCATGCCTCCTGGCTTTTGATGTGCTGATACTTTGATGCAGTCAGGAGACGCGCATTATCATTATTTCAATTTGCAGGGGGGTCAGCGGGCTCGGCACATGCTCACCGAGAGCAAGGAAATGGCATTTCCACCTCTCCACCCCCTGCTGAAACGCACTGGGGAGACAAAAGGGGGCCAGCTGAAGCACGGCCCCGTGCCCCCCATGCCCCCCACACCGGCACTGCCCCAGCCAGGGCATCGCAGCTCCTGCCCAGGACAAACAAAGGCAGCTCCAGCAGAGCACGGGGAAAGCCTGCCCAGCCTCAGCATTCCCTGCCAGGGAACGGGGCTGCAGAACGCTCTGACCCAGCTGTCTCCCCAGGACGTGCCTCACCGTCAGGAGCACAGAACCCACCAGGAGCTGCAGCTCCAAACCACGCCGACCTTGAGCTCATCATCCGAGGCAGAGGTCACCCTCTGGCTCTGGCAGCTGGACCTTTCCCTCCACACCTAAACCCTCAGGCTGCTCTGACATAATGATAATGAACAAGACCAGCGACGCCTCTGGATGCACGGAATGTTTGCCACCATTCCCCTCCACTCACTTTATAATTAGAAAGAATCCAGCATTTCACAGGGAGAAAAATAAAATTAAACAACTTCCCAGAGAACCCTGCCTGCTCTCTGAAAGCCCAACTGTCTCCATCACTGCAGAAACAGTTTTGTGCTGCACATTCTGCTGGCGGAGAGGAGACATTTTGAAGATGTGTTTGCAGACACAAGAATTGCCAGCTTTGTCCTGCATCCTCTGGGAACACACATATGTAAAAGTCAGCAATGGAAAAATTGTCCCAAATCTCTGGCACATAGCTGGGAAAAGCCAAAGGTGGTGGTTTCCATGTATTTATCTTTGCTCCAGCCATCATCTCTCCTGAAGCCCCTGCCAGCCCTGACTCCCCACCTGCTCCAAGCAGCACCAGGCCTGACTCACCCCACGCAGAACAGCTACAACAGTTTCCCTTTCTGCAGTCTCATTCCTGGGAACCAGCAGGAACACATCGTATCCCACACCCACACAGCCTCTGCACTCCTGCAAGGGGACACTTGGCATAAATGGCCCCAAAAAATTCAAACTGGCTATCTGAATCCCAGGGACAAGCATTTAACAGGTTTCAAGGAGCACAGGGTGAGTCTGAAGTCACTCCAGATTCCATGGCAGGAGGATGCCAATGGATCAGCATTCACTGCTTCTTTCAGATCCTCCAGAGCCAGACTGAGCTTGGACATTCCAGGCTAGCTCTGGACACCAGTTCCCTACGTCAAACACACTTCTTGGACACAATTGCAGCTGGATCCCTTCAAGAAGGTCTGAGCAGAACTGCAGGGACTGGAAGCTGAGGAGGATATGGAGCAGCAGGCACATCTCACACACCCAGGAGTGAGTGGGGACTCCCGCTGCTCAAGGGCAGGTAAACACTGCTGGGAAAGCTGGATAGGATGCAACAGGTTCCTCCTCACCTTTAGGCAGGTGGAGGTTCAGAGCTGACACAAACATCCCAACAGAGCAGGGAAGAGGGAAAAGGACACATGGGACCATTCAGCCCACTGAAATTCCCAGGATGGGAGCTCCTTCTGCCTCTGCCTGCTGACAGATGTCAGGTGCTTAATTCAGTCTGTATCCTTAATTTTTAAGTGCCGAAAATTCAGTGAGATTAATCCAGTCCTGTGAAAACAACCATTGACTCCATGGGCAGGGAGTGGATTGAACCTGGGAAGAGGAGGAGAACTGAACAGCCTGGCCCTGCCATCTGGGAAACTCTGCAGGGCCCCGATCCCCAGCAAGTGACAGCTGGAGCCACGCAACTCACTGCACTCCAGCAAGCACTAAACTGACTCAATTTCTTTTTAAAGGCTGGATCTTCAAATGCCTCTTTTCCTCCCATTGATGCAGGTGTGTGCGATGTGTGTAAGAGATCTAACTGAGGGTGCTGCAGCCTAGAGTTGATAGGATCAATGCTTCATTTTCTGCAGAGCCCCCTTTATTCAGGGGAATAATTCAACAAGAGCCTGTTTTCCTTTATCTCCCATTGTCAGGCAGGCACTCCTGGAAACACAGCTTGCCATGGAGCACAGGCACCTCAGGTGCTGAGAGTGCCTGAGAACAAAGCTGCTCGATGGGGAAGGGCACTCACAGCACACAGCCCCAACTCCAGGGAAACAAAGCCCTCAGGGACAGGGATGGGAGCAGAGTTGGCTGGGAGCCGTGTCTGCACCAGGCGAGGAGCAGGAGGCTGTGGGATTAATCGGTTTGGGGCAGCACAGCAGAAAATCTGCCTCTGGAGTAGGACAAAAAAAAGAGCCACTTTAGCAGTGAAGCTGTAAGTTTTCTTTTTAACAGCCCCAGTTATTCCTCCTGACCCCACGGCCGAGATTTCCAGCAGGAAATCTTATTTCCAGCCTGGAAAATCAGTATCCAAGCTCCTCAGGTGCAGTGCTCCCCAGAACTAATACAATTCTGGGGGTGACTGGAAGTTCAGGCGATTCTGGGCCGTGTATTTTGGAACAGGAACTTCCAGACACTGGGAACAGCCCTGTTTCCCCTCACAGCACCCAGTGGGTGGGAGCAGACACTGCCTGGCCTTCTCTACTCCTGGTATTTAATCCGTGCCCACAACCTCTGGTAAAAGCTGCTTCTCCTCCTTCAAGGTCCTTCCAACCCAAACCATTCCAGGACCCCATGAGAAACCCCAGCTCCACTCTGAGAGCTCTGAGGACTGAAATGCAAGGGCTGACCTTGTTGAGGGCCCCACAGCCGGTGAGGATGATGTGGGAGTTCTCCACCTGGATGGTTCTCTGGCCCAGCCGCACGATGTAGGCCCCAATCCCAATTGCCCGGCACGTGACCTGGAAAAAAAGGAAAAAGGGGAAAAAAAACCAAACCAAAGGCATTGATTTCTGTCTCTCCACACAGCCCCAACCTATTGATTCAAACATTGAGATAAAACTAGGTGGGTTTTGTAGTACAAGGCCATAAAATCTACTCTCGCTGGAAAATTCCAGAATCCATTACTTTGTAAAACACAGGATCTGAACATAAGTGTATTTTATGTTCTTTAAAAAAATAAAAACAACAAAAGAGAAGCGGCAACTTTCAGGCTGAGCAAGTACAAGGCCAGGAGCTGGTGCCAGGAGCATTGCTCAAAGCCTACAGGAGCCCATTTCCATCAGCCAGAAGGCTGATCCCAGATGGATGTTTGGGATATCATCACAGGATTTTCAGCTGAAACAGACAATACATTTGAAGAATAGAAAGCAGTGGGGGATTACCAAGCTGATGGTGATAACACTCTCATAGGCTAAGGATGATTCTCCAGCAATCATGCCAGATCCTCTGAGGTTCTCTACTCCAAGCCCCTCCTCCTTCCCGATGATATCCGTTATCTTGTACCTGAGGGAGATACAGACAGCCTTTGAGTCACAAGGTCCAGTGATTTGCTGAATCAGTTTGCTACAAAGAAAATGAAAAGTGACTAAATATCATTAAGGTTCCAAGGAGAAATGTGCATAAAGGCCGGGCAGGAGCTGTGCAGGGCTCATCCTGCAGCACCACAGAACCTTCCCACAGGAGCAGCACTGTGAGGGGAAATGCCAAGGGGGAGGAAGGCCTGGGAAAAGTGTCCTGTCATTCCCACAGGACGTGAGGAGCAGGCTGATTATAAGAAAAAGGGCAAGAAAGGAAGGGAATGCAGACAACGGGGAAAAGGAGAAGAACAAGGATTACAAAGAGGCTCTCACATTTTCTTCACTTCCTTCTTCCATACCTCCACCCCCAACCCTAAGGAATGCCCCAGCTGAGGACAAGGACACACCAGGCAGCACCCAAGGATGAACAGGAAGCTTTTAATTCCTACCTGGACTCTCCATTTTCCTCCACGTGTTCACAGTGAACAGAGTTCAGGGCGCTGACTTTCTTATAGTCTTGAGGAGTCAGGTACAAGTATTTGTACCCCTGTGGGGAAAGACATTTCATTCACCCCAATCCCACCTGTAGTCCCTTCCTGATCCCCTGCAACCCCTTCTGAAAAGAAACTTTAATGGGACAGAATTTATCCCATGGAGTGATAAAACCATTCTCTCAACGCTGCAGCTGGGGCCACTGAAAGCTGGGAATGGTACAGTATTTAGCACTGACTCCATCTGGATGCCAGTCTGCTGCCTGGGAAGTGGTAAAATCCTAACATGGAATGGTTTGGGTTAGAAAGGACCAGGTTGCACCCAGCCCCATCCAGTTTAGCCTCAGACATTTCCAGCGCTCCAGATCCAATACCAAGGAGAACTTTGGAGGTGACACTCTGAGAAATGTTTACCCTCATCTCTATTAGAAGAGGTGGTATCAAAATAAGACTCCTGTGGGCTGCTGCAGAGTTTCCCTCCGGTTCCTCACCTTGTAGGGGTTGTCTGGGTCCTCCCAAGCCACGTGGAACATGTGTCGGATCTCCTCTGCCAGGCCGATCCTGGCCCCGCTGTTGGCAGCCACGTAGATCCGGGGAATGCCCTGAGCCCGCGCCAGCTCAGACGCCCTGAGGAACAGCACGTCCTCCTGGGGCCCAAAGGAGCCGATTTTGTAGGTGATGTCATTGCCAATGACAATGATATCCCGGCCCTCCGGATACTCCGGCGTCTTCAGGGTCATCTTCCAGGCCACCATGCCAATCTGCAGTCCAAGAGCAGAGAACAGCACGAAATAAACGTTGTGTCTTCAAGGTGTGAAAGGAGGGAGGCACACAGGGATCATTTCTCTTATTTGAAGAAATGGATCTCTTGGATTCTCTTGGGCTTGGTCTATTTTCCCTGGGAACTTGGATAACAGCAGCTCTGATGGGCTCTGCCAGTGCACAGCACAGCTGGAAGCACTTGATCCTTCCCACACTCCTTGGAGCTCATTCTCCACTGCTCTCATCCCACCAGGACACTAACACCGATTTCCCTCTCCCTGCTCAGGGGTTTATCACAGGTCCAACACGTCCTGCCCACGTCCCTCTCGCAGGGAGCTGTGGATCCCTGTGCTCCCAGGGTGAGGTGGGATGTGCTGCTGCACACGACTCCTGACCACCTGCTCAGCCTTCCCTGCACACCCCACACCCTCATTTGAACCACCTTTTTATTCCATTGCTATCTCAAATTTTCCCCCCATCCTTCCTTTCGTTTCTTCCTCTCTTCCCCTTTTTCCTTCTCCAGTTTTACAGCAGCTCCATCCCAAACCTGCCCGGGTAAGCAACACTTCTTTAACTGCATATTTTTCTTTTCCAAAAATCACGGGATGATCTCTCCTGAAGGATCAGCAGCATCCCTCCCCTGCCTGCCCCATCCCTCAGGGAGCCGGGGCCAGCTCGGAATGCCATTAACAGATGGGAACAGCAGCGTCCCTTGAAAGCCACATGCATCACCCAGTCCCCGCTTGCCCAAGGATCATAAGCTCTGAGTACACATTCCTCAAGCCGATTGCACATCCTCTGCAATCAGCAGGGCTGAGACTCTCATTGTGGAGCCTCGGAATTCTGAGCATGATGAACTAAAGCGGGAGGGGGAGAGGCAGCAGATAGATCTGTGCCATTTAATCCACATCCAAATGGCACAATACACAGCCCAGATCCAATCAGCATCTGCAATAAGATATGCCATAATAGGCTCATTAAAAAAAATAAAGAGGCAGAGGAATTAATCAAAGGGTCATTGGAAGTAAAGCAGGCAGCAATCCAAAAATATTACAGCCAGCTACTGGCAGATCCTTCCTTACACCTCTCCTTCCAAGAGCTGAGATTGCAAGTTAACAGAGTGTTTCAGTTCACCTTCTCCTTGGATTCCTCCACTCCTACTCTGACAAGTCAAAAGGGAATAATCTGTTTGCCTCTGAATATTTGCAGACTTACAGTTCCACCTCAGCATCCATCTGCAGCGTTTGGAACAGAGACATGCTGCAGCAGATTCAAAGAAGGGAGAAAAAAATCCCTGAAAGTTGTTTCCTTACAACAACACTTCCTTACTCAGCCAGGGCTGAGGGACCAGTGATGGATCAGGGCTGGTCCCACAGTCCATCCCACCCACCAGGATGTAAGAGATTTTCCTCATTTTCAGCAGCTTGATGATTTTTGATAGCACAGGAAACAGGCCGATTTAAGGCACTTCTTATTTAGAAAATTCAGATTGTAAAAAAAGTGTTGGAATAGTTTCCTAGCCCAAGATAGCGTGTCCTCTACACCAGTAAAGTCCCTTTTGCCAGTGCTCATCAGTAGAACAGAAAACAAGCTAGCCAGGGCACAAGCTCCAGAGAACAGTTTACAGTTGAGAAATATGGAACAATCCTCTACAGTTAAGGAAAAGAAGAATTAAAAGTGCACCACTATTAACTCAGGTGTCTTTTACCTCCCCAATTCTTCGCATGTTTTGTGCCATTTATCCAGTAATAAAAGCCATGGGGATCTGCACAAGTAAGGAATTTTTTTTGCTATGAATTTGCTAGATTCAGTTGAGATTTATGGGCAGTGGAGAATGGCTTTCTATTCCAGAAAAAAAAAAAAAAAAGGAATAATGAGATTTTTAAGTTAACGGCACCACTCCAAAAACTGGAGAGTTCCCAGGTTAATTAGCCAGGCTGAGCTAATCACCTAAGAGCACTGGCAGGCAATAGCAGGTGATGGTGAGCAGCCCTGGCTTTGGAACAGGCTCTTTTGAAGAGGCAGCACAGTTTGGAAGTGCTGCTCCTGCCACAGCTCCATTCCCAGCACACCCAGGAGTGAAGAAGAGGTGGAGGAAAAAATAAAAGCAGGAACCTTCTTATTTAACTGTTTTTATGTTGGCAAAATGATTTGTGCCCCGGTATTTCCATAAGAAGTGGGACCATTATTCTCCTGTAGGAACACATTTGGTTTGAAAAGTATCAGTGGGCAGCACGTGAAAATCAAAGGGGATGAATTATTCACAAGGCCCGATCAGAAGTGATCATTATTTCTGATGCTCCAAACTGTGATTAGGATTCAGTGCTCAGCTGTCATTTGCTCTCTGAACGGCCCCAGCCCCGCAGAATTGCACGACACACACGGAGATGACACCCAAGTTTCAGATGTATAATTTTACACACACCTTCTCCCACTCCATCTTGGCCTTAATGGAAGCATTAAGAGCCAGTAAAACGGGCGCGCTAACGAACGGCGCTTCCCCGGCGCTCGTAAACGCCGCTCGTTTGACACCCAGTGTCAACACTAATCATGGCCTAAAATTAACACCAAAATTGACTTCAACATTAATTGCACTATCGATGGGAACAGTAATACACACACTGATGCAGTTCCAAATTGACTGCTGGTGGCAGCCCGAGCTGTTGACAACAGGCACCGAGGGGAACGGGGAAGGAGCCGATCCCAGGCTCCCTCCCTGCAGGCTCCAAGCAGAGGGGAGCCAGTGCCAGTGCCAGCTGGTGCCAGGGACAGGGAGCTTTTCAAGCTCTTTCTGGCAGGTCTGTAACTCCTGGAGAAGCGCAGCCAACAGAACCACAGAATATCCTGAGCTGGATGGGATCATCCAGTCCAACTCACGACACCCCCACAATCCCACCTTGTGCATCCCTGAGAGCGCTGTCCAAACGCTCCCAGAGCTCTGGCAGCCTTGACCATTCCCTGAGGAGCTTGTTCAGTGCTCCACGACCCCCTAGGGGAAGAACCTTTCCTGATACCCAACCTAAACCTTCCCTGGCACAGCTCCAGCTGTTCCCTCAGGTCCTGTCACTGGGCACCAGAGGGAAGAGATCGGTGCTGGTTTATTCTACTTCCCTCACTACAGGGCAGTGCTGAGCTGGGGACTGAAGGCCAGGCTTCATTTTATCCATTTACATCCAAATTTGGAATGCTGAACGTGGGTATTCACCTGATACAGATGCAGCAATTTTGGCATTTCATCAATTGAAAGTGTTGCCTGGAACTTCGGATCTAAAAGAGCGACTCCCTGCACTTAAACTGTGCAGAGCTTTCCAATTTTTATCTGGAGCATGAACCAGCTCCCAGGAAAAGGGCAGAGTGCACACAGGTTGCCAGAGGCATTCCAGCTCCATGCCTCCACAAGGCTGGAGTGCCAAAACTCAGGATTCCTTCTTGGCTCTGGAAAAGGTGTCCCTCAGCAATCCAAGCGTGGTGGTGGCAGCCCAGCCAAGCACGCTGGCACGATCTGAGTGATGGCAGGAACAGCTCCAGGATGAGATGTGACTCAGGGAAAGGTGTCACAGAATCCCAGAACCATCCAGGCTGGAAAAGACCTCCAAGATCATCGAGTCCAACCTGTCACCCATCCCCACCCTGTCACCCAGACCAGAGTGCCACATCCAGTCATTCCTTGGACTCCTCCAGGGATGGAGGCTCCAGCACCTCCCTGGGCAGCCCCTTCCAGTGCCTGACCACCCTTTCCATGGAGAAATTCCTCCTGAAGTTACAGATGGATAAAGATACATTACAGAGGGCAAGAGACTACCCTCATCAGGAGCTTTCCTGTGGGCAAAAACATTCCTGTCCACGGTATCTGTGTGATTCACACACACCTGTTCAAACATCTCTGTAACAACAGAGAATAAAACTGTGCCACCACTTCCATCTCTGTTCCTGGAAGGCTTGGATTTAGGGATTTTAAAACCCTCCAAGAAATCTGCAGCTCTCGCTGCTGTTTTAATTCCCCGTGCCTGCCATAAAATGCAGGAACAGGGGGTGACAAAGCAGAACATGCAGCTCAACGATTAAGCTGTGCTTGTATAAAATGCATTAGCTACACCTTTCCGCCTCTGGCAATCCGGAAAGCCACCAGAGCAGCATTCCAGGAGCCCTCTGCCATCCTGAATTTCCCCTGGCCAAACCTTCCCAGCTACCCAGGAAAGGTGCTGCAGCCAAAGCTCCAGCTAACAGCGGTGATTGTGGATTATCTCTGATCCTCGTGCTACTGAGGAGGAAAAACTGTGACATCTAGTGCCAGTGGGGAAAATGACACATTTTCCATGGGCAGAGAGGGATGAAGGGGGATGTGGGGTGTTGCTGCAGGCCCTTCTTACATCACTTTCTCCTTGTCCTTGAAGATTAGTTGGGTCTTATCAGCAGCTGGTGCTTTCCTGGTGCCAGAGGATCAGGGGAAATTGTAGTCAAAATACATAAAGTGCTATAGAAAAGCATCCGAATGCCTGGCTCAGGACTGACAAGGAATATTGAGTTCTGCCAGGGGCTGAGGGAATTACCTTTTCACACTGAGATTTCTGCTAATATGCTAATCTTGGGAACAAAGCCCTGGGCTTTGAAGGGGGTGTCACTGTGCTCCAGGTCTTGTCTCCAGCATGGTGATTTAAACAGTGGAGGATACACTCCTGAACTGCTCTGTGCCCACCCAATTTCTCACTCTTTCAGAGATTTCCCCAGCAGGGGTGGAACAGGATGAGGTTTAAGGTCCTTCCAACCCAAACCAGTCTGGGATTCTGTGACAAAGTGGAAAAAGAGGTGTCCTCTGGATGGTCAGAGGCTGGGAGAAGGCCCCATTTGTGGTGGTGCTGTGCCCCAAGGGCAGGGCACAGCCAGCAGCAGAAGGACTGGGACCCTCTGCTCTGGAGCAGCCAGAGCAGTCCAGGAATAAGGAGCAACTTGTATTTTCACAGTCCATTAATTCCTTGGCTTCTTTGTTGAGACCACAGCAAAGAGCTAATTACTGCAGTGGCGTGGTGGGCATGGGGAGTGGTCGTGAGCTTCTGAGAAAAACTGCTTGGGCTGGGAAAAAGTCTTGAGACATCAAGATTTTCCTCAAAGCACAGACAGATTTTTGCCCAAAATGCTGCTTGCAAACTCTGTGAGGACAGGGAGAACCCCAGCCTGGAGCTCCTGGCCTGCCCCATGCCAGAGCAGGGATTGCAGCTCTGGCTGAACACGCTGCCCACAGATCCCCTGGATTTTATGCTGGTTTCTCAATTCCTCCCATCGCTCAGGACACTCAGCTCAGCTGAGTGTCCTGACCCCTTCTCACAGAGAAAATGTCACTGTCAGAAAGGCCAAGCTCTGGCTCTGAGCAGCTGATCCCCAGTGTGGGGCTCCCACTGGAAGTGCGGGAATGGCTCTGAGCCTCTGATCCAAAACACGGAGAACAGAAACCTAAATGTACCCAACAACAACAGCAACATTTAACACAGGCAGCAATTCCCAACAGGTATCTCCTCTTCACTAAAAACACAATGGACAATCTCTACTTTGAATTCAGAGAACCAGCACTTTTTGCTGGCCAGAAATAAAAATAATAATAAAAATCTCACATTTACCTGTGAAGTTCCTATTTCACCTGTCAGTCAGCTCACTGGAACCAGCTCTGGATCTCTGGGGCACAGACTCCACTGTGGAGTTGGAGGGAGCTCAGAGCCCATCCAGTGCCACCCCTGCCATGGCAGGGACACCTTCCACTATCCCAGGCTGCTCCAAGCCCATCCAGCCTGGCCTGGGACACTTCCAGGGATGGGGAGCCCACAACCTCCCCAACCCCTTTGGGCAAAAGGCATTTGATAGATCACATCAGATCAGATTAATTTAAATACCAACACTCCACACACCACAACAGCCATGTAATTTCTTTACAGACTGAGCACAACAAAGTCTACCAAGGGTTAAAAAAAAATCTCCTAATTTTTTTTTTGGTGGTCTTTGGGTACAGAATCTCTTATAATAAGACTATTTGTATTCATACTGGCAGAGTAAACACTACATGTTCATGCCCAGGCAGCTCTGTGCTTGTAATTTCAGCAAGAACAGAGCGACGTCCCTGAGGGACTTTGCTATTTCCCCAGCCACCATCCACTCAAACGCTGAATGAGAGCAGGGAAAGAGAGAAAGATGATGGCACAAGGCTCCCCAGCAGCCTCAGCATGCACTGGGAGTGCAGGGAATAGCTCATTCCGCCTTTAATTAGACCAGTTCAAACATTTCTCCTCAAGTCCAGCAGAAGACAAGGCCGCAGCGACCCCACAGCCGCCATCAGGGGCTATTTGCAAAAATCCTACTCCAAAGCTTCCCCCTGACGAGATCCATGCAGGAAATGGTGAGGAAAACTGCTTCCTTGCATCGCTACCCTGATGGCTTTGAACACAGCCTTTGTAAACCTGAAGCTGTGTATTTAGGAAAATATGGCTCAATTACACCAAGACAAAAATAAACGATACCATCACTTAGAACTGTTCAAATTCCAAATTACTTTAGAACATTCACTTACTAATTTCCACAAAAATAACCACCACATCTTCTAGTGGCTCTCTTTACTCTGCAGCCATTCCAAAGGTGCAATTTTTGCCTTCCTAATGGGAAGACCCCCTCACCTAAACCCACCACAACAGCAAAGCCTCATCCTGCTCGAGCTCCAGGAGTGACTCTGCCATGCCCAACATCAGCTCGTTGCAACTCTTGAGTAAATCCTGCTCTAGAGTGGGAGGTTCCACACACCTTGATACAAACTGTGTAGGGAGGATGGAATGGAAGCATAAAATACATTTTTCTGCAGTTGTTTTTTGGGGTTTTTTTTAGCAAATGAAAATATTTCTATTTAGTCTTGTAAAACACATTTTGCTCAAACACAAACCCCAGTTACCTGGAACAGCTGAATGAGCATTTTTTAATTATAAAGGAAGCCCAGCATAGGCACAGGTTTGAAATGGAATCATCATTTACTATGGAAGTTAAAATACCCATTGTAGGGAATGCATTAATTTTTAATGAAACAAAAATCTCATTTTCAAGAGTGAGATTTCATCTGTGAAAGGCTGAATGAATAGATTTTGTGCCTGGCTGGTAAATTTTCATTACAATTGTCAAACCCAGCCCAAAGCACAAGGCCTTTTGGGGCACAGAGGTAGAAGCAGCACGAAAGGAAGTGGCACTTGCCTCATTTCCTCCTGGCAGCCTGTTCATTTGCACCAGCTGGCCCTGGTCATCCAGCACCAGCTCCGTGTAGGTCAGGATGTCCGAGGGCAGCGGCGCCGGCGGCAGGAACGCGTGGTCGTTCATGGAATTCCACAGCTTGATCAAAGACTGGGGATGGCAAGAGAAACCCTCCTTAAGAATGTCACTCTCAAATATTTATATTCAATCCCCTCCAGCGTGGTACTGCCAACAGAATTTGGGATTATTCCCAGCTTGGTGTTCCCAGCAGGACACCCTGAAATGTCCCTCTGGGGGTATCACCTGCTTTGGGATTTGAATCATGGAACAGGTTCCCCCAAAGTGAAATTTGAATGAGGTGGTTCAGGATAGAAGCAGCAGACCAGAAACACCATCTAGGAAGGGCAGATGGCAAGGTGGGAAAACAAAGAAATGGCAGCAAGAAAGAGAAGATGGTTTATCCTTCAGCTTCTACTGTTTGACTCATTAATGGAACTCCAGCAGCAGTTTATCCTAATTTCATTCCAAGTAGATTCAATCCATAGCTGAAGGTCCCTGGGGACCCCTGGCAGCCACTCCACGCCCCTGGTTCCCCTGACAATCAGGATGGCAAAGGGAAGAGCAACAAGAAGAGCCTAAAGAATACTCACCTGCCTGAACATCTCAGGAATGTCATAGACATATGATGTCCCCAAAGTCTGTGCCTGGAACCTCTTGGACTGCAGCAGGTCTTTGGTCACGTAGGGAGTGTTGATCAGCATCCCGTGGAGTGGTCCCTGCTTATCTCCATATGCCTGGAACATGATCTGCAGGACAAACCACAGCCAAACCCTGATTAATCCACAGGTTCTGTACACCCAGCTGAGCCAGCTCTTAGCAAAAATCTCCAGGCTACTCCAGGCTGCTTGTCCCTGTCCTCTGCAAGGCTGCTCGTGCTGGCACAGCCTGGCACCCCCTGCTCCACCGCGCATCGCTGCCCTTTGGAGACACCTCAGGAGCGCCACTGCCCCACCCCGTTCGGAGCACAGAGCACATCCCCAGCACAAAGCCAGGCCTGAGAGGAGCTCCTGCTCCCCAGCAGCTGCCCTGACACCGTGTCTGTGCCGACGGATGGCGAGAGCTGGGAGCAGCCGGGAGAACTCTGTTATTTATGGAGCGGGATCCGCGGCTGCGCCCGCCAGCCGGGTCAAGACTTGCATATGTCATTGGGCTTGAAGTTTTGATATTGTAAGTTTAAAAGATTTTCCCAGAGTAGCAACATGAATTATCAACTGCTGTGCTTCACGGCACTATATATTCCAGGCAGGCAGGATTTGGAAGGGAAGCTTTTCAATGGAGAAATGGGAGGAGATAAAAAAAGGGATAAAAACACCTTAAACAGCCCCAACACTGCTTCACAGGGACACACCTGGCAGGAGGGACATGATTAGGATGTATTTAACAGAATTTATCTAATTGCAGAAAAATTAATTGAAGAATTACAAAAAAATCAGTAAAGCTGATTTTTATTTTTAGATCAAATCAGCAGTTTATGCTCTCTTCAGTCTGCAGAAACATTAATTGGGGAGGCAGCTTCTTTAATGGGAGAAGCATTTGTTCAGGGTAATGAGCGTTTGTGACAATGCCTGTCTTGGGATCTGTCAGGATCTACATTTGGAAATTCTCCTTAAATCTCTGGAGAGCTCCACAACAGCTCTGTAAGGAACTGGAGAAGTCTGTGCTGAGCATCACCACTCATCGCTACTGAGAAACAAGAAATAAGGGTCTTTCTCTCACCATGAAGCCACCTTCCCACTCTTCAGAAGTCATGAAAGTACCCAGCACATCAGTAATATTTGAATTTTTAAAAAAGACTTCTCTAAGTTTAAAAGAGCCCTCTGAAAACACAAGGAAAAACATCCACATATCTGAACTCACCCTATAAACCTCCATCATGAGGGGAAAGGTTCCTAAAAATATCAGTTTTTGGTTTTTTTTACTAGAACCTGCTTTAATATTCTGGAAAACAAATCAAATTTAATACTGGAAAAGTTGCTAAAGCCACACACTCCCACATGAGCCCATTCCCCAAGCTTTAAATAACGAAGCTCATCAGTTGAGAGTTCACTTGTGACCTTCACAAGTGACTGACCCAACTCAAGGGTTAAGCTGAGCTACTAGAGATTATTAAAATGTTCTTTTCTTCTCTCATCTCCCCTCAAAGGCAGGAGTGAGGTAAAACACACTGACACTATCTGTGCTGGGATCTCAGAGCTGGATGGACTCCACGGCCAGCAGCTCGCTGGAAAAATTAAATGGAAAAAGGGGGAGAAAGGTGACTCAGCACTTTGTGCTCTACATTCACAGTGCCCAAGTGATTTATTCTGCTGCTTCTCTTGCCTGGCAGAGAGATGATTACAGAGGGAGATGTAAACATTCCTCTGTTTAAATATTTCCCATGCATCCCATGCTCCATGGATTTTAGCATATGTAGGTATTTCAGTTAACCACGCTGTTCCTGCACCATGGGAAAGAGAAATACCACAACAGCCACAACCATTACAAAAGAGTCCATTACACTTCATAAAAGTGATATAAAAGTGATTCCATAATTTTACATCATCCTACCCAGGTCATTCCTTATATCTTTAGAATTTAAAGGACACGTTCACAGATTTTCTTCTATCTACTCAGGAAGATGTATAATTAATAATATTTTTTATTACAACCTAGAGGATGAGCATCAGCAGTGATTCCTCTTCTAGTATTTTTCTGAGCACTCTGAGGGAAACTCTTTGGAAAACCAGCTGCCCAAACAATTGAGGGCATGTACAAAACAACCAGAAAACTCGACTGACTTAACTGATCACATTTGCTGCTGCAAATTTATTTTCTCCCTGTCCTTCCTTTGGCTAAGTCGAATGGCAATTCTGTGTTACATTTTAAAGCAGATTTCAGGGCTCATAGCTACCTGGTCTAGTGGAAGGTGTCCGTGCCCATGGCAGGGGGTTGGAATGGGATGAGCTTTAAGGTGCCTTCCAACCCAAAGCAGTCTGTGGTTACCTGCAAGCACCACATCCCACACGAGAGCTCCCCAGGGGTCACGCGTCCCCTTCCCAACGCTCCCGCCCAGCCGCGGCCCCGCGGGGATGTACCTGTCCCGTTCTGGAGTCCGTCACCTCCTTGTACAGGCTGATGTCCAGGTAGTATCCCGACTCGTTGGTGAGGAAGAGGCGGATGGGAATTGCCTTCCCCGTGGGCGTCAGGCGGATGTTGATCTTCAGCTCGGCCTGGAGGACGCGCAGCTTCCAGAGGCGGCTCCCGTAGCGCATCACCATGGAGCGCACCGACTCCTCGATCTGGAGCAGGGAAAAGCCTTCCTCAGCACTCCTGGGCCATGGGAGGTGGCCCTGCCCGTGCCAGGGTTGCAGTGAGATGGGCTTTAAGGGCCCTTCCAACCCAAACCATTCCGGGATTCCTTCTGGATCCATCACCGCTCCGTGTGCCTCCCACCTCACTGCTCCAAGGGGATGAAGGATCACCACACATCAGCACGTGCCAATGCTGCTACAGGACCTTGGTGACCTTCCCCTCCTCATCCTAAGCCTTGAGACAGGCAGGAACTCCACCTGGGGACCACTGATGTAGCGGGACAGCGCTGGATTCACATCCCTGTTTCCTCACGGCACACAGAACCACAGAATTGGGAAGTTGGAAAAGACCTTGAAGATCATCCAGCCCAAGCACCACAGCCCAGCCCAGGGAGCTCTGCCTCCCCTGCACAGGCATCACACCTGGGAACTACAGAGTCCAGACAAGCCAAACCCTTGGCAAGCAGCTCTGCGGGCCTTGTATGCACAATAATCACATTTCACTGCCTGCACGGAGCTTTAAATCAACAAAGCAATTACCACTTGGAGCTGGGCCTTCTGCTCTTCTATTAAACTTTATAAAATACCACCCTGGGCAAAGTGCATATTAAAAGAAGGCAATTTATAGGCTGGGTTAAACATTTTTCCCCAAAAAGAGTCTCTTTTGCACAGCAGCTCAAGGAAAAGTCATGGTTTGCATCTGAGGGCAGCCCAACTTCCAGGGTTGAATATTCCAGCTTCTTCTGAACTTCCTGGGAACCAACGGCTCTGGACACGCCGGGAAAGGTTCGTTCAAAAGGGATTTAAGCCACCAATTTTTAATCATGATTTAAAAGTCAGCCAGCAAGAGAGAGTTATTTTGATACCCAATTCATCTTTTTAAACTTTCAGCTGTTCTCTTCAGGAAAGGTCAGCTCTCATCTTTGGGTACCCATGAACTGAATGCTGATTTCCAGCTAAATTCAGCCTGAATTTGGGACTTGCTTTGTGGTGATTCTGCTAACCACAAACATCCTTTATGCCTGAACACTTTCATTTGTCCATCTACCAAGTTTAACATTCATTTATTTAGAACGTTCATCTCTGTGGTTTTGTATCAGAGACTGAAAATGAGGCACTTTTGTAACTCAATTTACAAATTCTTTTTAAGCTCCTAATTTATCTCATGTTTTATTTGGATGGAATCTGAACTTTTGTAAAAAACAGAAGAGCATTTACATCTGCTTCCTTATTAAAACTATTTACCTCAAACACACAATGAAAAAACAGGTTTAGTTTCAAACACAAAACATATTTCTAATAATTGCCCCTCAGTTCACACAGAGGAGCTGAGCTGCACAACCAAACAGCTTTAGACTGCCAGAGGCAGGGTTGGATGGGATACTGCAAAGAAATTCCTGACTGTGAGGGTGGGGAGGCCCTGGAAAAGGCTGCTCCTTCCCTGGAAGTGTTAAAGGCCAGGCTGGATGGGGCTTGGAGCAACCTGGGACAGTGGAAGGTGTCGGGGTTGGAATAGGATGAGTTTTAGGGGTCCTTCCACCCCAAACCATTCCACGATTGTGTGATCCTATGAACAAAAGGCCATTCAGTTCTGACAAGCAAAGCCCTGGAAAGACAACCAGCCCCGAGCTGGGCAGGAGCTCCCACCTTGGAGGGGTCCATGATGACGGTGGGCACGAAGTTGAGGAAGATGTGGTTGCAGTCCGTGCGCACGTTGGTGTTGTTGAAGGCCACCTCCAGCTCATCCATGGCCTCCAGCAGCAAACGCTCTCCCTCGTTCTGCAGGTACTCAAAGGAGGCTTCCTGCCAGAGATTGCCAACAAATCACTGACTTTGTACTCACAAACCACCGCCCGAGAACGCGAGGTTTGGAAAACTGCACGAGGATCTGATGGAGAGAAAAGAACCCTTGGGTGCCGCTGGATGCACGGCCCTGGAGCAGATCCATCCCCAGCACAGTGCTCCCAGTGCCTGGATCCCAACCTGGCTGCCTCCAGCTCAGAGTAAATCTGAAACCAAACAGGGCAAGCCACTGCTGCCTCAAAATCTAAGGATTTATGACTCTCCTCTCGGGCCCCTGAAAAATCTCCCTGGAGCACAGGAATACCAGGACTTCCAAGGAATGGCTCTGCAGAGCAGCACCAGCAAGGAGAGGGCACAACCCCCAGCCCTCCACATGGGGAATGCTCAGTTTTGGACCCTGCAGATCCCTAGGATGACGCTGGGTTTCACTCACTGCCTTGGAAAGGAACAAACTCACCTTGGTCACCAGGTCCGAGTGCCTTATGATGGCCCTGACGAAGAACCTGTAGTCTGTCACCTCTGTGCCCACCTCCACCTTGGCTGCCCCCAGGTAGAGGTGCATTTTGTGGTTGGCACAGGGGATGGCCGTGAGGTCGAAGTTCCTCATGCGGTTCAGCTCCAGCTGGAAGGCCAGGGCCGGCTCCAGGTGCCGGTAAATCCGGTCCTCCTCGAACTGCAGGGCCACGGACACAGGGGAGGGTGGGGAAGAGAGCATTGGAAAGGTGAAGCACTCGGGGCAAGAACTCAACAGCCCCCCTTATGAAACTGCATATTTAATTCAAACTCTAAAAATTCAAACAGATCCAACCCAGACTTTTCTACCACATGCAGACACTGGGAGCTGTGAAATTGCTGAAGCGCTGAGAGCATAATACAAATTACAGGACAGCAAATTCTCAAGCTCACTCCCCTCAAAAAGCCCCTTTTTTCCACAGAAACCAGAAGGTTTTGTCCTGATTCTCAGTAGTAATCACTGAATGAAAGAAGGATAAAGCCAACACTTGGAGAACAGTATTATAAATATCCAACTCACCTTATCCCGGGCACGGAACGTGAAGAACTTTGGGAATTCCCTCTGTTTGAAAATAAAAAGAGCAGTGTTAGTCCTCCCCAAGCAAGCATCAATGTCACCAGAGTGCTCTCAGGCCACTCCTGAGGCAGCACCACAGCACAGGAGGTGACACAAGCTGTTCCCAGCCACTTTTTCAACATCACAAAGGTGGTGGAAAATCAAGTCACCTTTGAGACAGCAGAGGCAGCTCAAACCTGCCCTCATTAATGCAAAAGAGGCTACTTGATTGGCTTTAGATCATTATCGTCAGTTATTAACAACACAGAAGTGTCCATACAGTTTTGGGAAACTTTTTCTAGTTCTCTTATGATTAGCATTCCTGTGGAAATGTCTGGAGTGATATGAACACTCTGTTATGGATGCAGATGTACACAGAACAATGATCTCATTCTACAGCTCTCTTCATACCATTACTGCCAGAAATACTCTCTTCCCAAGGAAAACTGGGAGTTGTAATCAAACAACTTTATTCTCCTGTATGGAACAGCAAAAACATGACAAAAAACCCCATATGCCACTCAGTTTTCTCTGGTTTTCTGTTGCATAGATAAAACCCTGGCAGAGCCCTGAGAGTTTTTTGAAATATTGTACAAATCTTAGATGAAGAGGGAAAGCCTAGACAGCATCCTGTCCCTCCACTTCCATGCAGGCAAATCCATGCCCTGCTCTGGAATTCCACTTTTACTGGGCAGAGCTTTGGGCAGTGATTTGCACCACATGAGAACACTGCTGCCTGTGCTGAAGGTGACCTGAAGGGACACACACAACTTGCCAGAACTGTCTTACTAAGCAAAAAAACCAGGGAATCTGACCTGGAGTCACTGAATTTCTGGCTCACATTCCATTATCCATGAAAGATGAACAATCCCAGCTGGAGGGAGTGCGACAGCCAGTGACACTGTGCAAGCCACCACTGAGCAACACAGATTTTAAGGCTGAAAATGCTATTCTAGTCAGTCATCTTCCTTCCCTCCTAGGTAAAACAGCCCCCAAACATCACCTGACGACTCTCAGTTGAGCAAAACAACTTGGGTTTGCCTGGAAACTCTTCCAAAATAAGCAGTGGTGCAAAAAATGCTGCCTAAAAATTCAGGCTTACCCAATATATCCACTGTCTGCGAGCCTCATCTAAGAAACAACCTCTTCCATGTTTCCTCACTTTTCCCAATCCCTCCTACCTGTCCTCCTCTGCATGCTGCCAGCTTCTCCCACCATCTCCATGCTCATTCCACCACTAATGGAATTGCTTCCAAGGCACCTCACTGGTGTGGTGGACAAATATCATAATTAGATGTGCACACACACAAAAATCCTCAGTGCTCTGGTACCAAAATCCAAAAGAGTGCTCCATTTCCTAGGCAGAAGAATTATACCCCTGCTGTGTTCTAATCAACCAACCATCATCAAGACAATCAAAATAATTTGCCTAAATTAGCCAATCAAGACACCCTGCAAACTGCAGAATGCGAAAAGCTACACCAGAAATCATCAGAGTTGATTATTATACTAATAATCATGTTAAAAACCTAATGAGATGAGGAAATTGGAAGCTTGCTGGAGCAACTCTCTATTACCTCAACATGCTGGGAACTAATTATATAGACTGTAATTAAAACAAAAACAAACCCAAGCCCAGGCCCTGGCTAAGTTAATAGTTGGTCCAGTAATGAAGGGGCTGGGATAGCAGACAGTAATAAAGAGTGACAGAGCAGCTCCCAGAGGTGCTCCACAAACTTTGTAGCCAGATGACACCACACTGAGGATCCAGGGAGAGCTGGGGATGGTTCCTTCTGTTCTGTGCCTCCTTCCTGACCTCTGACACCTCCCACAGCACTCACTCAGTAACTCTGATTTTTCATTCCCCCAGTACCCATTCTGGTCTCTAAAACTTCCTTTCTCAAACCTAAAGTCTAGAATTTCTTGATCACTGTCCCAAAAAAACTCTCCACAAAATCCAGTTTCCTAAGCCATTGACTGACACCTCTGTACCTGTACTGTGAGCAACAATTCCCACGTGGTGACTCCCACATTGGTTCAAACACTATTTTTTGCTGATTTACAAACAAGTCTTCCTTCAAAAACATTCCTAGACCAGCTGTGTTGAGCACAGGGTGAATTTCTTGCACTTCAAAGGCTCCTGATAACTTCCAGAGTGGAAAAGTAGATACCCAAGAGATAAAAATCTGGTTTATGCCTTACATGGCCACCTAAACCAAGCCTCACCGATGCCCAGGCCCTGGGGAAAGAAGTAATTCTCAGCAGTAAGAGCATCAAACATTCCCCACATCACAAAACCACTCTGCAAAATCTAACAAGTCCCTTCAGTGATTGCTCCAAGGTATTTTAAAATCAGCAAGAAGCCGAAAGAAATCACCACACTCCATAAGAAACACAAAGGTTTCACTGACAGTTGCACTTTAGAACAGAAGACAACACCGAGACACAAGGAAATCTTTATCAGTGTGGCTTCCTGAGCTCAGCCAGGTGACGAGGGACACTCAGAGCCTCAGCAGCCCCTCTGAATGCCACGGGCCCAGGCTGGGTTTGTGGTCAGATGTTCAAATAAATACTTCAACGCTTCACTTTGACACCAGTGTGGGCATTAAATGCCTGCCTGAGATCCAAATGAGAAGCCCAGAGCCCCCTGGGTGTCTCCTGGCCTCACAGCAGGAATGCCACCGTGCTCCAGGCCCTTTTTACTTACATGGAATCTCTGATCCACCTCATAGTTGACCTGTTTCCTGAAGTCCTTACAAACGAAACATACACACATAGGAAGAAAAAAAAAAAGCAGAAGACAGCTAGCAATTAGGATTAAAATCAAAAATTAATTAATTAATTCAAGAATACAAGAGGCATCAAGATTGTTTACAATTGTAAATTAATTTTCTTAAGCGAATTCATGAAAACCATCTCGAGTTTGAGAGGACAAAAACAGTGAAGAGAGAAGTAAATACAGTAAATACAGCATTCAATTTGGGGAACAAACATGTCAGATGCCAATGGTATAATGAGCTAGAAACCAAAGAGCATCAGGAGAGATATGGAAATACCTTTTGTGCTACAAGGAAAGTCAGCCTCCGAATGCCATGTTCGATCAGGACTGATTTCTGCAAAAAACAAGGGTGGAAACTGGTGACTGGATTGAAAAAGAACAGACTAAAAGCATGCTGAAATCTTCTACAGAGTGAAAAAGCCCTGCAGATCCTCCTACCTCTGAGTTCCTGCTCCCCTTCAGCCTCCTTGGAGCGAGGATTTCCCACCTGAAGCTCCTTTAGCAGCATAAATACCCAAATCCCTTCCACCTGAGCAGGTAAATAACCAAATCCCAGAGCAGTGAATTCCAGCTGAGCCTGGCTAAGCAGGAATGCACAAGAGTCACACCCAAATCTCGCAGGAAATATCCTCCTTCATTTGCCAAGATTGCTTTTTGAGGAGAGCACGGTGTCCATGTGGCAAGGTCGTGGAAAATGAGTTTTAAAGGAGCTAAACCACAGAAGCATGAAGCTCATCCTTGCCTTTGGCACAGTGAGCTCATGGATAACCCAGCCCAAAGCACACATCCAGGCTCTCAGCCTGGAGAAGGCTTTGGGGGCCCTCACTGTGACCTCCTAGGGCGTTAAAATAGAAGGGAGAGGAGTTTTTGTATGGGCAGAAAGGAACACGACAATTAGATGGACAAAGGTTAGATGGGATGTCAGGTAGGGCCTTAAGGTCCCTTCCATCCTGAGATTCCAAGATTCCACATTGCAAAGGTGATACAAGTCAGATGTCAATTATTTTTTTCCAACACATCACAGAATATCCATTCTGGTTGCTTCTTCCTCACATTCCCCTAAGCCCCCTCTCAGGGGAGTGCTGCCAGCAGCATTTGCCACACCACTGATCCTTCAAAGTGTTAAGGTCTCATCATTCTCCCCTTTCTCAAACTTTCCTCCTTCCTCCTCCCTCTTCAAAAGCAAAGAACACAAAAAGGAGCAACAACTCAGCTCAAGCAGGAAAAAGCCAGCCCCTCTCGGCACAGACTGTGATGTTTCACTAAGGTTAAGCCCTTTGAAAATGAGCAGCAGTGACTATATTCATGGCAAGAGGAAGAAAATAACTTTAATAATGCCATGATTTAAAAAGCAAAAATTGTTATTGCTTTTAAAATTCCACAAGTGGCAGACAATAACAGCAGAGCAACAGGATTCTGATTACATGGTAATAATGTGGGTCTCCCAGCAAGGCCACAGCTATTACAGAGCGATTAGCCATCAGCACCTGGAGAAACTCCATTTCCACTGACTGCCTCAATCTCCTCCACAAGTCATTTACAAGTATATGATCCTAATTTCTATTAAAAAAACCACACACAACATGCTGGGACTAGAAGATTATTTGGACAATTTGGATCAACCTATTTGATAGTTTAATGTGGTTTGGGATTTTTTTTTATTTTTTTTTATTTTTAATATATTTTATTTCTTTCCTTTTATCCCCTCCCATAAAACGCCTGGAGCATGATCAAGCAGATGAAAAGCAGAACTAGTTTTAATTCTTAGATTTGATTGTTTTCCTTGTTTAAAGAGACAGGAAGCTGCTGAAGCCACGTAGATGCCAGTCCCATTTTGGATCCCCTGATTTCTGCAGGGTATGTTCCCACTTCCCAGGCTGAGAAATTGGAGGTGCTCTTTCAGTGCTCCCAAAACCAGCAATCCCAGTTCCTGTGGGTATACTCAGCTCCCCAAACTGCTGGAGTTCTCCACACCACCAGAAAAGCAGGTGCAGGCAGAGCACAGAGTGGACACAAGGAGGCTGCTCCCAACCCAGGCTGTCTCACAACTGACCCAGCACTCACATCTGGGACTCTAAAGTGTATCCCACACTTAGGAAGGAGCCACTGAACATGACAAATAATTCCTCCTCAGGCCAGGAATGTCGTATTAAGGTGGATGCTCCAGCATGCTAACAAGGGCAATAAATTTTAATTGCATTCAGACTATGGTGATACACAAATACAGGACATTTTAATGTCATTTCACAAGGTTCTGCTGCTCATACAACAACTTTATCACCAGGAAAGGGACAGAACACATTTTTCAGAGCATGTGGAGACAGTTACTGAAGATTGACCTGATGTGCTTAAAACCTTCCAAGTATTTCATCCCATCAAAAATTAAAGGGAAGAAGCCCTGAGCTGACAGATCAGAAGGAGGAACAATGACCTGGTGGTCTCAGGAAGGTGCAGCTACACCCAGTCAAAGAAACAGAATGGGATAAATTAAGGATGTAACTGCAGCACGTTTGTTCTGAAATCAAACAAAAACCTCCCCAACCTTGGGAACATCCAGACTTTTCCCAGTCCTGCACAAGGCCAGAGAGGCAGAGGGGGATGCAGGGGCCTTACCTTGCTCTGGGTGAACTCCCTGAACATGGCAGCCAGGCCGTCGTCGTCGACATCGCTGTCGGTTTTGATGGCCACGTTGAGGATGTGGATGGGCTCCTCCCGGGCACTCTGCAAGGACAAGGGAATATTGCCCATGGATAAATAACTGACAACTCAGCACCTGCCAGTCCTCACAACAGGCTCCCTAAATGCAGCTTTAAAGCAGAGATGCTCTGGGGGAAATGACCTCAGTGGAGCACTGGGAAAACTCTGAGGGAAATCGAAACAGCCTCATAAATCTGCAATTTCACAGAAGTCAATGTCCACAATTAATCAAAGTGTAGGGGCAAAACAATGTGAGTTTTCATACCTACAACAGCATGAAATAATGTGGAAACATCAATTCCATTAGAGCTCCAAGCAATTACAAATTCAGCCTTCAGGAGCCTGTGATTAACTGGGAAAAACTGAATCTGGACAGGAAATCACCTTGGTGAGGTGTGGGGGATGTAAAAAGAGGGATCTGAGGGCATTAAGGTTGACAGTAATATTCTGGAAAAGGCTACAGTGCTTACACCCATCAGGATCAGTGGAAAACAAAGCCCTGTTCTGGACACAGGCTACATTCCAGCAGAGCTTCCCACTCTTGTGGAGCAGCTACCTGTGTCTCCAAGGGAAACTGGACTTGCATCCCTACGGATTAGGGACCACCTGCTTCCTCTGCACCTGCTCTCCACATCACTGCAAAAACTGAGCAGCTCCACTCAGCTTTTCCTCCCCAAAACAGTTCCAAGAGGTAGAGCAGAAGGAAGAATCAGGATTTAAGGAGGCTGGGAAGGGTGTAAGACAGAAAACACGGCAAGTCAGACATAGGACAAAGACAGCTGAAGATGCAGTTCAACATCCTGGTGCAGAGAGAGGGTCTGCAGACTTAATGGTGGGTTTAAACTCTGTTATGCTGCTGTGGATCCAGTAATTCTGCTGATGCTAAAAGCCATAAACTAAATTTACATGGGGAGCAAGAGGCTGAGCCGTAGTTTTAGAACAGAGCTGGAAAGCGGCCGCCTACGCCGAGTCACCTGCTGTGGAACAAGCGAGCAAATCACTGCCATAAATACACAAAGCTCCTAACTCCAGCTAGGGAGGAACATCCAGCCTCAGCCCTGCTGCCAGCCTGAGAGCACCTTCCAGAAAAAACCCCACCCTACCTTGTCTTCATCATACAGGGAAGCGTGGCCAGCCTCGGGGAACGTCGGGCTCTGCGGGGGAGAGTCGCAAAAGCATCCCATGACTTCATCAAAGATCCTGGAATACAGCAGGGAGGGACAGTCACCAGCACACCACTGCCAGCACACACAGCACCCAGCACTGAACACACCAGTGCCGGTAGGAAAGGGCTCCTTCCCCTGCTGGGCTCAAAGATGAGGAGGCAAATCCTCAAACCAAGTCTGGATTGTCCAACATTTGGCAGAGCCCTCCTGGGTGCAGGCTGAGGGCTCTGCTGGGGGGCTGCCTATCCCAAAAGGATGGAAACACAAAGAACTCCCCCCAACACACACCCACAGAGCATTGGGAGGTGTCAGCACATTCCCAAATGGTCTCCATCCAGCAGGAACCCGGGATGCTGATCCCTCTGTCTGCAAACTGCTCCTCCAGCAGCCTGAGGGACACGCACGGGGACCCAAACAGGGAAGCACGCTCAGGACCAGTCTAAACCTCACTCTAGACCTAGCAAAGCCTTCCCCCAGCTCTGCCAGGGCCCAGGTGGGGAGGTGGCCCCAGAAGCAAGCCCACACACCTGACAAAGTCCTCGAAGGTGCGGAAGGAGACCATGCCGCCCATGCGCTGGCACGGCGGCGTGAAGGAGTTGTCCAGCAGCACGTCGCTCACGCTGGCCACGTGCACCATGCCATAGTGATTGAGGTTGGAAGAGAAGGACATTCTAAACAGCAAGGCAGCAAGAGCACAGTCAGTAGGGACTGGGGAGGAGGGGACAGCACCAGGACAGGGTTTGGGCACGTGCTCTGGCCACCCGGAGCGTGGCTGTGCAATCCATGTTGGATTTCTCAGCCTGCTCCAGAGCCCCTGCCATGCCTCTGGTCATCCCTCACTTGGGGGCTGTCTCAATGACAGGAACACTCAGAGTTAGCAAATAATGCCATAACCCCTTAAAACAGGTATTTTTTGAGATGACAGGAGAATTCTGACTATGCAAAGCTGAACTTACTTTTCCTCCTGTCTTTATGATTTGCTTTCCATGATTCAAACAGCAGCAATTGTAAGATTTGACACTTGAAGGATTCAGCACATTTTTACAAATTAGGTTGAAGCACACCATGCTGTATTCTCTTATTGATTCCATGATTTTTCTGATCATACTATAATTTGCACTCCTCAAATGCAGTAGGATACAGTGACTTCTCCAAAATTCTTTACTGATACACTCAAATCCCTACCCTTTCTGTTCAAGAAACAACTGGACATGGCACTTGGTGCTCTGGGCTGGTTGACAAGGTGGGGATCAGTCACAGGCTGGGCTCCATGGTCTTGAAGGTCTTTTGCAACCTCACTGATTCTGTGATTTTTATGTTTTTTTAAAGACTCCCAATGTCACAGTCAAGACTAGCAGAGGAAGCCTCTCACACAGTGAGGAAAAACCACACAATTAGATTGGACCTTTCTCTGGTGACCACAGCTGGGGGTTTGCCTTCTCTGCAATAATTATCACCAATTTCTGAGCTGTACTAGAGACTCATCTGAATTCAGACTTCCTTCACGAGCTGCCTGACACGTGGTGACTCCTCTGAAGAGGAGGTGCTGGCCCAGGGCCCACGTGCTCCTCACTTGGGGACACGCTCATTTTGCTCCTCCCAGCTGGGGCCACAACAGGAGGGGAGATGGGGAAAGAGGTCAGGGAGCTGATTTCCCACCACACCTCAGAGCTGTGAAGTCCCAGGGGTGCTCAGCTGGGTGGGAAAAGCAGGGCCAGATCCAGGACCTGGCTGAGCATTCCTGCCACAGCCCCCTCCCAGCTTTGCTGAGATTTCCTCCTTTCCTCACACCAAAACCACTGTGAGACAGCCCTAAGTACAGTGTTAACAAGTCTAAAGTATCATCAGTGTGATTAATAGCTCTCCATGCTTAAAGTCACTCTCTGTTTCCACAATTTATCTCTGATTAAGAGCCGTGAGACTTCCAAGCCCATTTTTACTATTTTTCCCTAAATAGGCTTGTAAGCAGTAATAAATAATAGGTATTCACATTCTGAAAGAGAGGGATTTTTCAGGACATGCCTTGGTGTACATTTCTTACAACTAATACAAAAACTATCACAGAACAGGAACTGAACAAAAAGACAGCAGACATTTTTCATGTATTATTTAAAACAAGAAATACTTTTCAACTGAGACACAGGAGGAAAAATTAGCGTCCAAAACACAACAAAACATGCTGTCAGCTGTTTGAGATGTAGATTCATCTATGGTGTGAGGGAGGTGAAACAGCCTGGACAAATTCTAAGCTATGGACAAGAAAAAAGGCTGGGAAGAACTGCCTGGGGTCACTGTGACTCCCTGCCAGAGGGTCAACACCTCAGAATCCAGTGCCAAAAAAGACCCTAGGACAGCCCTTTGCTGTGTAACATACTGCAGATGAGCTGAGTCACCCAGCTAATTCGATTTCAAAGATTGCTGCATGCAAAGATTATTTATTTTTTGAAAGAAAAGCTGAAAACATGTTTTAGACAAAGGGAGAGGAAAAGGGAAGGTAAAAGAAGAGTTATGGTTGAGAGTTTCCCGAGTAAAGAGAAGGGAGCTACAACAAAACATGTTAAAACATTCAGGATTAGGCTACTTCTTTCTAGAGGGGCTTTTGAAATTTGAAAAGATGATGAGTACCATACCTGTTTAGCGTGGGGATGTTCCCTCTGTAATCAAACAACCACAGTTAGTCACAGACTGGTTAGTGAGAGCATCATAAAGAACCATCATCAAGCTGATGCACACACCAGCAACATCTTCACAACTGATCCCAAATTTGTCAGCTGCCAGGGACAGCTCCCTGCCAGGGTCCCTGGGGCAGAGCCAGGCCATGCAGAGAGCATGCAAATAATGAAATATCCTGGGAAAACACTTGGCACTTGCAAGGGACCCCACGTTCCTGTTCACTTTTCACCGTCCCCCCTTCAAGCCCTTTGCACACACCAAGTCCCTGACACACTAGCAAACAGCAGAGGGGGGGAAAAAAAAAAAAAGGGAAAAAAATTACCATCTCACACAGGAAAATTGCAACAGGTTCAGGAAAACAAGCCAAATCCTCAGTGCCAAGCCTCCAGGCCAAGCAGCCCACGCACAGGCTCCCACAACGCAGGAACAAAGCAAACACACACAGCACCGTGGAATACATTGCATTTTCAGCATTCAGTACTAAAAAGAACTAGCTTAAGGCTAAAAAGAACAAACTTAAGGCTAATTTGAGGAAAACTTTACCAATTCTTTTCTAACATCAGCCCAACTCTCCCCATATCTGCATGCAGCCCAGGGCTTAGCGATGCACAAAGGGCAGAGGGGAGTGAGGGGCACATTTTCACACCACCAGCACAGCCCAGCCCACACCAGAAACAGCCAGGAGAGTGCTCCCTGCAAGATGGAAAAATTGCTGGGATCTGACAGGCAAAGTAGCATAGATCAAATTTTTTAAAAAGCCCTTGCACACAGGAGGCTTGTGCAAAGGATTAGCAAGAATTAAGAGATGGAAAGGAGAGCTTTGAGGAACATGTGAGTGGACATTCACCCCCCTCCCTTCAGGAGATCAATCCACAAGCTTTTTTGGACATCCTAGTTCATAGGCAGGACCCCAAGTGACTGAGCACAAAGTGCCAGTGCTTAATGACCAGTGTATTCCATGGTCACACTGCTCAGCCTGCCCTGCTCCTGCCCCAGACTGCTTTGGTCACAGCAGAGTCACCTTCACCACAAGGTGATGTGTTGGATGCGTTACTGGTAGAGGCACAAAAAAATTCCCATAATCTCCTTAAACCATATGTGGAAAACAAATCCCTAAAACTGTATCTGCTATGGTAGGAGTACCACAAGTATTTAATTTCTGGGGGGATGGTGGGGACAGCCCCTGTGCTGCAGAGCCTGTGGGCAGGACAGAACCGGCCTCGAGCCCTCAGGGGGTTGGGACTATTTTTTGAGCTTGGCAAAGACTGGGAAAGCTGCATGTGATCTACTTCAGTTGGAAAAAATAGTCTGGAGAGGACTGGCAGTTCCTACCCCCAGCAGGAACCCTCCTGTAGCCGTCCCTGGAAGGCTTTCAGAAAAGAGAGGGATAAAAAACCAGAGAAACAAATGTTCAGTTCAGTCTCAAGAAGGGCACCCTGGTGCTGTGCTCTGGGAGCTTCTCCTGCCACTCCACACGGAGCTGAAGAGGCTCAGGAAGGAGCAGCACAAGGGAAACAAGACAAGGAGGAGCAGAGAGAAAGTGGAAGAGAGCAGTTCAAACGGGGTATCAGGGAAGGAGGGAGGTGAGGCCCTGGCACAGGGTGCCCACAGAAGCTGTGGCTGCCCCTGGATCCCTGGATTTACTCCAGGTGGGACCTGGAGCAGCCTGGGACAGTGGGAGGTGTTCCTGCCCATGGCAGGGGTGGAATAAAAGATCTTTAAGGTCCTTTCCAGCCCAACCCATTCCCTGGTTCCGTGCCAGGCCCCCAGAAGCACCAGAGTGACACTGGCACAGCCATGGGGGCAGTGCTGGCACCCCCTGCCCTCCACACCAGCCCTTCTTTGATCCCTGGAATGATCTGATCCCGTCTCTGATCCCTCCTCAGCTCCCAGAACGGCCCTTCCTGACCAGGAGCTGATCCCAGCAGGGATCTGCTCCAGCCCCATTGCTGCTGCACCTCCTGGGGACTCTGAGCTGGGTTCCCCTTGCCCCCTGTGAGGAGCAGGAGCTCTCCCCCACACCATGGCCGTGCAGAGCTCCAGCTGAGGGCGAGTGCCAGCGCAGGGCACAGCTCTGGAAATGAGGCAGCAAAGCAGAATCAGCAGAGGTTGGCTCAGTAACCCACTTGTAGTTATTAACAGCAGTACCACAGGAGAAAGAGCAATTCCACTGGCTCTGGCCAGTGCCATTCCTCTTATGTTTCTTCATTTCTGTAGAAGAATCTAAGCAGAAGGCTGTGAAACATGCCTCAAACCATACATTTTGATTGGGTTTTTCCTCTCCCTCTTTCTTCCCTCATTCTTCTGCTCCCTCTGTGATTCAGCCAAGCTGAATCTGCTACAGAAGTCCAATTTGCATAAAATTATCGTCGTTCCATTCAGTTTGCTGCCCCTTCCACAGCCCCTTCTTTGCTCTGCTGGAAGATTTTGCCCTTTCCGAGGCAGGCAAGCCAAGGGAACGGCAGCACATTACTGCTGCCTGCTGCCTAATTAACATCAAACCTCAGCACGGAGCTGCAGGGATTTACAGGTGTCCTGGAATCATTTTCCCCTCCTCCCTCCCCGTACAAACCACTCTCACAACAAGAAGGGGACTCCAGGCTACCTGGCACCCCATGAGTTATCCCTTTGGGGCTCTGGGTAGGGTCAGAGCCCACAGCAGCATGGCTGGGTCACTCCTGGCATCCAGAGACTGATGCCAGAGGCTGTTCCAGCAGCTAGTCCACAGAAAATGCTTTCACTTTGTCAGAAATTCACATCTTATGAGTAGATCTTGTAAAATGGTAGCAGGAAAAAAAACCTCTGCACAGTGCTCTCAATGTGAGTGAGTGTGGGGTTGTTAAAAAAGCCCTGTTTGGGACCAGGGATATTTAACCTGGCTTTCAGCCTTCCAAAGGGTTTCTACCTGTGAGCTAAGAGGCTGGCAAAAAGGAACAACCAAAATACCCCATAGATGATAAAACATCAGGAGACAGCAAAGGAGAGATCATGCACCACACTCAAGCCCTGAAATCAGCAACACCCAAGTCCAAGGTGGGGCATGAACAAACATCCACAAGCACAGAGGGAAGAGATTCCAGGCAAAACCAAGCACAAGATAACTGAGATATTTATACTGATGGAAATGCCCCTGGATGGGGCTCTGAGCAACATGGTCTAGTGAAAAGTTCCCTATCCATTACAGGGGCTGGAATGAGATGATCTTTAAGGTCCTTCCACCCCAGGCCGTTCTGTGGTTTGATGATGCTGATGATTTCACAGCACAGCACAGCAACTCATGCCTAGGCTTGGATTCCACCCTTGGAAGCACCATGGATGCAGCCCCAGGAAGGAATTCAGCCCAATTTGCCTCTGCATCCCTGTTTGTAGGGTGTGTGCATTCCCAGCTCCAGAGGCACCCAGGGTGTGCTGCTGTCAGACTTCTCCTCTGTGGAGCCCCCAGACTCACACCTGCCATAAGCTAAGCAGGGCCATTATCAAAACTTCATCTGCAGTGCTAAAGCCTTCCTCATTCTCCTTCCAGTGCTACATCCTGATCCAGGATCCCCAGGACGTCCCCAGGCCAATGTGGCAGCTGGGGGTGTCCCATGGCACAGAGGGAAGGGGTGGGTTCAGTGCCCAGAGGGGTTGGGAAGGCACGGCTGAGGCAGCAGGGACCAGAAACAGGCTGGGCTGTATTTCAGTTTTCTCTGGGGCTCAACAAAGCAGAAAACAGAGCCCTGGGCTATCCCTGCCACACCCCAAAACCAGGATGTATCCAGCACCTCTAAGTCTCCTTGTCAGCACCTGCCTCAGCATCTGACACAGGGGACACATCCGGCTCTGAGGAAAAAAGGGATCTGTTTTGTGGGAGCACATTTATCTCCCAGTTCTTCCCTCCTGATCCTGCAGCACATCTGTTCTGGGGAAGGGGTTCAGGGAAGCAGCTGAGCAGCCTGGCTGGGGGAGCTGGAGAGAAGGGGATGCTCTGGGAGGAGCAGGGCAGCAGCAGGCTCCAAGAGCTGGCTACAGCAGACAATGTCCCAGTTTAATTTAAACCTTACAGCTTCAGACATAAGAAAGACTGCTGGAGAGCAGGAGAGGAGAGGGGATTAGAAAGAAACACTTTTGTTGAAAAAGCACTATAATTCCCTCTCCTCAACACACAATGTTTCTTTGAACAGAAGATTTTGAGCTAAGATTAGGCAAGGCCTGCTTCATGAACACCTCAGAAAGGCCTTTCAGTGTCTGTCACCTGGGCTGCCACGCTCACAAAGGCACAACCTTTGTCACCAGTCGATATTCCAGCCGCTCCCCGTCGCAGCAGGGCCGGCGGAACAAGCGGGAAGCGAAGCACAGCTCCGAGCAGGGTTCATTTCTTCCTCCATCTCCTCTCCCCAGGACCCTGGCTGGCTGCACGAGGCAGGTTATCCCCAGGCAAGGGCTCTGCACTTGTCTGCAGTCCCCTCTGCAGCGTGTGGCCATTGGCATCCCAGAGATCCCCCCAGATCCACGCCTCCAGATTGGATTTCTGCTCGGAGAGGCCTCACAATCTCCATTTGCTGCCAGATGGTGACACTGCACTCCTCATCTGCCCTGCACCGGGCACAGGGAATGCTGATGGATCCATAAAGCCCTCTGTGATTCCCATTAGAAGCTATTTTTCTCCCTGTGACTTTCCCTTGCCATTCAGTGGGGATTCTTACATTAGGATGTTTTCTGTTAATTTGAACAAATAATTCCCCAAACAGCCTCTGCCCACAAAACCCACCAGGAGCAGGTTGCACTTCTGTGACTTTGTCAGCAGATTTAACAGCTTTTCTGTCCTCTCTGCTCCCCTGTGGGCAGCTGATGGCAATCCTTCCATGGCCAAAAACACAAAGTCTGAGCCCGAGCTGTGATCAGGCAGCTCAGAAGCAGTGAGTGGGATTGTTTCTGCCACAATTAAGTAAAGGCATAGCACGGTTAAATGCAAATAATGAAGAATTTAAATATAAATTTTAAAACCTACTTAGAATTTAAAAAAAAGAATATCATTTTGCTGTTTTCTCTACATGAATATTTGCTTCAGATATTTAAAAATATCTGAGGCAGTGGAGAAAAATATGTGGCAACATGTAACAGCAGCTCCCAAAGGGAATGCTCTCCTAAGGGCTTCTGCTCCTGGGTCACCAGCCCTGCAGAGCCTTGAGGGACATTTTGGGATATTTTGGCTTTGGGATTTGCCCTTGGAATGCATTTTTAGCTTTTCAGCCTAAGAATTTGTGCTACAAAAGATACAGAAAAGCACATGATGAACACAGACCATGGTCAAGAACAACGAAGAAGACTTAAGCAGGACAATGACAAAGTTTTGAGATTTCCACATCCTGGGTTTAACACCAGGTGTGGCTTCAGAGCTCCTTAAACCCTGTGCCACTATCAGTCCCTGGGCACCCTGCAGCCACCCCAGAGGGAGAGCAAGGAGCTGCCCCAAGCACCAGGAGCCAAATTCATCACTGGATCAGCTGGAGGCACCTCCAAGGAGCTGAACCTGCCCCCGAGCCCGCTTCCCTCTGCGTGAGGAACACAGCAGAGCTGAGCTCACAACACTGTCCCAGCCAATTCAGTGTAAGGAGAGAGGAGATTTCAGGCCAAGGAGCTGTTCCTGCAGCAGGGAACATCTTCTCTTCCAACTGACCTTGTCTGATTAAGCCTGTGCTCCACAGAGCAGAGCAGTGGACAGCTCTGGAAGGCTGAAAATCCCCAAGCAACAAAGGCAACTGAGGCCAGCAGAGAAGAAATGGAGGAAGAATGAAGGGGAGAAAAGAGCACTGTAAAGGGGTACTAAAAATAGTATGCAATTATTTACAAATACTCTAGAAATGCAGGGAACAGATGAGCCCATACACATGTCCCATTTGTAGCAGGAGTGGGTTGGGGGCTGGCTGGGGACAGCCATTCATTTCCAGCAAAGCAGACCCTGAAAACCATTTCATAAAAGGTACTGATGGATTCTCAATGAAGCGAGACCGGACCCCACCAAAAATGGAATCAGGGGAAAGATGTTTGGAAACAAAGGAGGGAGAAAAGGCGGCGGTGCCCGGCACGGACCAACAGTGGCACCCGGTGGCTGCGGGGTCTCACTGCGACCTCAGAGCCAGCAGGGATAAAAACCTCAGCTCAAATCCCCTCCTGGGGAAAACACGGGGCAGACTGACCCCACAGACACCCAGAAACAACCTGCTCCAGGGCAAGGTTCTTGCCATGGCAGGGGGCTGGAAGGAGATGAGCTTTAAGGTTCTTCCAACCCAAACCTGATTCAGTCTTCTTCCAACCCAAAACAATGTGATTCAATGCTCCTGTAAGTTCTGATAATGAGGTTTTATCTCCTTAAATGAGCTAGAGATGCCACCCTCCTCTCCAGGAACAGGCAGCAAGAGTTGATGCTTTTGGTTCACAGTCACAAGAAATGCAAAACTGAAAACCAAACTGTGTCAACCCCAGCACTTTGTGTAAAATTCTCATCTCAGTCTGCTCCATCAAAAAATCGTGTTCTACAGAAGTCACCTTATCCAGCAAAGCCAGGAAGGAGCAGAGCCACACAAGCACTCAGAAAGGGCTGGCAGGAAGGGGACAGGGAGTGTTTGACTGTTCTGTGTTAAAATTCCGATTAATTGATTATCCTGCCAGGAATTGTATCTTTTGGAAGGCTGAGGATTCAGCTAGAACTGACATCCCAGAGATAATTTACTGCCCAAGCTAAAGTTCAAAAACCAGAAAATACACGAAAGCTGTAGCACACCTAAACTAACCCCCTTTCCCACCAGTGCTACTGCAAGTTTCCTTTGCCAGGGCAGGAGAAGCCCCTCCCAAATCTCCAATTGCAGAGGATCTGACCTGTTGGGATGGGAGGTGGGCAGCATGAACTGGAACTCCACCACACAGGTGTTGTCCTTCAGCTGGCGGTGCTGGACGCTGTTTAACTCGTAGGCAATGTAGGCTCTGCGAACATACACCTGGGGACAGAGAAACTGCATCAGCTGCACTGGGCTGAGGGCAAGAAATACCCCAGAAACCTCAAAAGTATTAAAAACCAAACAGATGCCTCCCAATGAGCAGCTAGATAAACTCTTAATTCAACCAGGACTTAAAGTTATTCTTTGAGGAAGGTCAGAACCATCAGGATTATCATCCTGCCCTCTGACAGCAGCTTCGCTTTCTGCCTTCAACCACTCCAAGTCTTCACATAAATATAACCTGAATTTGAAATTTCATTCCATTATCAATGTTAATGCTGTTAAATACCAGATTCTAAGCATGCCAAATCCCACACAACCTACAGCTCTCTTGGATCTTGCTCAAAACAAACCAAATCCACAGGAAAATTAAAAATACTGGGTTTTTTTCAATGGGAATAAACTCACCTCCAAAGCTGCCATTCTTACCACCTGGTTACTGTGGTAGAAAAAGTTGGGAAGCACATCAAAGATGGATGTCTCAGACAAAATGAGTTTCTAGGAGAGATCACATAATGCAGAGGTTTAGAAGAGAACTCTGTCTTGCAACCAGGCTCAGGCAAAAAAGGAAAATCCCCAAATCAAGCCTGGCTAGCTCTAATTTCTAAGCTTTTCCCGTTGTTCATCAAGGATTATGACTTTTTTCTATTAAACCACATGAAACCTGAAATTGGAAGGGATCTGAGTCCAACTCCCTGATCCTCACAGGACTAAAACTAAAACCATACCAGAGGAGCTCCTGGAGCTCAGGCAGCCTTGGGGCTGTGCCCATTCCCTGGGGAGCCTGCTCAGCACTCCACCACCCTCTCGGGGAAGAACCTTTTCCTAATATCCAATTTGAACTTCCCCTGGCACAGCTGCACTCCATTTCCTTGTGTCTGGTGCCCAGAGGGAGGAACCAGCACTGCTCTCCTCTACGAGGAAGGTGCAGAACGGGCATGAGGTGATTCCCACACTGGCACAGGGACAAGAACAAAAAAGAGGGCAGAGCTGGACACCAGACCCATACAACCCAAAGCCACAGGGAGCTCAGGACGTGAAGGGGAGTGAGAAGGGAGCCAAGGCTGGTGGCTACCTGCAGGTTCTCAATGCAGAACTGGTGCCCGTACATGTCGATGGCCGACAGGAAGATGGACTCCACCTGGTTGTGACGCAGCTCGTAGGAGGGCAGGTGGGAAGCAATGAGAACCTGGGGAAACACAGGGAATGTCAGAGAAAGGAGCCATGCTGGGCCATCAGCAGGAGGCTGTCCCCTCCAGGCAGAAGCAGGCTGCTCCATCCCTGCCGAGGCAGCCAGCTCCTCCCGCGTTCCGCGGCACCTGGGTGATGCCGCAAACCCTCTCCCCTCCCCGGCCTCATTTGTGTGTCTGCTCCGTTTGTATTATTGGCAATTCCCCACGGAGAAGGGGAACAGCTTCAATCAAGTTCCATCAGTGCATGTGATTTAGCAGTGCAGAGCTGCTGGTCCTGGGGATTGCCTGCCCAGCTGTTAATTGGGAAGCAGAGCTGGCGGGGAGCAGCTGTGGGGAGGCCCACGCCGGAGCCACGCTCTGCTCCTGGGCAGGGGGGGAACAGACACCAGTGCCAGGTACTGAATGCCCAACGTGAGGGATGCAGAGGTAGGAAATGGAAGCAGCTTGCAGGGAAAATGAAGTGGAAGAGCAGCACAAGGACTGCGGCACCATCCCCAGTTGCTGCGGGGAGGTTCAGCAGCGGAACGGTTCAAGGACACAAACACAATCCTGAAGGAAACAGAAGGTCACTGAGCAGCTTCAAACACCGTGTTCATTTTCAATAGTCAAGCTTTGAAATAAAAGGAGAGACCCCTGAAGTGTGAGCTTTCCTGCTTTAGGCTGGAGATCAGGACTGTGGGAGGAGAGGAGCGATCAGACTCTGGGGTCAGCACATCAGGAAACCACTGTGCCCTCTCACCCCTTCCTGGCAACAGAGGGAGGGTTCAGCTGAGCTGCTGATCAGGAAGCTCACAGCAGTGTCTGGGTGCCTATGTGACATTCAAATCAGTTCTGCAGCAGACTCTTGGAATTCACAGCATCAAGAATTTTTCCAATTATTTCCAGGTTCAAACAAAATTGACAAAGCACAACTCAAAGATGGAAGAAACCCTGCAAAAGGCCAGCATAATTCTTTGTGGAAATTCCTTTACAGCTGCAAAGAACATCTGCTTCTTGTGCAAATGGCTCTCCCTGTTCTCTGCATGCATGGATCCACAACTGGAAGGCAGCTGAGGAACCTGGAGAGCCTGTCCTTGTTGTTCCTGCACAATCCAGGCAGCCTGTGCTGGTCAGGTTTGCAGATAGACAAAACCACCAAAAATCACAGTGACCACGCATTTCCACTTCCTCCATCACACAAACCATTGGCTACCTCCAGTTAACTCCTGTGTGAGCCAGACAAAACTTTTTGGAGGAGCAGGGACAAAGGAATGAATGTTAAATGTAAATATTACAGCAATTGGGAATGCACCGCAGTCTTCGCCTGTCACCACGGTTAATCACTGTTAATTAGCCTCACTATCAAAGTGCTGCTCACAGGAACCTACTCTCTCCATTTGCACAGTGATGAAAATAAACATCAGGAGCTATGGATTTCCCAAAGGGGTGAGCTGCAGGCAGGAGCAGCCCGTGCAGGGATCCCTCACCTGCCGCGCTCGCAGGGCCACCTTGGCGTTGGTGGTCTTGCTGAGCTGGGTCAGCTCGGTCAGGATATTGATCAGCTCGTCTGTCAAGGTGGGGTCACGGCCACAGAGCTGGTCCTGGGAATAGAGAGAACAGGAAATGCTTAGAACAGAGGGAAAACGTCAGCTGTGCTCCCCCAAAAGGAGTTTGAACCCGGCATACGAACACACACTCAGGGCTGGACCATCCCCAGGAGTCCAGACCTGAATTATCCTGGAATTCTGTGCTGACAAGGACACAAATATTCAGCACCCAACAATTTTACACACATAAATAAAAGATGAAAGAAGGGACATGCTCCATCTCTCATTCTCCTGTTTGTGCCATGTGTTCTGCCACCCAAACACACGAGAAATGCTGACCTGTCAGAGAGACTCAGAAAACCCTTTCCCATCACCCAGTTTCAGGTTTGTACCAGAAATTCCTCCTAGCACCAATGCAAAATTCAAAGAGCTTAAATTGTATCCAGACACCTTGTGGAACACGTAAAGTTAGCAAACCCTCCCCATGAAGGGTGACCAGAGTTACACTGCCAGAGAACCTCCTGACATCCACTTAAATAAACACTCAAACCTCACAAGTCCCCACAACTGCACAGCCACAAACCACCCACGCTTTGTGCAGCTTCAGCCAACACCAGAAAAAGGACCTGTCATTCCTCTGACAAGGCTAAGCAAAGCTAACTAAACCCATGAATAAGGTACTGTACTTCCTGCCATGGTACAGGACTGAGTCCATAATATTTCCTCTAACCAGAGAATCCTGGATCTGAGGAGATCCACAAGCTTACCTTACTGTCTGAATTGGCTGGATAAGACAAAAGTGAAGAGCATTAACTTCCAGTGTCAATGTTGTCCCAAAACTCTTCTGAAGTCATCCATTCAAAAAAATGCCAGCAGTAAAGACTTTCTTCCAAAAATAGCTTCAATTCCCATGAATAATCCCACAGTCTGCAACATTTCTTATGAGCCTCTTCCCTCCCACCCCAAAGCTGGAAACCCTCTAGGAGCCTCTAACGTGATTCTTCCACACAGCACTTAACAGCTTGTCTTGATAAATTAATCATAGGAGGGAAATGTGAGATGAAACAGTGATTTGCCATGAGGAAGAGCTGGTGCCTAAAAGTTTAAAGAGCTCTTAAACACCTACAGACCAGAATAGGCCATTTGAAGATCCAAGAAATAGAAAAGGATAAGGGGAAACCTCTGTGCAGCAAGTGGGATTGACAAACCTGCCAGGGAAAATAAAGTAAAACCCAAAGCCAAATAATACAAAAGCCCCAGAGAGTGAATAACTACACAACAGCTCATACTCCATGAGATTCCAAGGCTCAACAGCTTTTACCTCACACTGCTCCTGATCCCTTTCTCTCCAGGCCCACACAGGAATGATGACACAGATCTCCCAGGGAGACAGACCATACTCAAACCACTGAGAAAACCTCTGAGCTCCTAACTCTGATCAGACTGCTGTCCTCTCCTGACCAGCCCTGGGCCACCAAACACGAGTGTGATTGTTCCCAAAGAAAGTTCTGTGCATTTATCCACTCCAGGACACTGTGGGGATTGACATTCACTGCTGGATCTGAAACACAAACTCCAGGCTGCTGTTGTGTTCCTGCTGCAGGGAACAGAAATCTGACAGGACACAGGGCCCTGCCATGCCACCAGCCACTCCATCCCATTCAGGCCAGGACATGCTTAAGTTAAGCACAGAAAATGAACATACAACAACAAATCTCACCGTATTTCAACAGATGTATGAGGGATGAAGCAGTTCCCAGCCTGCCTTCAGTGCCTGCTGGCTAAAAAAGGCGAGTGATGGCAGCATAACACCATTACTAAAGCCATCCTCAGAGCCCCTGGTTAATAATGGATGCCCGGGATCCATCAGTAACAGCCCTTACCCCACCCCACACTTACAGCTTGGCTCCAGAAAACACCACAGCTGTCACCGTGGTGACACCAAACGTGCCACGGGGCCCTGAGAAGCCATGAGCTGCAAGGGAGAGGAGTGATGGCTTTCTGGTTCATGTGGAAGCTCAGGGACAGCCAGCTGTGCCAAGGGTGACCACAGGCACGTTGTCCCTCCTGAGCTCACCGTTCCCACTCCAGAGGAGAAACCCCTGTGTCCCCATGAGGTGGCACCACGGCCTCACCGATGGCGCTCGGACAGCCAGGAGTGACCCTTCCACCGTGGTCTCCTTGGTGTTCCAAGGTCTGCCAACCTGGGATGTTGGCCTTCACTTGAACAGAACCAAGTGGCAGAGATGAAGAATGACCCAACAGGAGGGACAAGAGAGGCTCTCTGAGGTCTCCCCAGCAGCAGGAGCCAGCGAGGCACGGCCCGCACGAGGTGACAAACCACACAGAAAGTTCCAGCCCCATTTTAGCGAGGAATAATCAGGATGACAACAACAACCCAAAGCCAGGCACTGGCTCTGCCTGCACTGATTGGCAAAGGCAGCAGCCAAGCCTCAGCCCAGCTCTCTGACAAGGGCTAACGCCTCGCCGGCACCCCCGTGTAATTACACACTTGAGTGACTGGACTCTGAAGAAAATTGAAGGCCTGAGCTGTGAACAGCTGCCATTTTCTCTCTCCATCACGCCAGCGTGATTACTTGAGAAATGAACAGCCCCGGCTCAAAGCTACTCCAGAATTCTCAGAGGAAATATGGCTCCGTGTTCAAATAATGAGATTCTTAAGGCAAGCGTTACTTACAATCACACCACACACCAAAAAGGGAAAGGGGGGAAAAAAGGGGAAAAAGGAGAGCCAGGAAGAAAGAACACCAGGATCCTTACACCTTACAAATGAGAATTTAAGAAACCCAGCCTCGGTTTAGGAAAATTATGACACTTTTTTTGCTTTGGAGAGTTATTTTGTGGATGGCTACTTTGGATGTGTTTTTGGCAGTAACAGATGACATTATGCTTGTAAAATAAAAGACAAAAGGGAGGGAGGGAGAAGGAGGGAGAAGGAGGGAGAAGGAGGGAGAAGGAGGGAGAAGGAGGGAGAAGGAGGGAGAAGGAGGGAGAAGGAGGGAGAAGGAGGGAGAAGGNAGAAGGAGGGAGAAGGAGGGAGAAGGAGGGAGAAGGAGGGAGAAGGAGGGAGAAGGAGGGAGAAGGAGGGAGAAGGAGGGAGAAGGAGGGAGAAGGAGGGAGAAGGAGGGAGAAGGAGGGAGAAGGAGGGAGAAGGAGGGCAGCAGGCACTTACAATGAGCATTGTAACCAGCAGGTTCTTCTTGGTGACCTGGGCATGGGAGAAGATGTAGTTCAGCACTGCGTTCATGTCACTCTTGTTCTCCTCACGAAGGGTGAAGACACACTTGTCATAGTGACCTGCAGGCAGAAATGCACATTTCTTTCCCAGTCTTCACACCTCTGTAGCAAGGACTGCAAGTTACTAGATGTGTCTTTGTTTTTTATGTGGATTTTTTGAGAATCTCCTTGGCTTGAAGGGAGCAGACAAGGAAGATGGAGAGAGACTGTTCACAAGGGATGGAGTGACAGGACAAGGGAGAATGGCTTCACACTCACAGGAAGCAAGGATAGGTTGGGTATTAGAAAAAAATTCCTCCCTGTGAGGAATCTGGCACAGGGTGCCCAGAGCAGCTGTGGCTGCCCCTGGATCCCTGGAAGTGTCCAAGGCCAGGCTGGACAGGGCTTGGAGCAGCCTGGGACAGTGGAAGGTGTCCCTGCCATGGCTGGGGTGGAATGAGATGTGCTTTAAAGTCCCTTCCAACCCAGACCATTCTGTGTTTCTCTATGGTCCACACAATCAATTTGGGAAGGAATCATTCCCACCATCACCTACTGCAAACTTTAATTCTAACACCACACTCTTAATAAACAGCTCTAAGACCAAATGCCTCCTCTGTGAGCAATACTGAGATTGGAATAGGGAGCTCAGACTTTCATTCAAATGACAACCAAAATGAAATAACAGCAAAAAGCCTTGCACCATCCTCTGCTGCCAGCAAATTGAAGTGGAAATGAATCTGCAGTACCATTAGGCCGGGGCAGGTAATGGAGCAGCACAAAAGAAGAGTGGAATCTGAACTACCTGTAAGAGCCAGAGCCTTGGAATTAGCCAGGACTTCATTGCCATCTTGTGCCTGGATACAGCAGTGCAAGGCACTGATTTCACCTCTCAGCTTCAGCTGAGCTGTGGGGACAGAACCTCCTCTACAAAACGCAGGATCTGACTGTAGACCCTTAAAAACAAGCCTGTGCACCTCACCCTCAGCACAAAGTGAGAGCAAACCTTCTCCAAAGGGCCCACATGGACTTTTCCAGAACCAAACACGACTCTTCAAGGAATCAAATCCCTGAAGTGCCCAGGAACTCACCGTGCTGGAACTGAGTCTCCACCTTCAGGTACTGCCGGAGCAGATCCATCACCACGGCTTTCATGTGGCCCCGAATGCCGCTGCGGTACCTGCAGAGACACCAAACACAGCACTGAGCGAAGCTGGCTGCACACACAGCCCCTGCCAGGCCTGCTGGGGGCAGCTCCTGCTCTGCAGGACACCCCTGGGAAAGAATCACCTCTGCACGAGCTGCACAATGCTCTGAGTGTTCATGAAGAAAACCTCGCGCTCCGACTTGCGGTTCAGCGTGGCCGCGTGGCTGTCCAGGATGTTGGCAATCTGAAAGGGAAAAGCACCTGGTAAAAAAAGGCTCAGGGAAAGCCCTCGATGGGCTGGACAACCAGCAGAGACACACCAGAGTCCCAGCAGACTCTAGCAAAGGAAGTTCAAGAGCTGCCAGTGATACAAAAATCAAAGCACAGTATTAGACAGTGGAGAAATCGGCTTCCAGCATCTCCGTACCCTCCCAGGCCTCCCTCGGCTGCAATCATTCTTTTTTGAGGTTACAGTGGCACTACAAATTGCACTGCAGCACATGCACCATGCAAAAAAGCAAATGAATGCCCCCAGGGCCACTGATAACATTAAAGTGTTTCCCAAGTGCCTGGTTAAAGCTATACTGAGCAGGGAACACCTTCAGCACAGAGGCAAGCCTTGAAGTGACACAGGCAAGTATTTTTCATCAGGAGGACCCCATGTTCAAACACACCTTTCAGGTTCAATTAACCTCCACATCACTTAAAGGAACTTTTTCTCTCTCTCTCTGCCCCAACACAACCCAATTTTTATCCCTCCACCAAGTGTGGTTGGTCACCTGTTGGCTGGGAAACTGGCAGAGGACCGAGGTGATGTTGCTGGCATACTGGGCCATCTCCTTCTTGATGGACTTCTCCACATTGGGTGGTATCCGTCCAGAAACACTGGTCATGATGTCCTGAAGCTCCAGCAGGGGCAAAGATGGATCTCTCAAGGTCTTCATTAAACGCTCAACCCAGCCCTTCACCTAGAGAGGGACACGGCAGGGTGAAGGCAAGAATGAAGAACAAACAACAAAAAGGGGGAAAAAGGAGGGGGTTGGTGTCCAACATCCCATCTCATGGGTGGCAGAAAAATGCCCAGCCCTTCCTTGAGCTGCAAGAACACTGTGTTTTGGTTGTGGGAGAAGAGGTCCCCGGTACCTTGCTGCTGAAGAAGGGCTCTGGCAGGCAGTACCCGTTCATCACATTGACCAGGTTGTCCAAGACGTAGTGGAAGATGCGATGGAGTTTCTCACCCCGCAGCGCTGTGCTCTGGATCTGGGGCAGGGTACCCGTGTGCAGCTCAGCCTGCAACAAGGAACAGCCTCACTGAGCCTCCTGTGGGGCACCAGCCATGGGGAACAGCCAGTCACCCCCAGCTGCAGCCAAGGTTTAACCCACAAGGATTCCCAGAGTGGGAAATGCAGTGGGAAATCTCTTGGTTGAGAGACACATCCCCACAATAGTACTGAGGAAAGCAGAGAGCAGGAATGGTAGGTAAGTTCAGCCTGAATCAGAGAGAGAGAAGAATCTCAGTCCCAGTCCTCATCTGAGACAAATAAATGGTGAAGTGACAATTCCAGTACAATGCACAAATGGGAAACTGCTTCACTGGACCATCTTGTACCACTCTTGACACCACTCCCACATTAAAACCCCACAAAATCTGTGCCTTCTGCAACTCCTCACCTGCTGAACCCTGCTGGGATCATCCAGCTGGAGTTTGGCAATCACACAGCCTGGATCCAGGACTGCCCCTGGGCGTTTGACATAGTGGATGCAGCCTGATTCTCCTGCTGTTATTGTCATCACCATTTTCATCACCTGTAGCAAAGAAAACAGGTTACACACTCAGCTCCCTGTGCCCCAAAAATGTTCTAGTTTTGGGAGCCAGCAGGAGCCACAGACAGACCTGCATGAGCACCTCTGGCATCCAGGTGTTCCCAAAACTTACAAGCAGAGATTCCCAGAACAAAACCCAGACACTGAAGTGAAAGGGAGAACAAAATAATTGGCCACAAAATAGTGCAACAGGAACTTGAGAAATGTCACTGCCCACACTGCCTGAAGCAGCAGGGGATTCAGGAAGGTCCCACACTCAGCACAATGAACAAAGCAGACAATTTTCTGCTGCATTCCAAAGGCTCCTCTCAAAGGCTCCAGACACACCTTCACTTCAAGCAGACGGAACCAGGATCACTTTCTAGAGCTCTCAGACAGCTCTTCCCAGACAGAAATGCTTCCTTAGATCAAGAGCTGTTGCCTTTGGAGTAGAAGGGTTTGGTATGGAGGAGCCAGTTTGGTTTTACCCTTGCTCTGCTCTGCACCACTGGGAGCCACAGGGATTGTGTGGGTGGTGCCTTCTCAGCCATGACCTGTTGCAGTGCAAAAGCACTTACATAAAATAGCTGGATCTCTGTCTTGATATTTTTCTCCTACACATTGTCCCCAACTGGTTTAATTGCCCCTCTGTCATCACACACCCTCCCCTCCCTCAAATCTGTTTTGAGCCACACACTCCTACACAACCCCTTGTGCTTTCCTCACCGTGATGCAGAAATTGCTCATCCTCCTCCTTGGGAAGAGTTAAGTAACTTCCCAGGGAGAAGGGAGGAGTGACACTTATTAACTTGTGGGATCAACCTGATAAATGATCAGCTAACCAGGATGAAGTTTGTTACTTCACCCTGGCATATAACTCTGTGTCAGTGCTACAAGAAGGCCTTCTTCACCACAGCTGGGTAGCACATGGATCCCACCTTCCCTTGGAATCTCAGGAAGGTGACAGCCATGGTCCCACTGAGAAATTTTGCTCATCACTTGGTGTAGAGTCATTAACACTCAAATTTCAGCTGTCAAGTAATTTCTTCCCCACCCCATCACTCTCACTGATGGTTCCCACTGGAGTTCAGGTTCAAATTTGTAAATGAAATACTGTGAATTATCCCTCAACTCCCAGACCCAAAGCATCCAACATCCCTCCCCCTGAGCTTTTTTGGGCAGCCAAACCAGTCCTCTGAGACTTTTACCTCAATTTCTGCAAAGCACTGGCCTGCAAACACGTGTCCCCCATCCTCCACCACATACTGGATCAGCTTCCCAGCAGAAGGTGAGCGCAGGATGGAGGGATCATTCTCCTTCTCAAACACACAGGTCTTGTTCCCAATGGTGATGCGATACCTAGGGAAGAACAGGACAGATCAGGGCAACAGAATTCCCTGGGGAAGACATGGAAAAGGGGAATTCCCTACTTTACTTTGAAACAAAACTACGGGAAAACACCTCAACCAACAGAGGTGGAGATTCCGACCCAGAAAGTTACCCAAATTCTTTGTCCTCCTGAGCAGATCCATTACTTTTCCCAGAAGATAACACAGCAGAGGGGGCAGAGTTCACATTCCAGACCTGGGCATGCCCTTTGCTGCCCTTACTGCTATGACCCTTGCAGGGAATTTTGAGGGGACGCACTGAAACAGTACAATTTGTCTTTACTTCTGAAGCAGCCATGGCGCTTCAAGAATTTTAAAGATTTTCAGGTTTTGGTTTTTATAATCCCAAATTTCACTTTAAGGACCAAGCAGAGGACTCCATGTGGTACACAGTCAGATCATTCTTCAAAAAGTAGCCAAGATCTGTTCTGTCTTAAAACTCACCATGGTCCACCCTGAAAAATGTTTCTAGGGGAGAATTCCATTCCCAGCTGATCTCTTGGGAAGCACAAAGTTACAAATACATCTCATTTTGGCTGTGTAAACGCTAAACGTGAAGCTGTACAGGTTGCTACCTGTCCACTTCTTCTTTCATGTAGGTGGTGTAGCTGCTGCCATCGTAGGAGAGGAGCAGCCCCCCATCACTCAGGCGATGCACATCCACTTCCACACAGGAGCTGTTCATGATGACCACGTAGGAATTGGGAGACTGCCTGGTCACCTGCAAATCCACAAGAATGGGAATTACCCAGTGAACTGAACACAGCATTGAGTGGCTTGGCTGCCACAATACAGAGTTTTCCAAGTGCTGCAATATGTGGGAATTAATGAAGAGGAACAGAGATGTTTGATGTCACGTAAAAAAACTGGGGTCACAAAGGCAAGCAACCAAGCTGATCAGAGGGATGGAGCACCTCTCCTGTGAGGAAAGGCAGAGAGAATTTGGATTGTTCAGCCTGCAGAAGAGATTCTGGGGTGATTTAATTGTGGCCTTCCAGTGCCTGAAGGGAGCCCACAGGCAGAGAGATACTTTTCACAAGGGCCAACCCAAACCAGTCTGGGATTCTGTGACACAGCAGTCAAGAGATAGCAGAACTACTGCTGTCCATGAATGTTGATTTAATCCTCTCACACTTTTGCACTGATGGTTGAGGTTTGATTGTGCAATTACAGATCATTTTCTCAGCCTCATCTGCTTACAAGTCACAATCCTGTACTAAAACTGCAGAATGGAGAACATAATTTGGGGGGGAAAAAAGAGAGCTTGTCTCACAGGGAAAGCAACAAGTTCTCTCCCTGGAGAAAGGGATTCTATCCCAGTCTCTGCCCCAGAGCTCCTATTTGATGCTGGGTAAATTCTTAAAAGAACACTTCAGCTGCTGCTCAATGCCTCTATTCCTCATCAAAGCTAAACCCAGGGAGGTGCAGAATTCATACCACTGCAAAAACCAGCCTATGGTCTTGTCACTAAAAACTTCACCACCACAAATCTGCCCAAGGAAGCTAATGAAGATTGCACAGGCAACCTTAAGTCTGATATTTCCTAACTTTCTTATGTTTGGTTTTGCAACACGGGGTTTTGCATGCAGCAAAAAAAGCAACACCACAGGGAAAAAATTACTGCAAATTCTATCGCCTTGGTGGTCAAAACCCCAGCAGAGCAGACCTACATGTTCAGAAAAATCAACTGGAAGTTTTGATCAAGCTGTAGTAGTCTTTGCCTGTAACAAAATAATTTTCACCCTACTCAGAGCAAGAGGCTGAAATGTTTACAGAGACACTGCAATGGAGCAATGTGAGGGGTGTTATCGTAAAGGAGGCCGTGCTGATTTCTCCACCCACTAAAGCAGAGAAAATAAACCCTGCTCAGACAGAATTCCCTGTACAGATCTGTGCAAAGATGAGGCCAGAGCAGCACAGGTGGCCATGTCCAGCTCAGAGGCAGGAGCAGGGGTCCCACACCGTACCTTCAGCACGTACTTCCGTCCCTCGTAGATGAGCTCCACATCCACCGTGTTGAGCAGAGTGTGAGCAGGGAGGACTTGGCCCCTGCAAAGGGAAGTACAAAACAAAACTGATCCTCCACAAGCCACCAAATGACTACCAGGGGTCCAAAGAGCTTCAGAGATGCATGCAAGGCTTTAGGAAAGACTAGCAGAGAGATGGAAGAAGGCTTTTATAGAGTCTCTTCCCAAGAGAGACACAAATCGGTTTGACCAAGTCAAATAAAGCCCCTCCAGCCACACAGGCCAGCTTTGCTCTCCTTTCCATTCACTCCTGGGTGACTCAAGACTCCCTAATGCTGTCCTGGCAGCACACAGAGAAAGAACTCCATGTTTCTGAGCCATTTCCTGGAGCTCCTGCTAGAAACCAAAGCAATCCGTACTGACAGCAGGGGATATTTTGAGGAGATGCAGATAGCTGCCAGTTTTCTCAGTAGATAAAGAGCTCCCTGGGGCCAGGGAACAGTCAGCAGATAACAAGCCCTGAGCACTCCTGGACTGGACTTGAACAGAACCTGTACACCAGGAGTAATCAGTAGAGAGCAGCTTGCACTTTTACCTTTCCAGGGAGTGCAGGAAGTTGGAGACGCTGTTTCGGAAGCTCACATCAGCCACGTGCAGAGCCCCACACACCACCCCCAGCATGGTGTCAGGCCTCTCAGCCTAAAAAAGGGGACAGACACAGTCACACCTCCTCCAGCTGCAGCCCAATCTGAACACCTAGCTAGAAGAACCTCAGCTCTATTTTTGGTTCATGGCCAACTCTCTTTAAAATCAAGTCAGTGTAGCAGCCATGTGAACTCTGCATAAAGCCATTATTTCTGTAACTCCTTAAAACTACGTTTTCTTCTGCCTGGATTAAATCTTGAGGTTCCAACAACATTTCCACTGTCATCTGTCCCAGATTCCAAACAACACTGGTCTCAATTCTTTTCTGAACAACTTTAAGACCAACTTTCCCCAACAGGGACAACCAAGGATTTTGATATATATAAGAAGTAGTGCCGCTGAAAATGTTAATTCATGAAATGGGCATTCACCACTCTAGAGCCTTTTGCACCAGCAGGCACCCACCCCCTCCCCTGCTCACTGCCAAGAGTGTTCCTGCAAGGGGAAGCAGCTGCACCTGCACTTTCTCGGCGATGAGCCGGTCCAGCCAGCCCGTGTCGATGCGGTTCTGCTGGAAGCTCTCTGTCTCCAGCAGCTTGATCAAGTATTCCACAGTGGTCCTGAAGTCCCCTCGGATGGACAGCTCCTTCAGAGCCACCACCATGTTTCTGAAAGGGGAAAGAAGCCCTGTTATCTACCCCATCCTAATGGCAGCACACAAGCTGGCAGCTCCAGACAGAAAAGCGCTTGAAGGTCAGAGCAGAAGAGCACAGGCATGGGGCAGGATCCTGCAGGAATGCTTGGGAATGGGAGAATATTGATTTCCCTGCTGCTGGTGTGAAGAGCAGCTCAGTGGGATCAGGAATTCTCCCTGTTAACATCACCCAGGGCCCTACCATGTGTCAGGGGTGTACAACAGACAGACAGACAGACAGACAGACATGGTGTGCACCCCACCGAGAGCAGAGATGGGGAAAGGATGGATGGAAAAACGTGGTCAGACAGGTCTGCCTTAGGACCAGGTGCTTTAAAATCCCACACCACAGAGGACACTCCATGGTGCACAGACCATCCTGAAGCATTGGTAAGCCAGGTTAGCAACGTTTTTCCTGTTAGAAGCTTTCACCTGGATGCTTTAAAGAGGGACTTTCCCACTGTGGTAACTGTGTCATAGCCCAGCAGCAGGTATACAAGGCAGGGATGAGACCAGAAAGGAAGAAAAAGAAAGAAAATTGAGCAAAAAAAGTGTAAAAATGTAGGTGGAACATAGCAGAATTGCAAAGCAAGACAGAATGAAAAGCCTGACCACAAAATGGAAAACAAGATAACGACAGGGAAATTTCTCTTGAAACTCCTAGAAGGAAGGAGCCCTGTGGCACTTGGGATCAAAGAGGACAAACCCAAGCAATTCCCAAGGCTCTCCCACATTTCTGACTTACGAGATGGCTTCTTCACGGTTCTCTCCCCAAGAGAAGCAGTGACCAAACTGGGAATCTGCAAATTCATGGAGCCCTCCTGCAGCAGCCACGCTGAAATAGCCCCAGACGTTCTTATTGCTGCGGAAATTCAGCTCCTGAACTGTGCCAGAACTGGGCTTAAATCCCTGCAAAGACAGACAGACATTGCTCTATGCCCTCAAGAAAGGTGAATAATCCAGAATTAGGGTTCTGAAGGCTCTGAGAACACCTCTTTGTGCTACAACACAGTATAACAAGTTCAGGATTTGTCTAACCGGAGTCTAAGTGCGGAAAGGGAAGAATTTTTTAAATTTGCTGCCAAAATTTTCAGCAGCAGCAGGGACTGGCCCTGTAAAGGCCACAGTGAGCATGGAGCACAGAAGCTGAAGCCTCACCTCGTCAGGATTCTCACTGGTGATCCGGGCAGCGATGACGTGCCCACGGGGGCTGGGGACGTGGGCTGAGTTCTCAAAATCGATGGTTGTGTCTCCCCAGGGAGAAACTCCATACATCACTCTGATGTCCTTGATCCTGTGGAGAGGGATCCCCATGGCAATCTAAGGAGGACAAAAAAAATAAAAAAAATAAAATAAAAAACCCCAGTGAGTTTCTCTCCTCGCAGAGTGAAACATTCACACTTCCCAGGACTACTCAGCTCAGTGTAATATCCACCCTAAGCCCTTCAGCCAGTATTTTCCATTGACTGATTAAAAGGCTCCAGGGAAAGCTGACAGTGCCAGGTCAGCTGAGGATGGGCACGCATTAGGCCTGTTAAAAATATACTGAGGTCCCAGTGAGACAGAAGGGCCCTAACTGGTTATAGGAAACTGTGGAATTTTGCAATTATAAACTGTGGGGAGAGTAACCTCCAGAGCCAGCTGGTGGCTGCATCCTTGTGGAGCAAAATCCCACTTGCCCTGTTCATTAGTTTGGTCTTTTTTTTATAGATACAGTTCAAAAAAGGAGTAGAAAATCATACAGAGCCTTAGTGAGGTGTGAGGGGACTGTGGCATCCACCCACTGCTGGAAAATTTGGGGCCAGAAGTTTGGGGGGACACAAGGGACTAACAAGCCACAGCATATCAACAACTGCTGCTCTCTACAGGATTTCTCAGGGATCCCCTGGAGGCTTTGGGGAACTTCAAATAACTGCTGAACTTGCTGAAGGATGAGAAATTCAATTTTCTGTGCTCACCTGGAGCTGTGCTGCTGGCAGGTTGACATCTGCCACCATCTCCGTGCAGGGATGCTCCACCTGCAGGCGTGGGTTCAGCTCCAGGAAGTAGAAGCTGCCATCCTGGCTGTACAGGTATTCCACAGTGCCTGCACTCACGTATCCCACCATCTTGGCAAGCTTCACTGCACACTGGGACACGAAGAAAAAGAATGTCACATTGCCACTTACCCGTGCTCTCTCTGTTCATCCACCACACCCACTTCAGATTTCTGCTGGCATTCTGCTGAAACACCCCAAAACTTGTAATAGGCCCAAGAATTTCTCAGAGAAAAAAAGCCTTTGACACAGGAGTTTTGATTTCCAACTTATTTCATTTACAATTCCCAGAAGGCAGAGTTTGAAGCAAATATTTGCAACACTCAACATTAGGCAATTCATGCAACTCCTGAAACTTGCTTTTAACATGGTAACACACATTTAAAACACACTTCCCTCCCCTTTTTGGGGGGCATATATCTCTGAAAGGAGCTGTTGGTGAGATTTAGTGTGGCAATGTGAGTGGCTGCCCACACTAAGCAGTTTGAGACACACAGCCCTGTATCGCTCCTTTAAAACATTCAACAACTCTGGGTGATGTAAAACAAAAATGCAAAGTCCTGCCTGTTTCTGGAGCCTGGCCAGGGCAGGGGAAGCTGCAGAGCCACTCTCACCTGTTCCATGTGCTCAAACACTGTTGAGGTTGCAATAGAGGCTGGAGCTTCCTCGATGATCTTCTGGTGCCGGCGCTGCACGGAGCAGTCCCGGCCGAAGAGGGAGATGGCATTGCCATACTGGTCAGCCAGGATCTGCACCTCCAGGTGCCTGGACTGCTTGGCCAGCCTCATCACAAATATGGGAGAGCCTGGGACTTCAGTTTGAACCTACAGCAGGAACAGAATGAACAGGCAGAGCTTCTTGTGTGCTGAGGTCTCACAGACACCCAGCCTGAGCATCCAGAACAAGGCAGAACCAGTGGGAAAAGTCACCTGTCTGAACAGACTGGGGAAGTCATCTGCATTGTTCACTTTCCTGATTCCTTTTCCTCCTCCTCCTTCAGAAGCCTTGATCATGACAGGGTAGCCAACCTCCTCAGCAGCCTGGCAAGATGGGCAGAACAGGGTAAGTACAAAAAGGCAGCAGAATCCAGTGAAAAGATCATTACTTCCCTCTTGATTCACACCCAGGCTTCCATATCTGACTATTTAGCAACCAATGGGATAGAAACCAAATGTACCATTGGAGAGAGTGCCTGTAGCTGGAAAAATCAGCAGGGACTTTGTGATTAGAGAACTCTGACCTCTCCAAGTGACCACAAAATCTTTTGTCAGTGCTCCAATGCCATTAAATCTACGAATTCACAGAAAAGCTTTTGTATAATACAGAAAATCACTAAGCTGGGTAACATGGAAAAATGATATCCCTACCCCTGCTCTTCACAAAGGAAAATTCAAAATCCTGTATTGTACCAGGAATATTTCTTATTCTAAAAATCTTCCTCAAGGAGAAACTCAAAAGATGAAGTCAAGTGTGTGGTTGTGGATTTTTAGTGAAAATACCTTCTTCCTGCACTAAACAAAAATCAGATGACAGCTTTTAATGCAGCACAACCTTGGTCCCATATTTTGCCTCTCCCTGCTAATCCTCACCTAATTCTGCAGGCCAGGGCCAAAGATTAGTGAATGATCACTTCCCATTTTCCAAGAGCCAGCTCTGGGGCTGCAGAATGGTTCCAGATTGTGCTCCCATGAGGAGAAAGCTCAGCCCCAGCTCCCTGGGCCCTCAGAGACCTCCCCAGACCCACCCGCAGTCCATCGTCCGCGTCCTTCACGTATCCCTTCTCGTAGAGCTCCTGAGGAACGCTCAGGATGCGCTTCTGGAGATCGTTTTCCTGCCAGTCCACTCGAAGACCTGAAACACAAACATCACCCTCTGAGCTCCTGCCAGGCTGTGGGGAGCCTGTAGGATGTGGGTGACACCAGCCACAGTCACAGCTGCCTGAGGAACCAGGCTGGGAGCCCTTAGAAAAGGGAGTGTGCTCAGTGTAAACAACACTCCTGATTTCTGGGGAGAAAGTGTTTTTACTCAATGCATTACAGCCTCCTCCATTTATCTGTGAGAAGCAGGCTGTTATTTACAGTGTTTTGAAACTACAGAGGAACTGCCATGGAAGCAGAGTACGGGTTCCAGAACTACACAGAATCATGGGATGGTTTGGGTTGGAAGGGACTTCAAAAACCATCTTGTCCCAAGCCCCTGCCATGTGCAGGGGCACCTTCCACTAGAGCAGGTGTCTCCAAGCCCTGGGTGTACCAGGTGAGCCTGGGAGCACCAGCTGCACTCCAGGAAACTCTTACATGTTTCCTCACTTCTCCTCCCAGTCCCTCCTCCCGTCCTCCTCTGCACGCTGCCAGCTTCTCCCACCACCTCCAGGCTTATTCCATCCCTAATGCCATTGCTTCCAAGGCACCTCGCTGGTGTGGTGGGCAAACAGCACAAATGGGGAACCCTGAACAGCTGCAACACCTCCTGGAACACACTTCTGAGCACAGAGCTTCTTCAAAATTAGATACGTTCAAGGAAAAAAAAGATAAGGATGATCTTGATAAACACAGGACAATTCCCCCTTACCACTGCCACTCCAAGGAAGAGTTGGAATGCCAGCAGTCTGAGCCACGATGGAAGAAGCAATTTTATCTCCTAAGGCCCACATGGCTTGGCTGGGAGGACCTGCAAAGAGCAAAGACAATGCATGAGAGAGACACAAGGGGTATCAGACATTAGGGAAATGTCCAGAAGTCTGATTGAGGAAAAACTCCACTCTTCCCATAAAACTGAACCCTCTTTAAAATGAGAACAGGGACAACCTGGTTTAACAGGAATCTTTTCTGGTCTTTTATCTCAACATTAAAGGCTATTTTGGAAAACTTTCCCTTTCTTCATTACAAGAACTACTGTAAAGAACAGATCATCCATCTTGAACTGCAGAGCATTCCTCATGGCTCTGTCTTGGACTCAGGATTTTCTATCTCCCCAAACCTCCCCACCTTCAAACAAGGACTAGACATCATATGAGCAGTCCATCTCCTCACCCATGAAAGCAATCCCGTTCTTGTGGAGAAGTTCTGGCAGTTTGGGGTTCTCTGACGCATGGCCCCAGCCAGCCCACACAGCCTGCAGGAGAAAAGAAACAATTTGCTCTTTGTTTGAATGAAACAAGTGAGCAGAAACTGACACATGCAAACACTCCAAGGTTTTATTTTCCTAGTGGAAAACAGCCTGAGAACAGGCAGCAGCCACAGCAGGCTCTGAGCTATAGGGTGTGATGAATTGAAAGGATGACCTGCACCTTGCAGACAAGTGCAAGCAGGCTGCTGCAGCAACCTGCTGAGGAGGAGCTGGGTGTAGGGAAGTACAAGGCTGCAGGGAACCTCCCTCTCCTGCAGATATTCACACTGGGACAGCCACTGCACTGTCACATGTGTTGCCTCTGGCTGCTAATTTGGTTTGGAAATCCGTTTTTTGTGTCCTGCCTTGCTCCCCAGGCACAAGTCCTTATTGAAGGAGAGAAGACTGCTCGGTGTCTGGGACTCCTCACCTGCACTGGAATCCTCTTGGCGATATCGAGGATGAGCTCCACGTTTGCATAGTTGTTGTTGTTGGGTCCTCCTGGCACGGGCACGTAGTGATCTGCCATCTTAATGTACTCTGCAAACACAGAGGAGTTCCCATGGAGGCTACAAATCTAACAACAGGACTTGCTCTAAAATCCCCCTTCTCCCCAGGCCGGGCCCTCCCAGCTCCCTCAGCTGCTCCTCACAGGGCTGACTCTCTAGGAAACACTGAGCTGTTCCAGAACATCCCATCACTGCCACCCCACTCCTTCCCTAGCTCCCCAGCTCACCTGCATTGGCTTTCAGGTCCTCAGGAGTGACCATGACCACGAACCTGATGGCCCTCTCGTTCCTGAACATCTCGTAGGACCAGCGCCGGATGGACCTCATGCACTTCACTGCTGCAATGCCATTATTTGCTATCAGGACCTGGGTGCATTAGAAGCTGGGATGAAATAGAGTCTAAATAGCACAAAACAATTAACTACCACCAAGTAAATGTTTTTTCCCTGCAGACTCTTTGCCCAGCTTTGGGCTGTGCAGTTTCCTTAGCCAGCATCCAGCTCATGGCCCATCTGTCAATTCAGAGAGCAGCTCTTGTCTCACCAGAAAATTTTAATGTGGTATGTATGCCTTGGTTGGATTAAAGAGCAGAAGAACTCAAATCAAATTATTATGCATAGTAAAATAAATTTCTTAGTGTTTTTCCAGTCTACTTTTGTTTTATTTCTCTATAAATCCTTTTGTATCAGCAGAGGTGCTCTGGCTCACTCACTTTTTTTTTTTATTATTACATTAAGCTAAAATAATGTTTGTTTATCACATAGAAAAAGGAAACACAATGATTCCAGGCAGAAGCACAACTTCCAAGCTCAGAAATATTAATAATTTGATACCTGCAGACAAGTCAGAGCTCCAGAGAGGAGCTGTAATATGCTATAAAAGGTCAGTGAGTCACCTTTTCAATAACTTTATTCCCTCCAAAACGAGTAACAAACTCTGCTGGAGAAGCCACGGTGAAATCTCGCTGCACATCCACCTTCTTCCTGTCCCGGCCTTGCTTGACAAGGTGCAAACCAGACATGCTGGGCCTGAGGAAATGGGGGAGACAGAAACAACCTGTCAGTGCAGCTGGACACCATAAAAGAAAGTATGTGAATAATGTGAAAGTTCTCTTTGACCACATTCCCCAGTCAGACAAGCAGAATCTCTCCTTGTCTCCAGACCCTCATGGCCTGGTCCTCAGTTTTACAGGGATGACTCCTTTTAAACTACTTTTCAGTTATTTCCACACAAAAGTTTCAGGTTGGAAAAATTCCAGCCATGCGAAAATATAAATAGGTAAAATTACATTTGCTGTGTGTTGCTGCCCAACACAGAACAACAAAGCTCCACCAGATTGCTTTCAATCCATCTAGAGAAGCTGGAAACAACAGTGATTTCTGGCTTTGGCAAAACAAGCTACAAAGATCGGATTCTGTAAGGAAATCCTCTTGGGAAGCACAGCATATTTATCTCCACAGGAGAGACTCAGACTGCCTACAGAAATCATTTTCCAAGCGTTTTCCACTACCCAGTCTTTAGTATCTTCCTCAAAAGCTCTGAGAGCCAGAGGACAAATTAATCACGTTACTCCTACTACAAACACAGAAAGCCAATTTTGTGCCTGCCAAGACCAACCCCATGCCCTGCCACAGCCCTTCTGTGTGGGAATGGCACAGCCACTTCCCCTCCTTCTGCTCCAGCTTCCACAGCAACAACACGGGGATAGATCACCCTTTGGCTTTGATTTGCTGAAGTTGACAAAGCTGAGTCTGTGAGAGGAAATTCCAGGGAAAAGCACAGAGCTGCTCCTCACACCGAGGGTCTGCCATGGCACAGCACGACTGGGAATTAATGACACTTTTATTTCACAGGCACTGAAGCTTCACCTCTCTGCTCACCCCACAGTTTATTTGTTTTCACTGTCCTTACTGTGCTTTCCCTGACAGTTTCCCTTCCCTGGAACACAGGGAAGCCCTCACCCCGCCACTGGCAGCATCACAGAGCCCTCCTGTAGGAATGAGGGCTGGGAGCTCAGCTCTGAGCTTTGGAAAGCCCCAAGAGCACCAAGGGGTCGGTGCTGGTCACTGGCAGAGCCCTCTGGATGGAACCTCCAGCCTAAACAGCTGCTGAAGGGCTGCTCCATTGAGCAATTCCACTGGGAATGGGATGGGATGCAGCAGAGAGCAACTGGAACAGCTGGGGGAGGGCACAAAGGGAAAACCAACACCAGGAGAAGCCAAGGCACGTCTACAGATCTCCTTTCACCATCACAGCCACCAAAGAGAGCCGGGCCTGGAGGTGCATTCCTGGAGCACCCCTGCTGAAGGAGCTGCTGTCCCAGGGGCCTGGCCAGGGAACCCAGGGATTCCCCCTCACATTCCCTCAGGAACACCTCATGGCCCATGAAGATTTACCCACGTGGAGCCCTCTTTAACACCTCCCCAGGAGCACAGTGGCAGCACAGAGCAATCCTGTCACTCCCAGTGACACTCTGGGACACAGAACAGGCTCTGCTAGGTCAGACCAACTCCATCCAGTCGAGTATCTTATCTCAGAGAAGAGCAGGGAGCTGACAGCCAGAGAAAGGCAAAGAACAAGTTCTGTGTGCACAGCTTCATCCCCTCATACTTTCCCTTTTTCCAGTCAGCTGCACTTCCAGACATCTGTCACCAAACTTGGGACGTGTTCCTGCGAGCAAAAGTTGTCACACTCACGTGAACTCAGCCTGGGAATACAAGGACAGGAGCCAGCAGGCAAGAAAGAGAGCAAATGTGTAGTTAAGGTTGAATTTCTACTAAATTTGCGCATTTAGGGGGTCACAGTCTTCCTGGCAAGGAAGGAGCACAGTCCAAGGAGCAAGAGAGGTTCATGCATTACAGGCTTATTGAGAGCAGTCTCAACAAAAATAAGAAGAGATAAAAGTCCCAAGGTGAGAATTTGTGAAATATGTTTAAATATGAACTGTCCCACCAAGAAATTACTACACACGAAGATACTGCTACAGGCAAAATGTCAACAGAGCCTGAGGTTCATCATCCAGGATGCAACAAACACTTGGACATAAACAACTACAGTTTGACTTGTGAACATGCCAAGAACATTAAGTTTATTTATCAATAATCAGAGACTCCACATTGTAATCAAAACAGAAGTGTTGGGTTGTTTGGGGTTTCTTTTGCAGGATAAGATGAGGAAGGAGCTGGACAGGAAGGAAGAAAGCACAGAGCTCTAAATGAAACAGAATAAATGCTGAGTTAGTGACTGTCATCCCTATTAATCACCTGCTCAAAACTGCCATGTTTTGTGATGGAGGAATTTTCAAAATGCTTTTCTACCCCTCATTGCTCACGGGGGGTAGAAGTCGTGCAGAACCTCCAACTTGCACAACCCTGATCCCCCAGCTGAGCTGCACCCTGGCATCTCTGTCACAGGCTGCATGCACGGAGAGCCCACGGGCTCTGCGAGGTTCCAGAGGATAAAATGAACACCAAAACACAGAGAGCATCTCCAGCACAGAGCCCAGGCAGGGGGACACAGGCAGATCTGTGATCCTTACCTCTGCAGCATGTGGTACCTCATCTCCTGACTCTGCTCTGCAGAATCCTCCATGCTGTCTGAGGGCAGGAATTAATGGATTTCGGGCTTGCTCACAGCTCCTCTCTGCTGCTGCAGCTCTTCAATTTTGCCAAGTCTGCAGCTCAAGGAGAAGCTGCAAAGAGCCTGACGCGGTTTCTCCTCCAAGCAGCGGCACTTCCCCGGCTGCTCCAAATCTCCTGACCTTTGTCCCTGGCCCCCCCCCACGAGTGTCACCCTTGTGGTGACGCAGCAGAGGGGACCAGCCTCCCCTCGTCACCAGGAGCAGCCGATCAGCAAAGGCAGAGCAGCAGCCACAGCTTACGTAATGGAGCAGCTCCAGCGCGCCTGCACGGCCGCTCCGAGGCTCCGGAGCCCCAGGAGCAGCTCCCAAACTGGGGACACGCTGGGAACGGCAGCACAGCTCCCTCCAGCAGCAGCCACAGGGATGCAGCAGCCACAGGATTCTGCTCCGGGAGAGGGTGAGAGCATCCCCAGCTCTGCGAGCACAGGAATTCAGCCTGTAGGATTTAACTGGCGTGGGGAGGTGACAGGGACGGCGTTTCCAGGGCTGCAGAGAGGAATGTCACAGGCAGCTTGTGCAGGCACACACAGCGTGACAGAGCTGGCAGATCAACCTGGACACCAGCCTGGGAGCTGGGAGACCCTGGACACGTCACTTCACTTTTCTGTGCCTGTTTCCCACCTATAAAATGGAGATGAGGTCACTCCACGTGCTGGAAGAATAAATATCCTCACAAGCAAAGTGTTACAGCACAGCAGGGTCCAGTAACATCACTGGAAGATGGGAAAACGTTTACTCGGAACCGGAATAATGGAACATCCCGAGATGGAAGGGACCCACAAGGATCATCAAAGTCCAGGTCCTGGCCCTGCACACACAAAGACATAAATTGCAAATCTGGGGGTAGAGGCAGGGTAAGGAAGGGCAGTGTCTGTAGCAGTGCCCTGATGGTAAAACCTGGACTGGAACTAGGCACAGCAGCTGGAATTTTTTTAATCTGGGGATATTTGGGTCTGTGCTGGTGGAGGGCTGTAGCCAGGCAGCACAGCTTTGACTTGGGGCACAGAATCCCAAAATGCAGCCAGCCAGGAGGGGATCATTCAAAAAAGGAGCAAGTATCCGGAGAGAAGTGCCACATTAACCTGGTGACAGGAGGTGACCTCCCTGCAGGGCCAGGGGCTGAGGCCAGGACAGGTGACATGGTGAGGGGCAGCAGCAGTGCCATGGGCTGCCAGCTCCAGACACATCCAGGGACCAGCAGGGACAGTGACACACTGCGGGGTAAGGGCAGCCTCACTCTGCACACAAACCTCACCAGAACCCAGGGACCTCACAGAGAACAGAGTTTAACTAACAGGACACCCTAACACCACATATCTATCCCAGAACTTTCATTTGCCAGGCTTTATTCCTCTTGGAAAAGCATCTCAAACCGCCCAGCCATCAGGTACCCCACCAATTCCCCATTTAATTCCCCACCCACAGCCCCCAATCCAAACAGGTTGTGCCTATTGTGGCTGCAAGGAAACAAATCTACCCACAGCTTAATGTGGCACTGTCAGAAACATTCCCTGTGCCTTCCACCAGCCAAATGCACTGCTGGGAGAGAAATGGCCACGATTTGCTGCTGGAGCAGCACACCCAGAGGAGCGGCTTCAGCATTGGTTAAAAACATTCTGCCAGCTGCTGAGAAATCAATGGCCACAGTTTGCTGCAGCATCCCTACAAAAACAAGCTCCACAAGGACGTGTCACGATCCAGGGCTGCCCATCCAACACGCTCAGGCTCCACAGAGCTCATTTCCAGCACACAGCGCTCCCCAAAGCCGGAATCCCACAGAATCCCACAGAATCCCACAGAATCCCACAGAATCCCACAGAATCCCACAGAATCCCACAGAATCCACCCCCTCCTCAGCGCGGTCACACAAAGGGAAAAGCTGCGCCTGCTCCTCTCCTGCAGCCTCCAAGGAAAAATCATTCCTTAGGGACACGTACCTGAGGCACATCCCAGCCAGGAGCCGGCACTGATCCCAGCACTGCCACATGCCAGGGCAGTGGGTGACGTTCCCGTGTGTTCCAGAGGCAGGGATGCATGAGCTGCCTCGTGTGGAAGGCAGCCTGGAGCACACTGCAGCACACACACACACACAGAGTCCCCAGAGAAAGGGCTGGGGATTGTCTCCCTCGGGATGTGGCCTGGGCAGGGTGTGCAAAGGTGCAAAGGGCAGCTCTCCCCATCCATTTGGGCTCTGTGTTTTGTAAATCTGATGAGAACGCGTATTCCATCCGGGTGATACGACTCAGGCAGCTGAAGCCTCCCTAAGATCTGCTCCAGTTTTAGCTCTGCCCTTGCATCTGATTTCACAGGAAGGCAGAGGGAAGGAACAAGCAGAAATGCTGTCCAGCAAGGGATGCAGAATTCCACCGCTGGAATAAATGGTTTGCCGTGCCTCAGGCAACAGGCACTGGAGGCAGCAATCTGCACTCTGTCAAAGACAGTTTTGCCCACATTTTAAAGAGCCAGAACTGGCTTGAACACAGATCCTGTCAAAACCAGGGCTTCACCCAGAGGTCGAAACAAACAAACCTTGACTCAGCTCTGACAATGAATTGAGCCTCAGGATTTCAAGAAATTAAATAAAGGATGCAGCACAGAACAAAACCAGCCCTCTCTGCACTGCCTGGTAAATAACCTCCCTTCCATGCTAACACAGAATTCCAGCATCAATCCAGGCAGGTCTTTAGCCCAAAGCAGGAATTTTTACAGAGCTCAAATGGGTACAAGCTGCCAGGATTCCTCCCAAATAACCCAGTGCCAATAGTTTTCCAGAAGTTCCTTTCCCTAAGCACACACCTGGCTGTGTATCTGCCATGCCAGCTGCACTTGGAACAGGACCATTCCCAGGACACACAGCCCAAATCACTGAGGTTCCTTGCAAGTCCAAAAGCAACACCCTGACACTCAAAATACCCACTGAATCCAAACATCAATCCAAATAAACAACCAAGTTTAAATCCAATTAATATCCATACTCCAGTTCCTAAACCTACGAAGTACCAAAAGAGCTTCACTTTTACATCCTCATAAAGTATAAAATTCCACATGTTCCCAGAGCAGAAAACAGCCCAACACTCTCCAGGTCAAGCCCTGGCACCAAGATAAAAGTGAACAGCAGCAACAACAGCACAAGGCAGGTGTGCACAGAGAGTGGAGCGGAATTGGAGTCCCTGGCAGGGAGCCCTCCACGTGCTTTTTGGCAAAGTTCAAGTGTTGAACAGATCTGATCTGCAGGAACACGAGAATGGACCTTTTTAAACCAAAGATAGGGGATAGGTGGGGGAGTCTCACATTAAATTCACCCAAAGTAAGAGATTTGTTATCTCTCAGATAAGTGAGCACATGGTATCTCAGCCAGGGAATCTCACAAAATCTCCCAGCAAATGACTGGATTTAGAGAGGACATTTAACTTTTAACTGAGGTTAAAGGGAGTAAAATAACACCAAAATAAGAACACAACTTCTGAGAGGCATGCAGAAGTATACAGTGTGCTTATTCATGAAGCAGAGGAGCTGTCACGGAAGGAAAGCTGTAATTCCCACATTATCAGTGGGAATTACAACCAGGCACAGCAATGAGTCCAAACTCATTTCACACCCCTTTTTCTTTCAACAGAGAGAGGAGGAAATCAACTTTTCACTCCAGGTGGATGAAGTTCGTGGCCTTAAGCTGAAGGAGGGCAGGTTTAGATTAGAAATTAGGCAGAAATTCTTCCCTTTGAGGGTGGTGAGGGCTTGGCACAGGTTGCTCAGAGAATCTGTGGCCGCCACATCCCTGGAAGTGTCCAAGGCCAGGCTGGGATAGAGGAAGGTGCTCCCTGCACACAAATCACCCTACACAAAACCTCCAGCACTCCTGACAGCACAGGCAGAGCCAGAGGAGGATCAGGCCCCACAGCAGGACTGGGACAGCAAGGACTCCATGCAGCAGAGGAGAAATCCTTTGTGGAGCAGCCTCACAGACCCCACAGCACATTTATCCCTCCCTGCCCAGAGCTAGGCTAAAACCACAGCAACACCAACAACTTCACAGCATCAATGCTCCATACTGCAACCTCACATCACAAACTGCTGGGCTGGAAAGGAATTTTGTAGATTCAGAAGAGGCTCAAAAGGATCTTTCATTACACTCAGGACTCTGCAGTCACTCTAGGGCTGGTTTCTAAGCAGGCACCTTGTCCCAGTGCCAGGCTGGGCACACTCAACCACGACTGTCCAGGCTAAAATTGGGGCATTTGTCCAAATTTCCTTTAGCAGATGATTAGTTCTGCTTAAGCATCTCCATAATTTATTGAGACAATTCACTGAGAAGTCCAGCCAGGGTTAGGAGCAACTCTGTGGGCTTCATATTAGGTAACAGCTGAACTCCATCCAAAAATTTGGCTATCAGCTGATACAAGTTTGTCAGGTGATTGTGTGCACCCATGTCACTGCTTATGAAACCAGAGCCCCAATGTACAAATACCAGAGGACATCCAGGTTTTGTTCTATTTAAAACAAGAATTTGATACAAGATACCGTCTCAGAAGATAGAAATTAAATTTAGCAATAATCAACAAGAATTTATTAAACAAAACAGATGGGCCCACAGTATTTTCCAAGTAGCATTTATGGAGGAGTTACTTAATCTGCCACTAAAACTTCAGAAAGGAGCATAGCAACTCTATAACAGCTCACTACAAGGAAAACTGTATCCCAGCAGGACTGGTTGGAAGTGCAGACGGAAAATTTTGAACTCAGAGACAACAGGCAGAAAAAAGGAAAAAAATGGCAGGCTTGGTTTCATTACTTAAAGGTGCAAAGTGCAACCAAGACCCTCTGAACACTCAGTCTGAGTGGTTACTGTCCCTACAAACCAATTTTTAGGTGCTGATGATCCACACAGCAACTTAAAGTTCATTCTCAGAGCGTGGCTTTCCGGACCCTGCAGAGCAGCAGCCAGCTGGCACAGCTGAAGGTCTCCATGGGTCTCCAGTGGCAGGAGGGCACCACCTGTGCCACCAAGAGTGCCTTTAGCAACAGCATAATCACTTCACAAGATCAGTAAGGTCACACAGACCTGTCCTCACAAACCCTTTGGCAGCTGAGTAAATCCTGCCTTTTAATCATAAAACTGTTCCCTGAGAACTGCTCTGCAGCAAAGCCCCTCACCTCAGACACAATCTCTATTTTAATTCTGTAGGAAGAACACCAGCAAATGGAAAGATTCTTGGCAACTTCTTCCAAAAGACATGCTCCCTTGGACCTGCACCTTTGGACCTCCACCTTGTATCAAAGTGTACAGAACTGCCAGTCAATTTACTTTTACCACTTTGCAAAGTGATCACCAAAAGGAAGCTGGAAGCAAGAGCACCTCTGTCCCATTAACTGACTGTCACAGAGTGACTCCAGGCAAGTTGCTGAACTTGTCTTTGCTGTTGTCTTTGTCTCAGTTTCTCCATCTGTAAACATGATTTAGAAATCTCCTGATGAAAAGGACAACCATTCTGAAAAGTATTTCAACTCATCCGAGCTTATCTTAGAAAAACAGCCTGTAACGCTGTAACTTTTTTTATTTGAATTGGCCTTTCTCTCCAATTTAACTCAGAAGTGCTCCCCAAAGGGACTGCCAAAATAAGCAGGTTACAACAGAGGTGCCCAAGGTTGCACTCCTATTGCACTGAGGCTCTCTGGTGCCAGGCACTGTCCTAGAAGTTTCTTGCTCTGATATTGTCCATTTTACATACTTGTGGCTAGGTGCTCATCCAATTTCTTCTGTTCCTAAGATATATATAGTTACAGTTTCCTGCTTCAAAATTACCTTTTGTGCTGCCAAATCATTGCAACTGGCAGCTTCTGGAAAGGTAACCCTCTGTAAATTTGCTTTAAGGTTTTGCATCAGCTGTGCAAGTGCCAGCTGGCTGAACATGCCCAGCTGACCATGATAGCTCTGTCAAGCACACACCAACCCCTATGATCCAACCTGTGTCTTTGGACTGTGTGTTTCCAGAGGCTTCTCCCCTCAAGTGGGAAGGGAACCATCAAAAAAAAAAGGAGAGATTACAATTCCTTAACCTGCACAAACCAAGAAACCAGGAAAACACAAGAACAAGGATTAGCTGGTTGTGTAAGTATCCCCCACTGGTCAGTAAACCCTTCTGGAATCAAGCATTCCTCACAAAGCAATAGAACAAAGGCAGTGAGGGACTGCCCAGCAAAAACTGGAGTGGGATTCACACTGTCCTGGGTGTTCCTGGAATGGGATGGCACAGGCAGAAAGATTCCAGTGCCTCCTGGAATGTGGCAAACAAATGAAGGATACACAGGAGAGTGAAGCAAGACTGAGCAGCAGAGAAACTGTGATCTGTACATGAAAAGTGCAAGAGGGAAAATCCAACAGGCACATCCCACTACTGGAATGCAAATCAGCAACAGCTAAAATAAAGGAGCCTTTGGACAAGAAAACACCATTCACAAAGAATCAGGAGTGAGGCAGCCCTGAGACCAACCCTGAGCTCAGGCAGCAGTGACCACATTAAATCTTGGTTTATCACCACATTGCAGGACTCCAATCTTTACTACAACCATCACAATTTTCCCTATCCAAATAAAAAAAATTCCAGTATGGAGCCACTGATCCTACCCACTGCCAATTCTTTGGTTACATTTAAAGCAGCAAATCCCATGCAAAGACAAAATAAGCAAATATTGTTCTTGCTCTCAACAAACAAGGTCCAGAAAAACAACACACAAGCGAAAACTCTAAATATCTCAGTGAAGACATTTAAATTTTCTGAAAGCCAGGACAAGACAGGCAAGGTGCTTAAGGAATTTAGCCACAAACATTTCACTAAAACCAAAGGAAAACTGAAGGGTTTGATACAGATAAACATACAAGAGGCAGTTTAGAAACAATTCTGGAGCATGTCTTGGCACAACAAAACCCATTTGAAGCCAAACACGGGTCTAAAGCTGAACCTTTGGATTACCTTTGGAATTGACAGGGTAAAAAGACTGGAGAGCTACTTATCCATACCTCATATGGCTGGCCAGGCCATCCTGAGCAGCTGGAAGCCCCAGGTCCGAGAGGGAATCAGAGCAGACGGACACGGGTGACAAAGACCTCTCCTTCTCCTCCAGCAGATCAAGTTTCACCAAGGAGCTGGTCTCATCTTCTGAGTTATCCTCTGACACGGAGCCGATGATGAAGCGGGAGTGAGCGTTCGCGTCCAGGGCTTTATTGGCTTCGGAAGATTCCTCCATGGCTCCCCCAAACTGGGCTCTCAACACTGCAGGGGGCAAAAGGAAGGAAAAAACCAAGCCAGAGGTGAATACCTGCCCTTGGAGGATAAAGAGGAGGACAAAGCAAGGCTCACTGATGGGAAATGCAACATTAAAAGGTCAGAGCTGATCGCTGAGTGGAGGATCAAAACCAGCTCTGCTCTAAGCACTGATTTCCCTGCTTGCACAAGGACTCTGAGACTCACAAGCTGCAGAACGTCCCACCTCAGACAAAGCTGCAGGAGTCACTTAAAGAAAAAAAAAAACGAACCACCAAAATAACACCACACACCAGACCCAAAACCTACAGACAAAGGCAGGGAACTCTGAGTATCAAAAATCACAGGACCAGAGAATCCCTGACTGGTTTGGGTTGGAACGGTCATTAAATCTTATCCCACCCCTGCTATGGGCAGGGACACCTTCCACCAGTCCAGGCTGCTCCCATCCTTGGACTCTTCCAGGGATGGGTCTGCTGTTCCAGTATTCCAGCAGGGAATTAAAGAATTTTCTTAAAAATCAAAAAAATAATTTCAACTGAGAGAGAGCCATGAGAGATGTGGAAAACAAAGGAACACCCCACAACACAAAGGTGGGGTAAATAAACATTTGAAACCCCCTGCTCTGCCTGACTTTGCTGCACTTATATGACAACTACACTCAGCTGGAAACACATCATTAGGAAAGAGGAATGCACTAACCTCTTGATATCCGTGCAATCTGAGCAGTGAGCCACTTCCAAAACGAACTGGAAGAGAAAAGAATTGCCAAGTAAGCACTAGGGTTATAATGAAGCATATTCCATGTGTGTTTTCCTGTTTGTACCATCTAAACCATCCCCAAAAACCACAGACTGGCTCGCTAGCTCCAGGTACAGATTAACCCAGGAGCCAAACCCACAGTGGCACCTCCTGCTGGTCCATCCTTCTGGAATCTTCCCAGAGACCTGACCGTCTCACCTGCCAGTTTTGTCTGTGAAAGGAACAATGGGTTGTGCCAGCACTATCTACTCGTATCAAACCTTTTCTGTCACCTTCTGCACCTGCTGGCTGATTCCAGCTGAATCCCAAGGAATAAATCCCAGTGAGGACCTCGTCAGCCCTGCTAATTACAGCCACGTTATGTCGAGCACAATCAGCTTGGGAGCACGACAGCTCTCAAGTGGCACAAAAACCTGGCCCATGGTGTCACACAAATGGGACATGATGGGGCCTTTAATGAGGGCCCAGACAAGCATTTACAGCCAGAGCAATCCCTAAACACCACACTCCTGCTTCCCATCAGTAACTCAGAGCTAAAAACTCATCCAACTGGCTCATGCACTTATGCCATGAGTGTACTTGACTGAATTATTTAGATCAAGTCCTGTGTTGACATCACTCCTCCCACAAACTCCAGTTGCCCTGGGGCCACGGGCACTTCATTTGACAGAGGCATCATTTACCATTTTATAACTGAAAAGCTACAAATATCTGTCTGACATGGACATTAAAAGCATTAAAAAAAACCTTTTTTGAGGGCAGAGATGAGAAGAAGGGGAAGCATGACCAGAAAGTTTCCCTGTTCACCTGTGATGTGCAAGCTAAACCATGCAGGGAGCTTTCTTTACCTGAGGTGCTCAGACAGCACAAATCCAATTTTGTTTGTGCATACAAAGATGCAGACAGTATTTATGTGGATATTTATCCTGGCATCAGATCACTCCTAAAGATTTTCATCCAGACAGATTTACTGCTGGCACAATCACCAGTGCCAAAGAGGTTGGGATGCAGCCAAACTAACTTCAACCCCCACTTCATTGAAGAAAAACCTTTCCCAATTTCAATAACTAATACATTAATAAGAAAATGTCATGGATTTTCTTTTCTTTTTTTTTTTTTTTTTGAAGCAGAGGAACAGGAAGTGAAGTTTTTCACCCAAATACTCCAAGAGAAACCATCCACCCAAGGCCAGGCACTGCCACGCTTAACCAGCTTCACTCCAACACCTTGTTTGTCCAATTCAGCTCCAAAAAAACCATTTTTTATCCATGAAACCTCACTCAGGTCCATTTCCCAAGGCACTTCCAAGCCCTGGGAGCACAGTGCCACAGCCAGGAGTTCCGCTGGGGTTGTGCAATCAGCGTTGTACCAGAGCGATAAGCTCGGCTTGTTCTCAGCACACCTGAGAGTCCTCGTTCATATTTAAATTAATTTCAGCATTGTCTGGGGCTAAATTACACAGGGGCTTTCTCAGAGATCTCCTCACTGAAGAACCTGGTTTCAGTGCTGTGAATGGAATGCACAAGGTTGTGCACTGTACACTGGTATATTGCAAATATAGAAATATAAAGGTAAATTTTATATATATATATATAACCACAGAGATGAATTAGGTATAAATATAGAGGTGTATTACATACACAAAAATACACTTATCTATACACATATAGAGATGTATTTTATAAATATACATACCTACACGCATATAGATGTATATTTTATAAATATACTTGCACTGTCTATTACATATAGAGGTATATTTTATATATATACACTTCTATTATCTATGTCTATAGGTGTATATTTTATAAATAGACATATTAGCTATACAAATATAGAGGTATATTTTATAAATATATTTGTATTATCTACACACATATAGAGGTGTATTTTATATATACAAATAAAGAGCAATGTTATATATATACAAATAAAGGAGTGTGTGATACATATACAAATAAAGGGTATATTTATGCATTTCTGCATATTGTATTGGCTCTCTGAAATGCAACTGCCACAGTTCCATTTTTACACGAGCACCCTGAGTTCAGGTGAGCACCAAAATAAATTTGTGTGCCACGAACCACTGCACATGCAGTTTGTCTCAATAATGCTGAACTAGACCCTACAACCCAAAATGATGGGGATCCTGAGCTGTGCAGAGCCCTGCTCCCTTCTGCAGGTGCCAACAGCCTGTCCAACAGGAAACTTCTGCAGAGACTGGGAAAAACCTGCAGTTTTTGGAAGGATGAAGATTGAGAGCTCCATCCTGTGATGGTGTAAGGACAGGTTACAGCACTGAGCCTGCTCAGATGCAGAAATCAGCTGGATCTTCACAGACTGAGCCTTGCTGTGCTCCCTTCTCCCAGGGAAATCAGCTCCAGCTCCCAGCTCCGCAGGTATCCAGGCACTGAACACCCAAATCGTGTCTGTGCTACCAGCATGAAAACTCTGCAACCCAAACCCAGAAAGAGCCGTGTTGGGTTTTGCCTGAGGTGAAACAAACCCCACTTCACTCCTCCACAGCTCTGCTGCTACCATTACTCACATCTTGGGCTTGACAGTGAAATGCACTCGTAAGAATACCAGACTTCAGAAGTTTTATAACAGCTTCACTTTAAAATCACTTTCAATATTGTAAAATACGCCCAGGCATGAAACTTGGGCAATGACAGGTGGAAATTAAAGTTTCCTATTTTTCTCTAAACCGTCCCATTCCGAAGACAAATCCACAACTGAAGAGAACATCAGTAGTGGGCTCTTTCAAAGAATCAGAGTAACACTCCTACCATATCGATATGGCATATTAAAAGGAAATTAATAAAACTAGTTGTATTCAAATGTCTCTTGATTAAAGCCCAGGGAGCTGCAGCATTGCTGATCAACGTGAATCACTTAAAAGTGACGAAATGGATTTGTGCTCTCACAGCCCTACCTGGAGAAACACAGAAAACAACAGAGCAAAAAAGGCAACACGGAATTAAAACAGAGTCAATTCTCCTGAACACAGAAGAACCAGCAGCGTGCTCACCTATACCAGGGCGGGGGGGGCAGTTCCAGGTTGGGAGAGAAGGGATGGCTCCAGCAGCAGAGGGTTCCCAGCTCTGAACACCCTCGGTGGCTCCCTGGCCGCGATGTTTTAACGCCCCCACACGAGCAGCAGCCCCACCTGAGCCTGCCTCCTGGTTAATCATTGGGCATTGCTTCATCCCCAAAAAACGGCCTCCAACACACCACAGAGGTTCTGGAGGAAAGGCTCCTCACAAACTCCACATCCACTGCTGGGGGTGGCTCAGGCTCCACAGCACAAGATCCAAAGCTGACAGAGAGTGTCCAAAGGAAGGGCACGAGGATGGGGAAGGGTCTGGAGGGGCCTCACGAGGAGCAGCTGAGGGCACTGGGTTTGGTCAGCTGGAGGAGGCTGAGGGGACACTCACCAGGGGATGCAGCTCCAATTTCTGCTCCCTGTGGCAGGGACAGAACCCAAAGGAACGGCTGGAGCTGTGCCAGGGCAGGGATAGGCTGGATATGAGGAGAAAAACAACTGCCTAGAACTTTCCACCTGTGGATGCAGAATCACAGAATCCCTGAGCTGGAAGGGATCCACGAGGATTATCCAGTCCAACTCCCAGCCCTGCACAGACACCCCAACAATCCCAGCCTGGGCATCCCTGGCACAGTCCTGGAGCTCTGGCAGCCTCGGGGCTGTGCCCATTCCCATTCCCTGGGGAGCCTGGGCAGTGCCCAGCACCCTCCGGGGGAAAAGCTGTTTCCTATTATGCAGCCTAAACCTCTACAGAGACCAAAATAAGAGCCTGTATTTACAGCCATCCCAGTTTGCTAAAACACTCGAGACTGTCTAAATCCCACTGTCTTTGAGAGATTTTGGCATCACTTAAACAGTTTGCTGAATATTTCCTGCCTGCTAAACTGGAACAGACTCCACTCACGCTTCGGATACTTTCTAACACAATACTTCTCGTTTAAAACTTTTTCAAGAGTATTTAGGAGAAGGGAGGAGCAGGAACAATCTGCTTTGCTCTGCCAATCTGCTTTTAAAACTTCACTAGTTTTGAGCATCTCTGCGCCGCTCTCAGCCGCTCGCCAGAACCAGAGCCGAACTGTTCCCCGGGACCCCGAAATCCCCGCGGGGACGGCGGAAGGATGAGATGGAGGAGGGATCCCCGGGGTGCTCGGTGCCGGACTCGCCGCCGCCCACGTGCTGTTGCTTCCAGGGTACGGGAGGACCGGCGAGGCCACGCGAGCGACGGCAGCGGCGGCACCGGGGGCGGCGCC